CCAGAGAGCATTTGAAAGTTAAAATATTTGTTTTAGAAATGTTAAAAACTAGTCGATTGGCGTCGCACCAGTCCTTAATCTTTATCAAATCAGTCTCAATAATACTTGCAAGAATATCAGCATTCTTATGCTTCCAGAGTATTGTCGTGTCGTCGGCAAATATCACAAAATTTCCTATTATAGATGAAGCAGAGAGATCATTTATATACAATAAAAATAAAATAGTAGGTAGGTACCTAACACAGACCCTTGGGGGACGCCCTGATCTAGGTTCATTGCTTTGGAATCATTGTTTTTCACCCTGACAAATTGACTTCGTACCACAAGGTACGACTTAAACCAATTAAGAGCTGCTTCCCTAAATCCGTAATGATCCAGCTTCCGCAGCAGTGCCTATCCCGTGATTAACGCAGTCGTATGCCTTCGAGAAATCACAGAACACTGCCGCAGCCCTCTCCCCGTCATTTAGGCTCAAGAACAGCTTTTCTAGAAATGAAAAAATCACGTCGTTTGTACCTCTTTGTTCGCGGAAACCAAACTGCCCACAACCAGAATATTAAATTTCTCTATATAGCTTACTAGTCTGGATTTAACTATTTTCTCAATGATCTTAGAAAGCGTCGTCAACAACGAAATAGATCTATAGTTGGATGGATTATCATCATCTCCTCCTTTAAATATTGGGCACAATTACCGCAAGTTTTAGGCAATCTATGGGAACACAGCTTTATCGAAAGATTCATTAATACAGTCAACGAGAGCAGAAAGTGTAGTGTCGTGAAGATTTTTATATATTTTCAAGAAAATATTATCAACACCAGAAGAGTTTTGTTTTTTTATAGAATGTATGGCTTCTTCTACTTCTCTTTTGTTTGTTGGAAGCAACTCAAACAGTTCCGCTGGTTGGAATGGCGGCAGAAAGCTTAGAGCGTCATTATTTGTGTTAATATTTTCTTTTAATCTGCCTGCTGAAGTTAAGTTATCCAAGTACAAACGAGTGAATTGTTGCGGAACTTATGGGTGGACCCAGCCATCTATTCACCAATATGCTGTTCAAGTACAATACTAACCTGAGTCACTCAGTTGTGAATTTTTCTCATTATTTCAAAAACTACACGTTTCAGGTGAGTGCCCTATTTGAACAGTTCAACAATAGGTCTGTGTGAATTTCAGTGGTTGAAATTCGCTCTGACTGGTTTGTGATTTCTGCAGAAACAGACCTAGTACATTGGTGAGTGGATGGCTGCGGAACTCGCTGCGCTCGTCCCGCAGAGGTCCACCCATAAGTTCCGCAATAATCCACTTATTTGTACAGGGTGTTTTTTATATATTCACACGCCACCTAGGTACAGCCGTACAGCCTTTACCTTTACAGGTAGAAGAAAGGTGTAAATACAAAAGTTATATTTACAGTTTTGGCTGAATTTTTAGAAACCATGGTCAGAAACAAAATTTGAATGTCAGAAATGTGAAATTTTGCATGCTTCCAGCTTTTTTCAAACAGGATGCCCTATATTTCATTCTATATTCTTGAAGAGCACAATGCCCCGATCTATATTTCATTGAGTAGGTACAAATTATATAGTTTTGGAATCGGGAAATTGTGCTCTTCAAGAATATAGAACCAAATATAGGGCATCCCATTTGAAAAAAGCTGAAAGCATGCAATATTTTACATTTCTGACATATAGCAGATTTATTCATTTTAATGGAAACTAAATTTTTTGGTTCAAAAGCTCTAGTTTTTTTATTTTATTTTAAGAGCAAATAGAGGCAGTCGGATCTAGAGCTTTAGAAATTAACTATTCCTGTTTGCTCCCGCGCCAGTTGTAAATGAATAATCGCTCTCTGCAGCGTTTCGTGCCGGCCGCCTTTGCCTCTATACCCTCTATTCTCTATCCGAAATGAATATAGCGCCGGCTGTAAGTAAAACTGTTGCAGGAAATTGAAAATAATTTTTGATTTATTTCAATAATGATTTTTGCTTATGCTTGAGTTTCTTATTATTCTCAAATTCAAATTAATGCCTGAGCAATATTTCTTTTTCTAAAATCTGTACTTGTAATGCTTTTAACTGGGAGAAAAGAAATAACATCTTTCTTTGCGAAAACTTCCTTTTGTCATTTACCAGTTTCGATAATAGATGGCGCTTCATTAGCTTATCGAGTTTCCATATGAAACTCTATTTTTTTTACAGGAATCTGTAATATTGTTACCGACATGTAGTTCGATTGTTGTATAACAGCTGTCAAGATTTGAGGTTAGAATAAATTATATAAAAATAAAGGGGCTCCTCTCTAGCTTAGTTTTCGAGTGTTTCTGGTAATTGCTGAAGCTATTTTGAAATATGGCAGCAGCAAATGTTAACCGAGGACTTATGGGCTACTTCAGGAGGGCATGGCACGAGACTCCAGAAATTCTTGGCAGTGCAATTATGGGAGGTCTTGGTAAGATTTGGATTTCCCTATGTAATGAGTAAATACTAAATAGGAGGTAGTTATATAAGAGCTATGCTATAAATTCACTTAAATTGATACTGCTGTTATTCTCCTGTGTGTGACTAGGGAATTTTTGAATTTTGCAAAAAGACAAAAATTTTAAACTTTTAGTTTGTACTAAGGTTGCTTCGGATATGATATAAGTTTCTGAAAACTTTGAATAATCATATCTACAATAGTCCATTTATTTCCACATTTTTCAAAAACATTCAATTTGAATTATTGTTTTGAGGCCTGGTTTATTCATCTTCAGATAAACTTGCTGGTGGTTAAATTTACAGTTCTATAATTCTATTTATTGGTCGGCGGATCACTGGCCAACCAATGAGATTACAGATTGCGTTTTTATCTGTCAGATTGCATACTTGTACTTGACAACCGCCTTGTCTTGGTTCGAAATTTGGACCGGTTCTGGGATTGCGCACAAACAATAATGGAGGACTGTTCTAATACAAATTCTGAACCGATTCGGAATCAAAAGAACCAAAACAAGCCGCAAATCACAAAATTCCAGAACAGTTCCTCCTCCAGAGCAAGAACTAAGGGAACCGTTCTAGAACAATCCCAGAATTAAGTATTGTTCTTATATAAGTTCTAAATAAACCAACACACTGTCAACAAAGTTTGATTACGATTGTGAAAGAATGAAAATGCGTTTCATACAATGTTTCATAACATGCGCATGTTAGAATTAGAATGATACGAACTAGTTCTAAGTAACTCTGTTTTGGTTTCACTCAGAAGTTCCGAATCGGTTCAGAATTAGTATTAGAACAGTCCCCCATTATTTCATAAAAAAATTTCTTATATGTATAGTTCTAAATAAACCAAAACGCTGTCAGTACAGTTCAATTACGATTCTGAAAAAACGAAAACGCATTTTATAACATGTGCATGTGCAGAATGATTCTGAACTAGTTCTGAGTGAAATCAAAACAAAGCTATTCAGAGCAAAAACTAAGAGAACTGTTCCAGAACAAAAAATTATAGAGGACTGTTCTAATACTAGTTCTGAACCGATTTGGAACCAAAAAAACCGAAATATGCCACAAATCACAAAATTCCAAAACAGGTCCGCCTTCAAAGCAAGAACTGAGAGAACCGTTCTAGAACAATCCTAGAATTGTTCCTAAATGGTTCTAGATAAACCAAAACTGTCAACACAGTTCGATTACAATTCTGAATTAACGAAAACGCGTTTTATAAATAGTACGCGCATGTGCAGAACGATTCCGATCTAGTTCTAAGTGAAACCAAAACAAAGCTATAACACAGTTCTATTATGATTCTGGAAAAGCCAAAACGCTTTTGATAACATGCGCATGTGCAGAATGATTCCGAACAAGTTCTGAGTGAAACCAAAACAAGCTCTTATCAGAAGGTGAATAAACCGGCCATCACTCTTAATGACATTTGTATACATAATAGCTCTGTTCCAACCGACATGAGAACTGTTCTAGAACGGTAATTTCCAGTTGATTGAAAAATAAATGGGCTCACTTATTTTTCAATAAGTTAAATGTTTTTCCTAATTGACAAATAAATTGATCGCCTGGAAATTACTATTCTAGAACGGTTCTCATGTCGATTAAGCTACTATTTTTCCAAATAAAAACTCTTATTTTTGAAAATAAAATCGAATTTTTGAACTGCTGCGAAATCGCGGGCAAGGACTATGACGTCAGAGTCCCTAAAATCAATAAAAAAGCGAGGATGTCGATGCGAAAAATTAGAGTATTGTATTATTCCAAACTGAAAACTTAGTACATTGCAACCTATTTGCGTCCTTTACTATGCTATAAAAAAATAAAGGATAGGTATAATCGGTAAACTCTTGTTACCTAGTACAATGAACCCAAATGTGTCTCCATGTTGCCAAATTGGTGTCAATAGTCAATACCAAGAAAAAACTTTAAAAAATCCAGTTAAATTGCCTCTGAGAGCTTCTGAAAAATACTACAAGCAATCAGAGCGACATCGCAACCTATCTATGTCCTTAACTACGTTATGCAAAAATAAGGGATAGGTATAATTATTGGTGAACTCTTGTTGCCTAATACAATGAACCTAAATGTGTCTCCATATTGCCAAATCTGTGTCAATACTAAGAAAACTTATAAAATTCAAGTATGAGAGCTTCTGCAAAATGATACAAGCCTTCAGAGCGACTCCAAACTTCCAAGTCTCATCAAGAATTAAACATGAAATCATGGAATAGAAAAACTTTATGGGTATTTATGTAGCTCTTGAATTTTTGAATTCAGAAAAATAGAGCACATACAAGAACCTGGGATATTTTACAATAACAACATTCCAAATATCACCATTGAATCGGGCCTTCCCAAAAACCTTCTTAGAAAATATTGTATATTTTTCTTAATAAACATACTGATTTCAGAATACCAGATCATTATAATCAACCCCTTTTCATAACCCTCAAATATTGCAATCACTTTCATTTGTTTTAGACAGGATAGTTGGTTTTTATTAAATTACAAATTTCAGGTATAGGATTGTCTGTAGTGGCATGTAAACGTTACTACGACAATGACGGAGATAACAGAACCTATAGAGCCAATTATGTGGTCCTTCGCCACGACGATCCTAAAGTATCCAGGCTCAAGACTCAATGCGACACAACAGGCATATAAAATTAAAATGCTTTTTCTTTAATTGTAGTAACTTTAATTCAAATAATAATATTATATACACTTTGTTAAAATAAATAATTGTATTGGGCTTTATCACTTATTTATTCCTAAAATACAATCTTTAAAAATCAAAATCGCTACAAGAAGAATGACTATAAATTTTATCACCAGCCATAGTAATGCCTATAATAATTCAAAATTTAAGATATTTTATACAATATGAGCAGATTATCACTTTCAGAAAAAAAAAAACAAATCAAGTTCAGCATTTTTCATTAGTTGAATAACATACACACCCTGTATTAATAAAATGAATAATAAGCAATATTTTTAAAACAATAATAATTATGCCTTAAATATACAAATAGATTTGATCACATTGTATGTACATAAAAAATCTATAATAACTCTACCAAGTTCAAGTATACCTTAAAAAGTGAAGTTTTATAATCTAGATGACACAACTAGTCGAGTGTAAATTTTTTTGTAGGTTGGCATCTATTTAATACCCAACAAATTGATAATAATGTAAAATTTGTATAAAATAATACTTGAGACAACCTCAAGTCAGTTTGGCTACTGAAAATAATTATATCTAAAACACAATGAATATACAAAATGATTTTTGTTAACACCATGAAAAAAATGGACTTTTATCTTGGAAGCGTTGCGTAAAGTTGAAGAATCGATGATGATGACCCTGAGACCTAAAAAACTTAGATGAAGAATTGCTTATTTGCAAAAGTACTTGACTTACTTTTCAACAACAACAGCTGGCATTTGCACAAGCTGTACAGGCGATTTTCCATCTTTCAAAGCTTGAGTCAAGTTCAAGATTTGCCCTCTCATCACAGACATTTGACGTTCGTAGTAGTTTCGATCAAACCCTTTATCTTGTTTGAATAACAAATAAAGATCGTCGCATAAATCCTGTACAAAATTCATATCGCTTAATAAAGGCAAGACAAGTTCTTTTATTTCTTTGCCAAATGGTACTTTGGCTTGTGGCAGCCATGCCCAGTGGTACGGGTAAGCTCTCCAACTATCTGGATGTTTATAAGGAAAAGCTAAACCATTATCGATGGCCGCAATTTTTATTTCTGGCATATTGACCATGTTCCAATCTGTAGTATCTGTAAGTTCCACTTGGGCACTGACAGTGCTTCCATTGGCTATAGTAGGATGATCATATCTTGAATATTTAAATTAAAATTATATTGATTAAAAACAATAATAATTGTTTTACCTTATCAACCAATTATCGTTTCCTCTGTCTGTGTTTCTAATAATATAATCTAAAACAACTAGTCGTTCGAATTGGAGCTGGAATTTTTTAGCTAATGGGGGTGCTAGGGGTTCCATTTCGAACTTTGACAGCCAATAATGGGCGTCTTTGTAGTTGTCGACAAAAAATTGAAATGATCCTATCTAAAACATTTATATTGTACAATTGTTTAAAGGAAAATTGTCAAGTAAACCTTTGGAGGTAATCCTATCCTATTGAATCTTAAGCCTACATTTGGAAATTGTTCCATGATTGCCCTTTTTACTCTAGCTTTTTGCCTATCTATTCTTAAATAATTAAAAGTTTCTGATACCAATTTTACTACCTGAAATAAAAATTATTGCTGATAAATTTCTCGTATAATATGCTGGAATCTTACTCTAGTTTTTGGAACAATATGCAATCCTAATTTGTGATCCACAAGATAAGCTGCAGCCTCGGAAAGGTACCCCTGGTTCGGTATGAGACAGGACCTGCCAAAACAACAAGGACAACACAGTTTGTGCATCCATTTGGTCCATTTCGGGTTCAGTCTGCCGTAAGGTTCTTCATCTTTCGGTTTAAAAACTGCTATCGTTTTCTGAAAATATTTTTGAATGTAACTATAAGAAATTAATCAATATTATACAGGGTGTTACAAATCGACTAAAATTCAACTTTTGAGGCTCAATTGCTCCAAAAGTATTTGAGCTATCAAATTCTATTTAACACGGATTTAGAGAATTTCATGCTCTTTTCAGTGGTGTATGGTTTATTTCGATTTGCTTGAATTTTAATAAAAATATTAGCAGTTTTTAAAAGATTAGATTTTCTTTTTTAATTTTCTGTTTGAAATGGTCATTTGAAGATTGTTTTTTGACCCGCTCTTCCGATTGGAGAAGTCACAATTCGAAAATTATAAAAATTACAAATTGCCAAAAACACTTCGCCTGCTTCGTGTGGTTCAAGAAAATAGACCCGCGGTTTTTCGTTTGCCGCGACCGGTTAAATCAAGACGGTTTTGTTGCACTTCTACGCATGGGACTTGAACTTCCTGAATGAGCTGGCCAGCTGAGTGGAGTTTGGAAGTAGAGCAAGGTAAGGTGAAAAAATATCCTTTTCAGTTTCGATATCTTTCGATTTCATTTTGAAATCTTTTATCGATTACCATTCTATCAGCAACCTGTGGAATTTCCAGTTTTAATTTCGCATATTAATTTGGTACCCCCTTTTTCGACTTCATTTAAACTAAATATTATTTTCTTTCATTCAGTCAAAAGCTCATACAAATACAGTGGCAACGTCGAATTTCCATACATTATTGGGAGACCGTTAGACAAAACGATTCTGAAATATGCGCAACCCTCAACAAAGTTTGGAAAAAAGAGGAATCGGGAACTAGACTAAGGGCAGTACGAAGAGAAACTCGAAAGTGCCAATACGCCCTTTTTCAATAATTCCGTGTAATAATTCAGAAACCTCCAGCCGTTCTTCAATTATTATACCTCTTAGGTGGGTTTTCTGTTCAATTAAATTGTTGTTAAGTTCAGACCAGCCTTTTTTTCTTATTCCTAAACCTACAGTCCACTCATTTATCACATTCTGGATCAAGTTGAAGGCAACCTCTGCAGAATATCTAGTAAATTCTGAACCAGAGAGCCGCCGTAGGCTAAGCAGATCAAGTGAACATACCCTCTCCCTTTGGATTCTTATTTCAAAATCTTTAAGCTTCAATATCTTGAAGTTTTTGAGAGATATGTGGAACCAAAATTTTCAAGAATCGTAGCTCCTATGGAGCTCTAAAAAACCTGGATTGGAAAATATTCTCAGGTTTATAGTTTTTGAGAACAATTTTCTCAGTTTGAAGTTTTTGACTAAATTTCAACTAAAATCTAACTTTGAGGCAATTCAAGTTTGATAGTCATGATTTACCTACATATTTCTCAATCATTGAGAATAGTGTTTGAATCATACCAAAGGCAAAAACATTATTGACTTCTAATATATGCCTCCCCTTGACAATTCAAATTATTTAATTTATGCTCAATCACATAATGCAATTAACAGAAAATTTACGTAAATGCATTTCCAGGGGATTGAGCAACAAACAAAAAACTCAACAAGATTCACTTACCCCTGCTTGATTTTTAACAAAATAAGACCCACTGGACCCTTGGGATATCCTCTCTGGAAATATACCATTATCTATAGCTGTCTCCGTCTGCCATATCAATTCACTGAACTCTGGATCATCTGCCAAAATAAAACAATATAATACTTCTGGTAATACAAGGGGCTTAAAAATTGGATACGAATTTGGTTCCATTTTTGATTGAAATTTTTGACAAGCTGAGTTTAAAAATGGCATTCTAACAACTGAAATGAAATGTTTTCAAGACAAAACTAAGTATTTGCAAATATTTATTTAACCACAATAAACAGCTTTTTATTCTTGATAACATCAATTGTTAATTCAAGATAAAAAAAATCCTACCTGGAAATTGATTATAAGAGATCTCGAGCCCCCCTAAAAGGGGCTGAGACTCTCGATTGATGCCCGGCGAATCCAAGTTGCCGTCGAACGTCACTTCGGGAACGAGGGGCACGTCCTCGCCGTCGCTACTGTGACAGACTACGGATAGGGGCGCGGGCCTCAAAGGGGGCTCGGGGGCCGCGCCGGTGTTGACCAGGATGCCGACCGTCTCTGACGCACTCATCACCTGTTGTACTGCTTTACTTTCCACTTCTGCATATGGATGTTATGATGAGGAAATTTATAGATGTTTTCTATTTGGGAAAAGTGAAAGAATAAGAAGTTTTGGAGAGTGAAAACTTTGATACTTTTTGTAATATGAGGAGGAAACCCATTCTCCCAAAAATTAAATTCTTTCCAGTGGGAAATAATAAACAACATGAAGAATCTTGAGAATCAACTCACAAAAACTGAATTACCTAATTGAAAAATACAGTCTCTCAAATTTCAAAGTTTTTATGGAAAACTAATGAAGGGAAAATTTTGAAACTTTAACTGTAAAAACAGAAAATTTAGGAACTAATTTTCCCAAATTTCGGTTTTTTTAGTGAAAAACAACCACTTGAGAATCAATTTACATCCTTTTGATGAAACCAAAAATTCAATTCACTTTCTAGTTTCACCAGCAGGATAAATTTGCCAATGACGTTACCAGTTGGTCCATAATTTGGCCCTAAATGGTGATGTGGCAATTTTGGAAAGGATATTTTTGTGGAAAACTAATGAAGAGAAAATTTCGAAACTTTTATTGTGAAAAGTGAGAATTTAGGAGCTGATTTTCCCAAATTTCGTTTTTTTAGTGAAAAACAACCACTTGAAAATTTAGGTACATCTTTTTGGTAAAACCAAAAATTCAATTCACTTTCTAGTTTCACCAGCAGGATAAATTTGCCAATGACGTCACCAGTTGGTCCATAATTTGGCCCTAAATGGTGATGTGGCAATTTTGGAAAGAATGTTTTTGTAGAAAACTAATGAAGGGAAAATTTTGAAACTTTTACTATGAAAAGAAAGAATTTAGGAGCTGATTTTCCCAAATTTCGTTTTTTTTTAGTGAAAAACACCCACTTAAAAATCAATTTAGGTAGGTACATCCTTTTGGTAAAACCAAAAACTCAATTCACTTTCTAGTTTCACCAACAGGATAAATTTGCCAATGACATTACCAGTTGGTCCATAATTTGGTCCTAAATGGTGCTGTGGCAATTTTGGAAAGGATATTTTTGTGGAAAACTAATAAAGGGAAAATTTTGAAACTTTTACTGTGAAAAGAGAAAATTTAGGAGCTGATTTTCACAAATTTCGTTTTTTTTTAGTGAAAAACAGCCACTTGAAAATCAATTTAGTTACATCCTTTTGGTAAAACCAAAAATTCAATTCACTTTCTAGTTTCACCAGCAGGATAAATTTGCCAATGACGTTACCAGTTGGTCCATAAATTGGCCCTAAATGGTGATGTGGCAATTTTGGAAAGGATATTTTTGTGGAAAACTAATGAAGAGAAAATTTCGAAACTTTTATTGTGAAAAGTGAGAATTTAGGAGCTGATTTTCCCAAATTTCGTTTTTTTAGTGAAAAACAACCACTTGAAAATTTAGGTACATCCTTTTGGTAAAACCAAAAATTCAATTCACTTTCTAGTTTCACCAGCAGGATAAATTTGCCAATGACGTCACCAGTTGGTCCATAATTTGGCCCTAAATGGTGATGTGGCAATTTTGGAAAGAATGTTTTTGTAGAAAGAATTTAGGAGCTGATTTTCCCAAATTTTGTTTTTTTTTAGTGAAAAACAACCACTTAAAAATCAATTTAGGTAGGTACATCCTTTTGGTAAAACCAAAAACTCAATTCACTTTCTAGTTTCACCAACAGGATAAATTTGCCAATGACATTACCAGTTGGTCCATAATTTGGCCCTAAATGGTGATGTGGCAATTTTGGAAAGGATATTTTTGTGGAAAACTAATGAAGAGAAAATTTTGAAACTTTTATTGTGAAAAGTGAGAATTTAGGAGCTGATTTTTTCCAAATTTCGTTTTTTTTAGTGAAAAACAACCACTTGAAAATCAATTTAGGTACATCCTTTTGGTAAAACCAAAAATTCAATTCACTTTCTAGTTTCACCAGCAGGATAAATTTGCCAATGACGTCACCAGTTGGTCCATAATTTGGCCCTAAATGGTGATGTGGCAATTTTGGAAAGAATGTTTTTGTAGAAAACTAATGAAGGGAAAATTTTGAAACTTTTACTATGAAAAGAAAGAATTTAGGAGCTGATTTTCCCAAATTTCGTTTTTTTTTAGTGAAAAACACCCACTTAAAAATCAATTTAGGTAGGTACATCCTTTTGGTAAAACCAAAAACTCAATTCACTTTCTAGTTTCACCAACAGGATAAATTTGCCAATGACATTACCAGTTGGTCCATAATTTGGTCCTAAATGGTGCTGTGGCAATTTTGGAAAGGATATTTTTGTGGAAAACTAATAGAGGGAAAATTTTGAAATTTTTACTGTGAAAAGAGAAAATTTAGGAGCTGATTTTTCCCAAATTTCGTTTTTTTTAGTGAAAAACAACCACTTGAAAATTTAGGTACATCCTTTTGGTAAAACCAAAAATTCAATTCACTTTCTAGTTTCACCAGCAAGATAAATTTGCCAATGACGTTACCAGTTGGTCCATAATTTGGTCCTAAATGGTGATGTGGCAATTTTGGAAAGGATATTTTTGTGGAAAACTAATAGAGGGAAAATTTTGAAATTTTTACTGTGAAAAGAGAAAATTTAGGAGCTGATTTTCCCAAATTTCGTTTTTTTTTTAGTGAAAAACAACCACTCGAAAATCAATTTAGGTACATCCTTTCGGTTAAACCAAAAAATTCAATTCACTTTCTAGTTTCACCAGCAGGATAAATTTGCCAATGACGTTACTAGTTGGACCATAATTTGGCCCTAAATGGTGATGTGGCAATTTTGGAAAGGATATTTTTGTGGAAAACTAATAGAGGGAAAATTTTGAAACTTTTACTGTGAAAAGAGAAAATTTAGGAGCTGATTTTCCCAAATTTAGTTTTTTTTAGTGAAAAACAGCCACTTGAAAATCAATTTAGTTACATCCTTTAGGTAAAACCAAAAATTCAATTCACTTTCTAGTTTCACCAACAGGATAAATTTGCCAATGACATTACCAGTTGGTCCATAATTTGGCCCTAAATGGTGTTGTGACAATTTTGGAAAGGATATTTTTGTGGAAAACTAATGAAGAGAAAATTTTGAAACTTTTATTGTGAAAAGTGAGAATTTAGGAGCTGATTTTTTCCAAATTTCGTTTTTTTTAGTGAAAAACAACCACTTGAAAATCAATTTAGGTACATCCTTTTGGTAAAACCAAAAATTCAATTCACTTTCTAGTTTCACCAGCAGGATAAATTTGCCAATGACGTCACCAGTTGGTCCATAATTTGGCCCTAAATGGTGATGTGGCAATTTTGCAAAGAATGTTTTTGTAGAAAACTAATGAAGGGAAAATTTTGAAACTTTTACTATGAAAAGAAAGAATTTAGGAGCTGATTTTCCCAAATTTCGTTTTTTTTTAGTGAAAAACACCCACTTAAAAATCAATTTAGGTAGGTACATCCTTTTGGTAAAACCAAAAACTCAATTCACTTTCTAGTTTCACCAACAGGATAAATTTGCCAATGACATTACCAGTTGGTCCATAATTTGGTCCTAAATGGTGCTGTGGCAATTTTGGAAAGGATATTTTTGTGGAAAACTAATAGAGGGAAAATTTTGAAATTTTTACTGTGAAAAGAGAAAATTTAGGAGCTGATTTTTCCCAAATTTCGTTTTTTTTAGTGAAAAACAACCACTTGAAAATTTAGGTACATCCTTTTGGTAAAACCAAAAATTCAATTCACTTTCTAGTTTCACCAGCAAGATAAATTTGCCAATGACGTTACCAGTTGGTCCATAATTTGGTCCTAAATGGTGATGTGGCAATTTTGGAAAGGATATTTTTGTGGAAAACTAATAGAGGGAAAATTTTGAAATTTTTACTGTGAAAAGAGAAAATTTAGGAGCTGATTTTCCCAAATTTCGTTTTTTTTTAGTGAAAAACAACCACTCGAAAATCAATTTAGGTACATCCTTTCGGTTAAACCAAAAAATTCAATTCACTTTCTAGTTTCACCAGCAGGATAAATTTGCCAATGACGTTACTAGTTGGACCATAATTTGGCCCTAAATGGTGATGTGGCAATTTTGGAAAGGATATTTTTGTGGAAAACTAATAGAGGGAAAATTTTGAAACTTTTACTGTGAAAAGAGAAAATTTAGGAGCTGATTTTCCCAAATTTCGTTTTTTTTAGTGAAAAACAGCCACTTGAAAATCAATTTAGTTACATCCTTTAGGTAAAACCAAAAATTCAATTCACTTTCTAGTTTCACCAGCAGGATAAATTTGCCAATGACGTTACCAGTTGGTCCATAAATTGGCCCTAAATGGTGATGTGGCAATTTTGGAAAGGATATTTTTGTGGAAAACTAATGAAGAGAAAATTTCGAAACTTTTATTGTGAAAAGTGAGAATTTAGGAGCTGATTTTCCCAAATTTCGTTTTTTTAGTGAAAAACAACCACTTGAAAATTTAGGTACATCCTTTTGGTAAAACCAAAAATTCAATTCACTTTCTAGTTTCACCAGCAGGATAAATTTGCCAATGACGTCACCAGTTGGTCCATAATTTGGCCCTAAATGGTGATGTGGCAATTTTGGAAAGAATGTTTTTGTAGAAAGAATTTAGGAGCTGATTTTCCCAAATTTCGTTTTTTTTTAGTGAAAAACACCCACTTAAAAATCAATTTAGGTAGGTACATCCTTTTGGTAAAACCAAAAACTCAATTCACTTTCTAGTTTCACCACCAGGATAAATTTGCCAATGACGTTACCAGTTGGTCCATAAATTGGCCCTAAATGGTGATGTGGCAATTTTGGAAAGGATATTTTTGTGGAAAACTAATGAAGAGAAAATTTCGAAACTTTTATTGTGAAAAGTGAGAATTTAGGAGCTGATTTTCCCAAATTTCGTTTTTTTAGTGAAAAACAACCACTTGAAAATTTAGGTACATCCTTTTGGTAAAACCAAAAATTCAATTCACTTTCTAGTTTCACCAGCAGGATAAATTTGCCAATGACTTTACCAGTTGGTCCATAATTTAGCCCTTAAATGTTTATGTGGCAATTTTGGAAAGGATTCACCAAGGGATTCACTCATCATTCACTATGCATGTACATTTTGTGAAAGAATCTTTTTCTATTCCATACTGCTAAATATGGAAACTTAAGGATTAAGGAAACCTCGAAGGAAACTTTGGTTTCTGCAAATAATAGAGAACTTTGCCTGAGGAATAAAACAACCTATAAACACAATTTTCTTGATGTGTTATTGTCCATGTAAACAATGTTAATAACAAATAATAATAATTATTTTAATCAACCATTTGTTGATTCATTTTGAAAAAACTTTACAAGCAAAACATAACTAAATACCTATCTAGTGAGCATTACTATATTTATTTGAAGTATAACTCTATAAATAACTATTTTAAATATCTTCGACCCAAATATTACTAAAAATCGACAAAAGCATTATCATTCATATTTGATTAGAAGACCTTTGGAGGTCATCACAAACAAATACACCCATTTAATATGCAAAATATTTATCATCTAAAAAAAAAGTCCTTGAATAAGGATAATATTATACACTAAATCTCTATTAATATAAAAAATCAATTTATTATCTTTCTATTGAAAAAGAGCACATAATTATTAGAATATTTAATGCGGAGTAGTATAGTATATTATGGGCACTTGTAAAGCTTCCCTCGGGTATTGCCAAACTATTGCAGATTATGGGGGCGTGATAACAATAAGTGCTAAATATATTGAATAAACATCAAAATTACCTGATAAAGGGGTCTTCTACGCCTCAACATGTATTCATTCTGTATAGAAATAAATAAAACTAGTCTAACCTGTGGTGTTAGAACTTCAACAAACAAAATCTACACCCTCAGCAAATATTATAGGACAACAATAATAAGTAAACTGTTGGTCAATTGTCGCTATTTCATCATTATTTCGTGGTAATTGTTAACAAAAAATTGCCAGATTTTTGCATTTTTAGCATTTAAAAAACCAGCTGATAGGGCTGATTCATATACGCAAAAAAAAAAATCAAACTGTCAGTGTCATATTGCGCATTTGGCATTTGTCAAACATCACAGGACGTGTTCCGTTATTGTCACGAGACTTGGCAACGTTGCATAGGGTTGTAATTTTTAGGTGTAGGTTCCAGGGTTCTTTGTTCGTAGTTCAACTAGATCGACTCTGAACTAGTTCAACTCTCATTTTAAAATCGTTCGCAGGAAAATAAAATCCCGAACTGGCTCATAATAATTAAGCATCAATTAATTAATAATCTAATTATTTGTCCATTCACTCGACTCCCCATCCCACCCAGAGCTGTTCGAAATATCCACAGAATGTTTCGCCGGAAAACTCGATTTCCAACTGTGATTACCGTTGGCGATTTTTCAGCGTTATTTTCACAACAAAACCTTTTATGACAATGACAATCTTTTAAAATCCAGCGATTACTCCTAAACAGTCCCGGAGTACTTCTACTCGTGCTCGGAGCGAGCAAGACAAACCTAGCGTAGAGTAATATTGGTTTCAACCAAGGGATGGGCATCTACGCGTAAATAAATTGTCTACGTTCTGGTGTAAAGAACGCGTAGACAGTAAACTATTGTAATCTATAGGTGGGTTCGGCTTGCTCACTCCCAGGGTTGCCAGACGTCCCACCTTAGGAGGGACAGTCGCATTTTGTTAATCGGTCCCGCCTTTTTTTTATTAATTTCAGGTCCCGCTTTTCACGTGAATTATCCCGATTTTCCCGCTTTTTCCACCCAATCTTCACATTTTGTGCAAAAAACACGCTCATTTTACAACTTGTTACATAAATAGCTATTTCTTCATTTAAAATCGACGCAAAAATCAAATACCGCGCCTAAATCGCAAGCATTTCATCGAGGTCTGCGGCGACGTCACCACTATTAGCTGCTGGCTTGGTGACGTCACTCGCAGACCTTGTGGACTCGAGAACCGGCGAACGTACGCCTTCTCAGGATGAGCAATCCTGTTAGTTTACGATTCTTGGGTTTTAATAATAAATCTTGTATGTTGTAAGTATAAAAATGTCAAAAATTCCAACAAAATCAAAATCTTTCATTGCACAAACTAGCATCTGCAAAAAACTTTTTTTCTGGCCATTGAAAAATAAACAACTTTCCTCATATTTGGTCATATTTCACCTTAGCCGAAAACGTCACTTTCGTCATTAGTGATAAAATATCTAGTGACGAAAGTGAATTATTAAGGATTTTACGTGTTAAAAACATTCTTTCAAATCCAATTATAATATACAATGATATAATGTAATAAAAGCAAAATAATAGTAATCAAATTAATTAAAAACGAGAACTTTTTTTAGATGGCGTCTTGATTCAGCCACGTTTTCAAGCGCCATCTATTAAACTAAGTAGGAACCCTTGTGAAAAAACATTACATTAGTTTAACAACAAAAACCATAACTTGTCATAGAAAAAGTATAGCGTTTATTTATAGGGTATAAATAATGAAAATTTGTTGCGCTTTTGCTCAAGGGGGTCCATAGGAGGGGGACACATTGGGCACTTGCCCCTCCCCCCTCCCACTTTATGCTTTTGGGCGTGGCACCCGAAAAAAGCGAGTTTTCCCTCTGGATAATATCAGTCCCGCTTTTCCATTTCATAGATCTGGCAACCGTGCTCACTCCGTGCACTCCAAGTGACTCCATTCGCACTCCAGCCGTTCGGGTATTGCTTTTTGGCGTATTTACGTAAAATAATTGATCTAATTTTAAAATGCACTGTCATAATAAAAAACAAACCGATCAAGGACTGCGTGACGTCACTCGCATTCTTCCATGTTCGATATTTTTATGAGCGTATGTCTTATGGGATTGAGCAATCCTGCCCTATCCAACCTCTAGCCTTGTATAATTTGACGTTTCAAAATCAAAACGCTTGCGTCATAACCTCACATTTTATCAACAAAAACAAATAACACAAAAACAATTATTTATTTATTACTGTGCCGTGGAGTGTGGACTGTGATTGTTTGATTGTTATTATAAAACATTTAATTACCAATTATTATCAGAAAAACAACCTCCTACAAACAAATAGCATGGACTTAACAAAACCCATCCAAACAGTTTTCCTTCTGCTCAGTTTTACTGGTTTCGTGTACCCCTTTTTGCATCCGGTCGTTTTCGTTCCGGGAGACGGTGGAAATCAGCTCGAAGCGAAATTAAACAAGACCGATGTCGTTCATTATATCTGCCAAAAAACCACCACTGACTATTTCAATATTTGGCTCAATTTGGAACTTCTTGTTCCCCTTGTTATCGACTGCTGGATTGATAATATCAAGCTGACTTATGATAACGCTACTAGGACTACACGGAATCAACCTGGGGTAAGATTGAAGAATCAATAATAATAATGGGTAAATCAAGACGCAATAATAAATATTTAATAATAATTAATAAGCTTAATAAATAATTATATCTTGTCTTGTTTCTGATTTAATTAACCTTTGAGTTATTGCCTTGTCCATTTTTGTAATTGTTTATTGTGTTGATTACATACTTAAATTACTCATTGCGTTTATCATAAAACTGATAATAAACTTTGTTTTTGTGCGTATTTAATCTTGTAGATTTCTTTTTGATGCAATGTGTTTAGGGGTCAATTCTCAAGGAGACATTTTTTGGTCAGTGTTTCAGGTTATTTTGAACCGTTCCAGGAAAATACAGTGGAAGAAATTTCTTCGGTGTGAAGTGTGAAGTTGGTAGCCAAAATTTTAATTCTACATCTTTTCCAATAGTAATTGGAAAATCAGAAAATCTCACTTGTAATTCATATTTTTTAAATGTTATTTAGAAATTCAGATAGGGTGATAATTATTGGTCCAATACACTCTGGTTCGCATCGCCTCAATTTTAAATCTCAAATAATTTAGAACCCATGTAATATAAAACCTATAGCTATACATAATTATCGATTTATAACGTTCTACGGCTTTCAATTCCCAATCTCTCACCATCTCTGTCAATCCAGGGATCCTCCTCTAAGCCTCTGTCTCTCATTTTTTGGTCTGCTCTGCTTCTCCAGCTTCTTCTTGGTCTGCCGCGTCTTCTTCTTCCCCCTGGCTTCCACTCAATAATTTGCTTGGGTATTCTTGTATCTGCCATTTTTTGTACATGTCCGAACCAAATCAGTTGTTTGTCCTTTTAGTATGGATATTGCCTTGTGTCCTTGTATATTCCGATCTTTAATTGCTTCGTCTAGGGTTCCCTCTTGTGAGATTTTCATGCCCAAATATTTGTATTCAGTACATTGTTTTATTTCTTGTCCGTTATTCAATTTCAAAGTTTGTTGTTCACCTCCTATAGCCATATACATATTCTGTTTTGGTTAGATTTACTTTCAAACCCGATTTCTCGTATTCCTCTATCAATTTTCGTGTCATGTACTTCAGGTCACCATAGTCCTTCACAGAGCTGTGAGGCAAAAACTGTCTCAATATCATTTTTGGCAAAATTACAATAGCCCGCAAAACCCCAAAAACCCAATAAAAATTTTCAAAAACCCGGGTTTTTGCAAACCCTGTTTAAGGGTCGTTTTATTGACCTGCTGATAAACTGTCAGGTATGATGATGATGATGATGAAAAGTACTTTATTGTCCAAGAAATATTACATGTAATAGGTCTTATTGACAAAGCATACTTAAAAACTAAATTAAAGTAAAATAAAAATTAAAAAAAAAAAAAACAACAATGGCGTACCTGGTTACAAACAAACAGCCAATAAACACTAATCAGACAAAGGGAAAAAAAAAAAAAAACTGACAATAAGACAAGCATTTTAAGTACGGTCAATAAAAAGAACAATAAAAAATAATAAAAATAATAATAATCAACAATGTAAAAAATGGTCAGTACAAAATACAACACAATATAAAAACAACAATATATAGCCAGTTGACTATTGAAATTAAATAACACACTAAATTAGGATTGCTCTAAGAACTCGTTAATGGTATAAAATGCCTTTTTCAATAAGTATGCCTTTAGTAGGTTCCGGAAAGCCTTTGATGTTGAAGCATTCCTAATCCGCAAACCAACATTATTGTATATTTTGAGGCCATTGTAGATGAGAGATCTCTTAACCAGGTTCAAGTGAGGTATTGGTAAAGGGATATTATTGTGTTGACGGGTTTGATGTACTTGCTGATGCCTTGGAAGGCTTTGCTTATTTTTATAAATTAAGCATGCTGTTTCCAGGATGAAAAGGGAGGGTAGAGTAAGAATGCCATTTTGGATGAAGAGATGTCTACAGTGTGTTCTTGGATGGGCATTGCATAAATTCCGAACTGCTCGCTTTTGGAGAATAAAGACAGACTGAAAAAGATTTTGTGCACAGGCTCCCCAAAAGGGTAATGCATATCTAATATGTGACTCGACAAGAGCAAAATAAACATTGCGTGCTACTTCTTTACCCAGTTCTTGAAGGTAGCTCTCACCGAAAAACAGCCAGAGGCCAACTTTTTATTTAGTTTCAGAATGTGAGGATAAAATTTAAGATTTTCATCGATTATGAGCCCCAAAAATTTGGAGTTATCCACAATTGAGATGGAGTTGTCGCCCATGTCAGGGTCCCGAAGAGCACAGTTGAAACCAATCAGATGAGTTTTCGACATGTTTAAGCACAGACGATTTGCATCACACCACCGTCTGATCTGCTTAAGATCGGATTCAATGTCCTGTTGCAGTTGATTTAAGTCCCTGTTGCGCCAGAGAACGGTTGTGTCATCAGCAAACAACGTGAACAGCCCAGAGATTTCAAGTTGGGTTAAATCATTTATATAGATTAAGAAGAGAACGGGTCCTAGTACAGATCCTTGGGGAACGCCGCATGAGCTACGTTGTCTGCTAGATGACACCCCATCCACGTGAACGAATTGCTCACGGCAACGCAAGTAGCTCCAAGGCCCCTCCACGGACACCATAGGCGTCAAGCTTCCGCAGCAATACCTCATGACTTACGCAATCAAATGCCTTAGATAAATCACAAAATACCGCCGCCGAAGCTTCACGCTCGTTGATGGACTGGAAAACTCTCGAGAGAAACTGAAACATAGCGTCAGAAGTATTTTTTTTTGCCTGAAATCCGAATTGATCCTTAGTTATAATATTGTTTTCGTCTAAGAATGACATGAGACGAGATTTTACCAGACTCTCAATAAGTTTTGACAGCGTTGACAATAAAGAAATTGGTCGATAGTTAGAGGGAGAGGCGTGATCGCCACCTTTGTATAGAGGGAGGATTTTAGCAATCTTAAAAGACGATGAAAAGGTACTTGTCACAAAAGAAAAATTGATTACATCTGATAAAGTAGCGATGGCTGTGTTGGGAAGGCTCTCCAGAATTTTCAATGGAATACCATCATCAGTTGCAGCTTTTTTATTTTTCATGGAACGAATTGTTTTTAGGATTTCTTGAGGGGTAGTTGGGTAGAACGCATGAAAATGTTCGGGGCTGTTGATGTTTGACAGATAAATGAGTGGATCAGTATTGAATGGTAAGTCTCTTGTCAAATTATCAGCAACTGAGCAATAATATTTATTCAAGAGGTTTGTATCGATGTTTATTTGAGGTGATTTATTTGCTCTTTTGGTGATTTCGTTAACGATGGCCCATGATTCCTTTTGACTATTATTAGAGTTGAGCAGGCGTTTACAGTAAAATAGCTCTTTGGCTTTTCGAATAACATTTCTATATATTTTTTTGTATAAAAGATAGTAAGATTGCAGGAAAGCGTTATCAGAGTAAGCCCTCCTAAGGCTGTTAAGGAATCTTAAATTGGAGGCAGAAGTACGTATTCCTGGTGTTAGCCACTTTTTCCTCTCTTTGCGCTTTGGTTTTAGGCGGCGAAGAGGGAAAGCTTTGCTGACCTTGTTTGCCAGAGCGTTATGAAAAGCACCCAAAGGCTCTGGCTCTCTGAAGATAGAATCCCATTCAAATGACTCACAAGATTGTCGAAATTTTTGAAAATTGCTGGTGCTGTAAATTCTTCCCAACTTTGCAGTGTCATTATTGCTAGCGTAATTGATAGGAATGGTAGCTAAAATAGCTCTATGATCGGAAAGGTCTGGATCAAACACGGTGCAAGATACGTTATCATTTATATTCGAGACAATGTAGTCTATTTTAGTGGATGAAGTTTCAGTAATGCGCGTAGATTCATGAACATGCATGTTAAGATTAAAAGATTCAAACAAGTTTAACAAATTGATAGTAGATCTATTATCTGTGTTGTCAAAATCAATGTTAAGGTCACCAGCAAGTATAACCGTATTATTTATAGGAAACTGGCACAACAGAAATTCAAGTCTTTCCATATATGCAATGTATGCAATCTGACAGATATAACTGCAATCTGTTAGCCCATTGTCCGCCAACCAATAAAATAATAGAATGGTTAATTTATCTTGTAGATAGTTATCTGAGGAACCAATGAAAACCTCGATGGAAACCTGGAAATTCAAGAGCCCGGAATAAATAATGAAAATTTAGGTACATATTAGGAAAAAACGTGGCAGTCAGTTAAATGGAAATTTCACATTGCTAATGTGGCAATCTTTATAAAATGACGTATTTAGTCATGTGATGTGATATTTTTAATCTTGCAAAATATTGTTCATTCTCGATTACATATAGGATCTGCGTCAAAAAATATCATAATATTGCCAGAACATGAAAGTGACCTAATAATAAGACCAATTTTGTAATTAATTGACTGTTTATTGTATTCATTACGTACTTGAATTACTCATTACGTATCTATGATTTATCAATAAACTAATAATCAACTTTGTTTATCGCCTCTTGTGTGTGTATTTAATCTTGATGAATTTCATTGGGGTGGGACTGGTAGCCAACAGTCAAATTTTAATTACATATTCCTACTCAAATCAATAAAAAATTATATTTAATTGTGTAATTTTTGTTTAATGACGTTCTAAACTTTCCAGTCTTTCTACTAATTACGGATTGCAGCACATTTAAAATATTGCCTACATAGGAACACCGGTGTTTTCCTCTAAATGTAATCTCTGCCCTATATCATTAAATATATTATATTTATCTAAAATTATTCTGGTGTTCCCTGTTTCCTTTCTATCACCGTTCTGCTTTTCAGGGTGAATAGTCGAGCGAGATAGGCTTCGTGACAATATAAATTTCTCAAAAAAAACTTCAAAGGGTATGAAAGCACCAGGACTTCTAAGAAAACAGCAGAAGTAAAAAAATTGTAAGGCCCTTTCCAAGTTAATGTTACATAACATCTCTTTCCGCTCTTGCACTAATGCAGATTCTGAAAAATTATTTGTTGTTGAAATTGGACTGATTCAATTACAATATTTCAAAGAGACAATTCTTCAGGTAGACGTTAGAATACCAGGTTTTGGCGGTACCGAATCAGTAGAATGGATAGATCCAAGTCACGCTTCCACAGGGTCGTATTTCAATAACATAGCCGATATCCTAGTCTCATTGGGTTATACCAGGAATGTCAGTATTAAAGGTGCCCCTTATGATTTTCGCAAAGGACCTAGTAAGAATCATAATTTTGTTTCATTATGAAATTAATAAAATGAGTTTTGTAGATGAAAATCAAGATTATTTTATAAGACTGAAAAAGCTGATTGAAGATACTTATGAGGAAAACAATCAAACCTCTGTTATGCTTATAGTACATTCAATGGGCGGGCCAATGTCTCTCTATTTTTTAAACCAGCAACCTCAATCTTGGAAGGACAAATATGTTAAAAGATTGGTAGCTTTAAGTGGGGCTTGGGGCGGATCTATTAAAGCTTTAAAGGTTTACGCTATGGGTAAGCAATAGTTATTTTTTCAAAAAGTTTATAAATAAATTTTGGGTTTTAGGTGATGATTTAGGTTCATATGTTCTTCGTCCTAGTGTAATGAGGGCAGAACAAATAAGTCAACCTAGTACTGCTTATCTTTTACCTTCGCCACTGTTTTGGAAGCCTGACGAGGTTTTAATTCAGACCCAAAAGAAAAATTTCACTTTGAATAATTTACATGAGTTTTTTGAGTAAGTTAATTTTATTTTCATAAACATGTTATTGAATATTTTTTGTTTTAGCGGAATCTCTTTTTCTGATGGTTGGGAAATGAAAAAAGACTTGGCTCCATTTCAAGCTAGTTTTAAGCCGCCAGGTGTTGAAGTACATTGTTTGTATGGTAATGGCGTACCAACTGTAGAACGGTAAGTATTCTAATTTTTGAAGAAATTCTACTGTAAGGACTTACACATCTTCAAATAGCACATTATTTGCAAAAATGATAAATACATATACTATTTCTAGATTATATTATAAGCCAGGTACTTGGCTAGATGGTACTCCAACGCTAATAAACGGCGATGGCGATGGTACAGTAAACCTTCGCTCCTTAGAAGGCTGTCAGCATTGGAGATCTTTACAAAAACAAAAAGTATTCTTAATGCCCCTACCAAAAATCGACCACTTGACCATTTTACGCAGTAATCTCACCTTGCAATATATTGCGGAGCTCGTTAAATCAGACGAGCCAAATTTCAAAGAGTACATCACAGAGGGGCCCCATAAGAGGTCGTGGATGGATAAGTTTAGGTTTTTGAAAAAAGAAAGCGCTCAGAGTAAGGCGCCTCATTGGCCGGATTTATTGTATGTTAATGATGTTTGAGATTATTTTGACTAAATTTAAAAATACAAAAACGTGATATTTTTTTAAATATTTTTTCCTTAGGAATATTCAATTTTATTTTAAAGGCACAGTTAATATTGATTTGACCTGACATTATTTTGATTAATTTAGAATAAAAATACTCATATTGTGATTTAAGATTTGCTTAGTTTATATACATATTTATTATTTAATTAAAATCTCTTGCTGTATATGCATATTAGGCATCTAAGTTTTTTTCTGTCCAGCAATAACCAAAGCATTATATTTTTTTTTTGTAGTTAGGTATGTATATTTGTTATTATGTATTATTAATAAATGGGTTAGAACAAAAATAATCATTTATTTTTTAATTAAAAAAAAAAATACGTTATTAAACAAATAATAATATATATTTCTCTATAATAATAATAATAATTATGAATACTATACCACAACAATGCACAATATTACAAAAAATTAATAACAATAATATTTTCAGCCTATATGCTTTAAATCTGTACAAAGATCTAATATATTATAAACTAAAGCGACCCACCAATTTAACCTAACTGGACAATAATTATTTCAACTTAACACCAATCACAAAACGACCACTTTGAAAAATTATTGAAAATTACAGAATAATCATATGTACTAAAAAAAAAATCATGATGTTCAGGTTCTTAAACATAAATATTACAATATTTTTTTTTTTTTCGGTTACTATGTATATAATTATATTCTTTGGAATAATTTTAGTATAAAATATTTAATCCTTATATTTATTTTGAGTAAATATTATAATTGTCTCGAAAAAGAATTATAATTTTTGGGGCTAGGGATGTAAACTATCTATTGTTAATTGGTATTTCCCCCAAAAAAATGTCGGCACCCTTTGCAAATCCTATTTTCCAGAATTTTTACTGTCTTTGAGCCTATGCATTAAAATAAATAAAAATTAAAAAATAATGTAGAAAGAGATTTAACCAATACTTAATATTTAACTTAAACTTAATATTTCAGGTAAAGCAAAAGAATCACATAATTTTTTAACAGACTTAAAAGAACTTGTAGATTTGTTTGTGTGACACTAATTCACTTATGTTTTACTACATATTAGTATTAACAGAGCATGAGCCAAAAACAATCTCAGTGTCATTTTTGTAAAATTTTTAATGTTCGATAAATTCAATTTTGAAGCTTCTCAGGTGCAGAACTGTTGGAACCAAATTGAAATCCTAATCAATAGGTTTGGAGAGAATTTAATTGGCTCTAGTTGGAGCCTAATTACTTTGAAATCGGATGAAAATTAGCGGAGCTGTGAGGCAAAACCTGTCTGAATGTAATTTCAAAACTGTTAGAAGAAAATTAAAATCTTAATTGACAGGTTTATAGAGAATTTATTTGGTTTAACTAGACCCTTATTACACTGAAATTGGATGAAAATTAACTGAGGTGTCTCCTGAAGATCGTGTATTGCTAACTTTCCAGACATCATTTTATGTATCTCAAAAACCAGTGAGAATTTGAAAAATTGGTACATTTTTGACCATCTCTGGGTGTAAATTTCGTCAATTTCATTTTTGATTGAAATAACAAATTGAACTTTGAAAAAATAAACCTTTGAGATGGACTGGGAATAATTTCTCAAAATTTATAATTTGTCTTATTAGTATCACACACAAATCACCCCTTACTAATCACGGAAAAAAAGTCACACAAAAAAAAAAAAGAAGAGAGACAAGATTAAAATACAAAGATACAAAAAATGTATAAAATATATTTGTTTTTCTAATAGAAATTGAAATAAATATTATAATTAATTTTGGCGCAATAAAAAAATCATTTCAAAAGCTGGTGTAAAATCTCTTATGTATAATGTCTCTCACTGTTCCGGACGACACCATATGTCATGTATTAAATATACTAGAAATATATTGATGATTTTAGAATCTCTCACAAACTTTACTTGCTTTAATAAAAAAATTAAAAATCACTTACCTCAAAAAAGGCATTCGAGCGTCCCCACCATACTTATAATAGTACAAATATCCAATCAAAACTGTAGCAGTGGCAAATATCAAACCCAATTTGCTTCTTCTACTGAATACCAACCACGCTGGCATGCGGTTGTTGAATCGGACCCACAGACTTTTTTGTCCTCTCAGTCTGTTCCTCATCATTTGTTCGTTTTTCTTTCTTTCAGCCATTCTTAAAAGAAATGCTTGATGTTATCCATGTGTGTCCATCAACAACAGAAAATTAAATGCCAAGCAAAGCGGAAAGAATAAATGATTAAGAGTCCACACACCACATAAACAAGCAAAGGAGCAAAAAAAAAAAGCTTTAAAAATTAAAACTTATTTTAATATACAAACAATAAAAGCAGAAATATTTACACAGGCTTGCGCGGCCTTGATTTCCTGTAAGGAACTAAAGTAGCAATAAAATAGATATAGTGGCGAAATGAAAACACTTTTTTCACAACACCAAAAACTTTTTTCAACAGTACTAACAAATTAAACTGTACATACTCCCTTTCCACACGTGTTTTGACCAATTTTTCTAGCTTGTCTGGTGGATAGTCCTTGTAATACTTCATTGCGGCTACCAGGATCGATTCAAAGTCCAAATTGTCAGGGATTTGGGATAGAAGACAATGAATACTGGCCATGTCGCAACCTAGCCATTTATATTAAATTTTGATTGATTTTGCTATTAAAATTGCTTACCTTCTGCAAAAATTTCATCCCTTCGATAAATCACTAAGGAAGTAGCAACATATAAAGGCATTAGAGGTGGAGTGGCTAAAAAGTAATCATAAAGCCTTACAACGTCTTTGTATTGGTTCAAAGAGTGTCCAAACCAAGTCAAATACCAAGGCAAGGCAAACATTGTACCTACACCTGCACTGAAAATTTTAAAAAAATTGTAATACATTTATATTTATTAAATAAGTAATTACCTGTCCATAAACCCGTGCACATCCTTATCGACTTTATACAACAAGGCGTAAATGTAATTCAATCTGTAATCGGTTTTTTCCATCGTGGATTCCATGCATTCCCTTAAATTTTCTGTACTTAATTTTTCCATTATCCTAAATGCAACCGCTTCTCCTACTACTAAAAGAAATGTAATTGCTACATCGTGATATCCCTAAAAAAAAAATACATCTGATTAGCATATACTAGTAATCAAAATCAAAATAAAACCTGTTGTGTAAGAAGATTCTACTCCTACACAAAATATTGATATGTTTTAGTGTGTCACATTGCCTCACGCTTTATTTTTAAATTTTCTAAATATGCGCAATATTGCACTTCCTGATACTTTTTGAAGGAAATATGTATGTATGTAAACACAAAAATTGGGTTCGATTTGTTAAATTTGTCTATCTTATCTTAGACAACAAATACATAGTTTATTTTTATAGCTATTAATCTCTCGATTATAGACAAAATTAAACGAGTCTGTTCAGTTTATTTTGAAACAGTAGTTATAGCGTTATAATTTTAATCCATTGCATGTGGTAGTTATGATGCCATGGGAATCTTACCAAATATTTCTGGTAAATCAAGCAACAATGATAGTTTTAGGGATTTTGAGAAAATTTGGAATTTAAATGTTCGTTCGTTTTTGGTAAGTAATAAAGTAGCATTTCGATTTTAGTTAGCTTATTAAAAAAAAATTTAATATGCATATAAGTACATAGATTGTTAAATCAAAATAACTTTTAAAGCTAAGTAGTGACTTTGTCTTACTTCTAAAGTTATTGGAAATGGCTCAACTTTTAAAGAACTTTCTGATTATTTTGCTCAATCTTCATTCTGAAACTTTTGATACTTCCAAATATCACTTAATTTTTGTTTCAATTTTTTTATTTGAAATGTTTCCAGTTGAATTATTTGATATAATTTGCACTTGTGAAAATTATCATTTGTTGTAAAAAATTATCTATTGGAAAACTAAAAAATGTTATTCCAACTAACAGAATGACACTACACATTGGTGTGATTCAAAAACATTGTCTGTATAAATCATAAATTAGTCCAATCTTTTTTAACCATTACCTATATGTATTTCCAAGCATGTAAAGTTGAAAAAGTAAAAAATTCTAAATAAAATCCCTATTGAGAAAAAAATTGGATTCAAATATATACAGGGTGCTACAAGTTCGCGAGTAAGTATGGGGATCTCGGTAATTATAATAGATATAGGGTTTTGATTTTTTTAAAATCATGACGAGATTAAGAAAATTGCCAATATTCCTAATAAAATTTGAACAAATCAAAATAAATTATACACTATTAGAAAACACATTAAATTCTCCATAAATCTGTGCTGAATTGAGTTTGATAGCTCAAATAATTTTCGAACAATTGAACCTCAAAGCCAAATTTTAGTAAAAAACTTCAAATTTTTTCAACATCTATAAGCCTGAAAAATTCAAATTTTTATTTTTTATATTTCCCAAATTTTAGCTTTTCCAATAAATAAAGCGGGTCTAATTCGAAGAGAAAAAAAAATGAAAAAGAAAATTTCATTTTTTGGTTCTGATTTTCTTTTTTTGAACCATGACAAGGTTAAGAAAATTGACAATATTTCCATTGAAATTTGAACAAATCAAAATAAATCATGTATTATAAGAAAGAGCATTAAATTCTCTATTAATCTGTTTTAAATTGAGTTTCATAGCTCAAATACTTTTTGAACAATTGAGCCTCAAAGTTGAATTTTAGTCAAAAACTTCAAACTAAATTTTCTCATCGATAGAGCTGGTTTAAAATAGTAAAAAAACAATGTAATATTATCTTCAAATGACCATTTCAAACAGAAAAAAAAATCAAAAAAGAAAATCTCCATTTTTTAAAAATTCTGACAAGGTTAAAAAAATTGCCAATATTTTCAATGAAATTCTAGCAAATCGGAATAAATTATACACCATTAAAATGAGCATTATATGCTCTATAAATCTGTTCTAAATTGAGTTTGAAACCTCGAATACTTTTTGAGCAATTGAGCTGCAAAGTTGAACATTGTCAATGAACCAAAAAATCCCAAACTGTTGCTCCAACCCTCCATTGGTTCTTATGACAAACACGGATTTTACTCTTATTCTTGAGAACTGTTAAAGATAAACTTATTGAACCAATGGAATTAGCAAAAGCAGAGCAATTCAATGAGTTATTAATATATAGAATGTCCTATTGAAAAAAAATCAGACTTTGGTCAATACCTCCAAATGTTGGCCAAATCCCAAAAAACACAAAATGTTACTGGCCTCTGGTTGCAAAACTACTGGGTGATTGTGTATATTTTGCACCCACACCTATCTCACCTGTTTGAAGAAATACCCAGAAATGTCAAATGTGAAAGTTGTAAGTAATATCAGAAGCTTTGCGATGAAGTTAGTTACAAGTATACAGGGTGTGTCACAAAAGTATGGCGAAGCAAAGTTATATTTTTTAAATGGAACACCCCATATATTATTGATCTATTGGATTAGGCTTTCAAACCTGATTCCAAATATACTAGATTTTTTAGGTTGACTCCTCATAGTCCAGCCTCAAAATAACCCATTTTGATGCTGGTCTCTATACTTCACATTTTTCAATTAAAATGCAATTATTCCACCCCTTTTTTTCTTATTTTCTCCCGGACTAGTAGGAATAAACCTAGTATATTTGGAATCAGGTTTGAAAGGCTGATCCAATGGGTTAATAATATACTGGGTATTCCATTTAAAAAAGTATAACTTTGCTTCGCCACACTTTTGTGACACACCCTGTATACTTGTAACTAACTTCATTGAAAACTTTCTGATATTGCCTATAACTTTCATATTTGACATATTTGAATATCTCTTCAAACAGGTGAGATAGGTGTGGGTGCAAAATATAGACAATCACCCGGTACCTTGATAAAGTTACGAGTTAAGTTATTACAGAAATTAATTATTCCATATAGAAAAAAGTTATGAAGAAATTTGAGCCTCAGAATGGGGATTGTATCTTACTCAGAAGTTGATGTTTTCTATTAAAAATATCCAAATTGGTCCACCCTGTACACAATAATAATTATCCTTAAACAGTAGTGAGAAACATGACATAATTACATATCAAAGGGTAAGTACCTTATGCGATTAAATATTGATAAAAAAGTAATAATCATTAATTGATATAATTTGTGATTTAGGATTTAGGTATGTATGAGTAATTAATTTTTTATAATTTTACTTATTTATAGCAGTGAATAAAAATTTACAATTCTTTTATAGAAGAAAAACAATGGTCCCAATACACTTTTGCATCTTAACTGCTGTGTATGCATCTATAATTCAAGATAAGTTCACTTTTGAGGTATGATGAGGTACCTATGTGTGAAGCAAATTGAAAATTAATCAAAATCTACTATAGAAAAGTTAAGGAACAAATAACACTTAATAATCAAATAATAATTAGAATTCAATATCCAATCCGTAATATCTTTTTTGGACTTAAAATAAGGTTTAGTTCTAATACTGGCTGGCAGATTATTACAAAACAATAAATATGACTTTGGCAAGTTGATTGGATAGGCCAAAGCCTGAAAATACATCCAAAACCCTGACTAATTCAACAGAAAAAGAAATTACATGTATAAAAAAAAATCCACTTACCTGATAATACCTTAAATGAGGATATTTAATTATAACCCTTAATATTAGTACTGTAAGTTGATCTTGTAACGCTACTCTTTGTTCATATGGAATGCCTAATGACAAAATAATAATTAGTTAAAAATCATATAAAATGTTTGATACAAACCTGGAGGAAATCTTTTGAGTGACCTATTTACATCTAAAATGACTTGCTGATATTCGGGGTGATCCGAAAGTTCTTCTAGTGATGGAATTTTTTCGTCTGTACTTGGATCTACCTCTAACAGCAAGGGCCAAACGGTAAACCTCAAATCATCTATAAGAGGTTTTTGAACTTAACAGTGCATCTCTTAAATTGGTCTATAGAAAAAATACTGTCCTAGATTTAGGGGAGTGAGATACCCTTTGTGATATTGCGAAAAAGGAGTTATGGGATTTCAACAAGTTTGGTTCCTTTTGTAAATGAACAAAACCAGCATTAGCATTTTTCTGTTCACATTTAAAAGGCTGTAACTTTCTGGTGAATTATGTCTGGTAGGAACAGTATTTTTCAAACATTCTAATTTTATATTTCTAGGTTGACATCTAAACAAAGTAGCTTCAAATGTGTTTCCACTAATAGAAATTAACAATTAATTAAATAATTTACCTCCAACTAAACCAAATTTGCTCATTGCCAAATCTTTCCAGGTTTTCAATGTTGTTGATTTATTTCCTATAGCAGCTTCAATTTCTTTCCTTTTATGTTTCTGTTCGTCGCTTTTTGAATTGAATTTGAATTTGAACTTACCTCTCTCAAATTTGAGCTCAGATCTAGTATCGACAATATCATCATCATCCAACAAACTATCCTGGAAAGTTTTATCCGAATGACTATTTACCAAGTAAGTTGTTTCCTCGTCCAAACTGCTAATTTCCGAATCAAAATTCTCCATTATTTATATTATTCTTGTGCAATGTTTTTTTTTTTCAACTAGACATTTTATTATCAGTGTAGAAAATACAATAATTCTTTGAAAAATGAAAATATTTTTTTAGAGTAAATAGATAACCTCAAAATCTTTAAATGTAGTAAACGTCATCTGATCAGCTGATTGATGTTTTGCGCTGTTGTCAGATTGGAATTTTACACTGGGTTGATTCTTGAATAGCGCTTTCGACTTTTGCCTTGAAACTGCTCCCTAGTGATTCAAAACGGATTCACATGATTGGCGTAAAAGGGCGAGATTCGCGTGTTCGACTTGAGTAATAGGAGGCTCTCATATCTCGCACGGAGAGCTCTTTCTTACTTCGTCAAATTCGATAGATTGAAGAGTTTGATCGAATTTACACTCGTGAGCATTAAAAGTGGGACACCAGGCTGACAGGTATCGTCATATTTCGCTATTTTGGGTCAAGTATAATAGACACTAACACTACAGGATAGCCTATCGTCATAAGGCCTGTGTGGAACAAATCTGAAGTCCCCCCACCAGGCCACCACGCCAAATCACCAATTGTGACGTAGCAGCATGTCCTTTCTCGCCTTGACGTAGGCTGTTTGCACCACAGGTTATGATTCCGCGAGCTTTTGCTTTATGCATAAGTTGTATTCCTTTCAAGAGTTTGAAACTCTCGAGCTACTCGCTCCGGTGTTCAGTCGCCCCCGATTTACAGAGAATAGATGCGTGGTGCAACAAACACTTTTCGAAAGAAATAAGCGCGTGAAGCCCCGGAGCTGTTCCAGAGCTTCTCCTAGATGATGCCATGAAAGACAGATGCCACAAGGGGGAATGTTGTTTTTTTCTGTTGCTCGCTGACATATGACGTTTTCGAAAGTTTTGTCATATTTCCCTTCACAGATTTCATCAATTGGAATACGTGTTGGAAGCAATTTTCGCCATTTAACATAATGAGTGCGACAAAAACAGGTATACCCTCCGCAGCAGCCGCACTAGGCTTCACGTTCGTCCTTATGTGTTAGCATAAATAACAAACCAAAAACAGCTTTTCTATAAACACTTACCCTCAAAAATTCCAGTTTTTGGTTATAGTTCATTGGGTTTACACCACATTAATTGACATTCTAAAGCCTAGTACTCATAACTGCGAAATTCGCATTTTTTTGACATTGCGTTGACAATTTGATGTTTTATGCGTGTATCAAACGTCAAATTGTCGAAGCAATGTCAAAAAAAAGCGAATTTCACAGTTATGAGTACTAGGCTTAAAACAATTCTTTTTTAGATCTCGTTTTCATCTTCCTCTTTGCCTATTAGGTTAATCAAAATTATGTAATTTTTTCCATCATAAATATAAATTCTAAACTACGACCGTTAGTGCGAACCATTAAGGTAGAATAATAAGGAGAAGCTGTCATCATTTGAATAGTGCAATAGAAAACGGCATCGGTAGGCGTGGCTAAGTGTCGGAACAATATGGCTACTTAAACAGAGCCGAATTAAATGGATTCTTTCAAATGTTTATCTAAAAACATAAAAAAATCGAGATTACATCCAAGAAAGAAAAAGTTGTTACAGAAACTTCAACATACTGAAACAGGAGATCCTTCCAAGACCCAAATAGAAATTCTGGGCTTCAAACATTTTTCTCATATAAAAAATCTTTGAAGGGAAAATGCGGCCCTGATGCAATTTTGACGCGTTGCTATGACAAAGGTGACAGAATTTCAGACAGTAGTGTCGTAACAATATGGCGGAAGTGGATACGCTTTTTTCTCCTCATATCGCCTCCTTATTATTCTACCTCAATGGTGCGAACACTGCGAACAGCTGATGACTTAGTTATGACGTCGGAAATGGTGACTCACCAATATGGCGGCGATTACCAGAAACGAGCAATCCTTAGTAGTGTGTATTATCCTTGATTTTGGGGAAATCAGTCTGTACACCTTGCGTTCGGTATTTTCCTCAAAGAGCAGAGCGTGCAGAGCGGAGCCGTAATTACGTGACCAGCGATCGCACAGAGCAGTTGAACACTGTATCAGAGGGCTCGAAATTTTATTAAACGAACGCGAATGAGCCTGCACCGAGTACACTTTTTGAATAAACGAATGGTAAATTTATGCTCGGACAACTCGGATCAAAATAACGATCGCACGGTCAGTAAAACGGATTTTTCTGCAAATATGACAATCCCTGTCATTACGAACGGTGTAGCTGGTGAGCTTAACCGAATTTTCGCGACGAATAATGTAGTTCATCAATAGTTCGTCTTGGGACGGAGTGAGAACAGATTTTTGTCACGCGATTTCGGAGTGATTAGAGTGAAAAATTAATACTCAAACGGTCGGAGCAAAAATGTCAAACAGCTGACTTGTTGTACTATAAATTAACTTCAATTCCTCTACAATAATGAATAATATGATGCTTTTGCCTCTGATTTACTTTGTCAAGGAAATTTATCCATCATGTTTAATAAATTTTAAAATCAGATCAATTATTTTACTCGATGATTTTACCAATTCCCGTATCCACACAAACGATTTAAGCCGGAGTCTCATGCATCCGAAAACGGATGCATGAGACTCCGGCCTTAATCCTTTTAACAACAACCACAACGTGACGCAACAAGCTTAAAGCTATACATCCTCAATCAATCTGGCAGCGAAGTGGCAATTCGGCACGCGTGCTGGGAAATTGATACCCATCCTCAATGCTGTCAATTTTCAGTCTGCTGTGCGTGTAGTACGGTCACGAACCGTGCGTTCAGTATTTTGATCTGAGTTCTCCGAGCATAAATTTATCGTTCGTTTATTTAAAAAGTGTACTCGGTGCAGGCTCATTCATGTTCGATTATTAAAATTTTGAGCCTTCTGATACAGCGTTTAACTGCTCTGTGCGCTTGCTGGTCACGTGATTACAGCTCCGCTCTGCGAGCTCTGCTCTTCGAGCAAAATACCGAACGCAAGGATAACCTGAATTATCTTTTACCGTTCTGCGCATGACATAAGTCGGCACGCATCGAGGAAGCTTGTAGCTTGCAAGCTTGCACTTCAAAGTCGGCGTGCATGCTAGCACGGAATTGAATTGAGGATGCCAACGTTAAACAACATTACCCTAGCATGCGTGCCGAAGTGCCACTTCGCTACCAGATTGATTGAGGATGGGCCTTAACAGTTTAAGCATTTCACTTCTGCGTATGCCCACTGTAAAAAAATTTCTTTCCGAGGTGGAACTTTCGGAGTGAACTCCATTTACTCCACTCCGTATAGTCGAAAGCTAATGCCAATACGCCAAAAAGCCACGAACGGCAGAAGTCCGAATGGAGTCACTCGGAGTGCACGGAGTGAGCAAGCCGAACCCACCTGAAATAGGAAAAATCCGGGTGTCCCATTTTTAATGCTCACGACTGTATGTTCGGCTCTTGATTTCAAATGGTGTACCCTCGTTAATCGCTCTCGGAGCACTACTGCAAAGATCTGTGACATCACCGACTAAACAGGGAGTGCTCTGGGAGCAGTAAAGCCGAAAATGATATAAATCTACTCTATCAAAAATTGGCAACAAAAACGTTTGCTGTAATTGTCAAATAAAAATACCACTGACATTTTCGAGACGTCAGTTAAAAAATTCAAATTCACCGGGAATTTTTTTTCTTAAATTCAAGTTATAAAATAATGAATTCATCGGGTTCGTTCAGCATTCTCGATATAGAAAATTTCAAAGAAATTGAAGACGTGATCGATGCCAGAAAACGCTTGGGCCAGTACAACGTATTAAATCTTACCAACGCATTGAGAGGCATTCATTCGAATCATCAACAATATCAAAATAAACCTGTTAAATTCGACTTGAGTAAAAACGTTTCAGCCACTAGCGTAAGTGGAATCGCACGTACAGATTCCGAAATAACTATATTTGTTCTGAAAGCAAAATGCACCTCGAAAAGAAAATCCAAATGGGGCGGTATGGACGACATCGCTATCCCTGGAGATGGTACGCATTTAGGAGACAGTCCTTCTTTGGTAAATTTGGCCACTCTGGTAACGCAAAATGCCCAATGCGAAGGCGAAGACGAATATTTGGTACCCCTGTCCTCGTGGGACCCATACATCAAAACCGAGGATATTTCCAACAATATGAAATTCTTTTCGGAGACTTCGATCCACGACAAACGGCACCGTACATTATTTTACGCCGATTCGAATAATATTAATGCGAATACTGTGAATAGTAACGAGCAAACTGAATTCGTCGATGATGAAGTGCCTCAAACCACTCGATCCAGTTGGGCGGGAAGGTTTTCGAAATTTTGGAGGAAACAGTGGCGCAAACGAAAAACCCTAGTTTTGCCCGACGCGGCCGGTAATGCAGGAATCGGCCGAGAACAACAACGATGAAAGTAAGAGTAAGGTTATGTTTTATGTTGTTTGTTGTGTTTTTACATTATTTTTAAATCCGAGAAAGTTGTTGCATTTTATTGAATTGATTGCTTAAAATAAGCTTATGGCTTGAGTTTTCCTGTGAAATAAAATGGAGTTTCATCCAGCAGAAATTCCTTCGAACATTCTAAATCATGTAAGTTAAAAGGAGTTTCATTATTTATTCAATAACTTATTTATTAATTTTTTATTGCTTTCAAATAATTCTTTGCTATTAAAATAATATCAACCTTCTACCCCTGCTACAAATCACAGGGTTGACAAAAATCTGGCTAATTGTATTAACAAGAGCTTGGTGGGAGCCCCAAAACAATTCTAAAAGGTTAAGGTAAGGAGTGCTGCGTTGCCAAATTGACGTCAAAGGTCAAAGTATATTATTTTGTTTGGGGTTAGATTTTCCTAACAGGTGCGAACGTTATTGTTTAACCCTCGGGAGGGCGCGCTATCGGCCTTTTATGCCGCCTTTTCACTAGTTCAAGGATTCCGCAAATATTGTGGATTTTATCATATTGTCTGTCTAGCTATGTTCAAATGACTATATTAGAAAACCTACCACGCACAATTTACGACCTTAGAGTGCTTGTTCAGATATCCGTTAGCTCTTGAACTTGCAGTTGTTGAGTTTTCGGCATTCCGTGCCGCCAGCGCGCCTGGTCATGTTAGTAAAATTGCAAGGGGAATAGTACACATATTATGAATATTATTTCTGTATTTTTGCGAAATTAGTATAAAGGATTTCATCTAGTTGCTTGGAATTACAATTTATTTTATTTTTTTACTCTATTTAAGAATAAATTTTGACGTTTTGAATTATTTCGTATGTTTTTCTTCTGGCGGCACGCAGTGCCGCAGCGCGCCCGCTGATGTGATTTTCAAATGGGCGCCTGCCCTAGGGTTAACGAGTGACGAAAACAACAGTTTTTAGATTATTATTATGTAGGTAATGTTTTCTAGTTACAAAATAGTATATTGTGTATTTAGGTGGAAAAGTGACACATTCTCGGCCGACGGTGTAAGTTGACAGGCAAACACCGAAGGCCGGGAATGTGCTTTTCCACCGAAATACACATACTGTTTTTTCTGCGATCGGTTAAATACCTGTTAAATGTTTGTCTTTTAGTTCCAATTATTCAGCAATACGAGAATCACTTTCCCGGCCTAGGCCGGAAAAGTGTTTCCCGTATTGTTATTCATTGATTCCTTAGCAACTATTGAAACATAACTGAAATACCAGAATATTGAGTTTTGCGACCTGTCAACCGGTCAAAAATGCTGACATTTCTTGTCAATCGCAGAAAAAATGATTTTTGACGAGAATTGTTTATTTTTCAATGGTCAGAAAAAAACTTTTTGCAGATGCTAGTTTGTTTGTGCAATGAAAAATTTGGATTTTGTTGGAATTTTCGACATTTTTATACAACAATTGTAAACAGGATTGCTTATCCTAATAAGGCGTATGTTCACCAATTCTTGAGCAGGCAGGGTCTGCGAGTGACGTCGCCACAGCTGCTAATAGTGATGACGTCACTAGCAGACCTCGATGGAAGGCTTGCGATTCAGGCTGTACTCGTTATTTGATTTTTTCGTCGATTTTTAATAAAGAAAAGGTGATTTTAAAAAGATTTTAACGTTTAGGAATTCATTCTTTCGTGTGCTTTAAATTAAAATAATGCATTTTACTCCAAGAGTTGAGGTATGCAGCTGACATAACAGTTGGCACACTTTTAGCTCAATAAGCAGTCCTACTAGGGATTGAAAACAGGATAATCTCTGCCATTTTCTTGACACCTAAAACTAGGATGATCCGTTTTTTCCTACGAATGTGCGGGAAAAAAACGTTTAGCATGCACAAAGAGTAATCTTTCCGCACACCCTTGAGAAAAATTGTGCTCCTTATGCCTAGTTCTCATAACCGCGAAATTCGCTCTTTTTTGACATTGCTTCGACAATTTGACGTTTGATTCACGCATAAAACGTCAAATTGTCGAAGGAATGTCAAAATAGATCGAATTTCGCTGTTATGAGTACTAGGCTTTTAACACTTGCGAGAAATGGTATTTCTCGCACTAGTTAGAAAAATATCTATTTTTTTCCGAATTTGAAATGTAAAATTTTTTTGGCCCTGTAGGAGAACAAACGAGTTTCTAGTTCCACTCTAACCAAAAGGCGGTGCTTCAAAATACAAAATTTGTAGTTTCAATTTTATTCAATTTCCAATTTATTCAATCATAAGCAGTGTAATCAAATTATTAAAGGTTATTATATTCTGTGTCCACTCAAAACTCAAAAGGCCGGGATAATAATAATAAACAACTGTAGTGGCGTGGCCTGGCGCTGATTCCAGTCCAAACATGAAAATGCCAAAAATTACGTCGCATATAAATTGTTTCGGAGCTACCACCAAGCTCTTGTATTGTATTATAGTGGATAGTGGACTAGGTGACGTCACACGAATAAATTCACTTTCGATGAGGGGACAAACATACAGACAGTCTCTAGCTATTACGTCACAAATCCCATAACGTCACTTTCGATAGGGGGACAGTTGATCACTTTATGACGTGGGGTATCCTAACATAATGCAAATCTCCACAAGGCACCCCAGATGCGTCATCAAGTTACCCATTACCAGACAACTTATTAACTTTAGGAACCTAGATGTTTGTCCCCCTATCGAAAGTGAGGTTATGTGATTTGTGACGTATTAGCTAGCTAAGGATAATACACACTACTAACTACTACACAGGATTGCTTATCGGCCTCGTTTTTTGGGAATCGCGGCCATATTGTGTAGCACCATTGACGACGTTGTCAACAACGTCGTGTGTATTTTCCTTGTGTTTCCTCAAACGCTTTATTTGACCCCCCATCAAGAGTGAGGTTATGTGCGTGACGTCAGCCAGTGCCTAATTAGCCTATCCAAAACACAACACAAGCAAAACACGTAAACAAAGGATTTGTTACTACACAGGATTGCTTGTCGGCCTCTTTTTTTGGGAATCGCAGTCATATTGTGTAGCACCATTGACGACGTCGTCATCTGTTTGCGCCAGCGGTTGTAGTTTAGAATGAACATTTATGATGAAAAATATTATTCAATTTTGATTAACATAATAGGCAAACAGGAAGATGCAAACGAGATCTAAAAAAGTACTGTACTAAAACCAAGTATGCATAAAGCAAAATCCCAGGGAATCATAACCTGTGGTGCAAACATCCTACGTCAAGGTAACAAAGATTACGCTGCCTACGTCATTACTGGCTCTTTGGCGTGGTGGGGAGCTTGAGATTTCATCTATACAGACCTTATGAGGAAAAGCTATCCTGAAGTAGTAGTAGTGTGTATTATCATTATTATCCTTGTCAAAACCTAACATTTTCAAACAGATAACTACTTATCCAGGTATCAAAGAGTGCTTGAGAACATTTTAAAGAGTTCTGATTAGTTCTAGAACATTCCAGCACAGGGAGCCAATTAAAAACTCTGGAAAGTATTTTGAAAAGCTTCAGAATGCGCTAGCGCCATGTTAGAATATGATTGAGCATTTTAAGACGCTCTAGAGCAATTTAGAACTTTGATAAGCTTCAGAAAACTTAATTCAATTTTCAATCCTGCTGCATTTGTTTGAGACAAATTGGAATCTTGATAAACATTGTAAAACTTTAGGTACAGAATATTTAGAACCAATTTAGAATCTCAGAGATATTCTAGAACAGACCAGAACACTTCTGAATTTTCGGTAACATTTTAGGAAGCTTTTGTAACACTCCAGAAAACCTTACAAATCATATGGAACTTTTAGAAACAATCTGAACTAGAAACTCTCAGAATATCTTGAAAATGGTCACATGGCACTTCAGAACTAACTTAAAACTTCCATGAACACTGTATAAAACACTTCTGAACTTATTTAGAATGTCAATCAGAAGTATCAAAAAGCTCTAAGAATATTTGAGAAATTTCAGATAATCTGATAATTTCTAGAACATTTCGGCGCTTCAAGAGCAGAATGTGCTCGTGCCAATTTCGAACATTTTTTAAGCATTTTGAGACGCTCTAGAGCACTTTAGAATAAATTTAGAACTTTGATAAACTCCAGAACACTTTTAACTCAATCTCCAATCCTCCTGCATTTGTTAAGGCAAATAAGAACTTACAGGAACACTGTAAAACGTGAATAAGATGTAAGAACTTACTCAAAACTTTCATGAGCATTATTAGAACACTCCATAAAACAGTTCTGAACTTATTGGGATATTGATTGGGAGATTTCTGATAACTTCTAGAACATCCTAGCGCTTCAAGAGCAGAATGTGCTCGTGCCAATTTGGAACATTTTTCGACGCTCTAGAGCATTTTTAGAATAAATTTAGAAATTTGATGAGCTCCCAGAACACTTTCAACTCAATTTCCAATCCACCTGCATTTGTTGCAGGCAAATAAGAACTTGCAGCAACATTGTAAAACCTTAATAAGATGTTGTACATTACATGTGTGTTGTATAAGCATATCAACAACATGTGTAATGGACAACATACATATAGTAGCTACAATTTTTAAAAAAAAAACAAAAATTGGAAGATAATTTATGTAATAAAATTGTATCCTAAAGAAAATTCTAGAAAACACTAATTTAGTTTTTGTAGTGAATCGGTTGTAGATATAATTTTGTATTTCACACAAGTGACAGGTTGTGACCAAATTCGAGAGCTTTGTATGCGTTAAAGCGGATGAATCACGTATAACATTTTTTCTGCGATTGCTGGTCCTGTAAATCAAATAATTATCAACTCAAAAACCGCTTGAATTGTCAACACTACCTAGAATAGACAAAAATTGTTGTTAAGTCCTCTTCTGTTTGTAGCCTTTAGAAGCAAACTTATTTAGAATTGTCAGAAGCAAAATCAAGCTCCTTGCATCTGAAAGTTAAGTACTTCAGCAATAAATGGAAAAAGTCCTAATTTGTTATTTTTGTTCCAGACCACAAACAACGCCCAAAACGCAACGGAAACAATCCTGCTGGTCCTGCCGTCATTTTTCTACATGATCATAGCAGTCCTGCTGTCCACCCTTTTGTTACCGCTACAAAGTAAAACCTCCATATTCTTTGCAGAATTTGTTGTAATAGTAATACCTATCATATTAAACGTCACCATACTATCACCTTATGTAACAAACGTCGTCATTATATCGTGTTTCATATTGGGCATGCACTTGATTATTTCTTTGGTTTATATTTATTGTAAAAGAAAAAAGAGCATTAAAGCTCCAAAGAGTATAACGTCAAATAAAAAGGATTATATTACTAATGTCCGTGCCACAATTAATTTGATTTCTGTGATAGCGATTTTGGCTGTCGATTTTAAAGTGTTTCCTAGTAAATATTCAAAAACACATTTGACTGGTTTCAGTCTTATGGATGTAGGTGTTGGGTTGTACGTATTTGCCAATGCAATTGTAGCACCCGAAGTTAAAGGTAAAAAAGATTCCATACAAAATTCAATAAGAGGTTCAGCAATACTAATAATAATAGGCTTATTGAGGCTAGTTTCAACTAAACTGACTCACTACAAAGTGTCTAGCTCTGAATATGGTGTCCATTGGAATTTTTTTATAACTTTAGCTTTTACAAAAATTTTCTCTTCATGTATACTCAATGTTATCAACGTAAAATATATTTTTTTAAATGCCTCAATGCTAACATTTGCTCATGAAACTTTATTGCAAATGTCATTTAAACAATGGGTGTTTCAGTCAGATATTAGAAATAATTTTTTAGATGCCAATAAGGAAGGTATAGTTTCAACTATAGGATATGTAGCTTTGTATTTGCATTCAGTTTATTTTGCTTATGTTATCAAGCAACAAGAGAAAAACTATAGAAAAGCCAGCGTTAAATTTTTCTTGAGTACTGCAATAACATTGACTCTGACTTTTTTTTGTAATCAACATTTCCAAGTGTCCAGACGTCTGGCGAACGCCGGTTACATTTTCTGGATACTCTTTATAGGCATTTTGATGACTTGGTTGTTTTACTTGGCCGAAAACGCCGAAAAATATTTGTTCCGGCACAAATTGCGGCATTACGTTTGTTCGCCCTATCTTTACGAGGCAGTCAACTACAACGGGCTGGTTTTTTTTCTAGTAGGGAACGTACTAACTGGGTTTGTTAATTTATCGACAAATACCAAACTTGTGAGTAACGCTAATGCTTTGTTGATACTTGTTGTGTATATGCTGATTAATTGTGGTGTAGTGTTTGGGCTGTATTTGAAAGAGTGGAAGTTGAAGTTTTGAACGGGAGTGTTTTTGACGATATTTTGTAGAAATGTATTTATTTGTATATAGAAATCAAAATGCCAGCATTAATTTTTAGATTTTTGTAAAATAAATAAGGTGTCTTTATAGCTGTCAGAATCTTCAAAGACCTCAGTCTGTCAGATCTTTTTAATTCAAAGTCTTAAATTAAGTTTTGAAATTTGTAGGTTTTTTAGTAACTTTAGAATCTTCAGATGCAGTCTTGAGACTTAAGTTTTCCGTGTCTTCAAATCAAAGTCTGCAGTGTTTTATCCAAAGTTTTTAGAGTCGCATTCTTTTAGTTCATGAAGTCTTCTGCAGAGGCTTTTGATTACCAGCCACTCAAATTCATTGAATTCTTCAAGATTTGTGAATATTTAGTGGCTTCAAGTTAAGAGCATGTAAATCTTTGAAATTTGTAGTTTTTTTTTGGACTTTAGAATCCTCAGAAGCTTCAGTCTTAGGACTTAAATCTACCAAGTAGTTATATAGAGTCATCCTTCTAAAATCTTGAAAAATAGGTCTTTGATTCAAAGTTTTAGTTTTAGTCTTAGTTCATGAGCTTTAAGGCAAAGTGTTGACAATCTTTGGGTCTTCAAGGACAATTAAAAATCTGACAAAATCATTGTTTTCTTGTAGTTTTGGCGTTGTTAGAATTGGCTTTAGTCTTACATCAACAGAGGCTTCAGCCTAAAATCATTATGTCTTGAGAATCTTTAAAGACTTTCCTGATGTGTATTTAGAATTTTTGGAGTTTCTACTTTAAGGCTATGATCCTCAAGACACTTCGAAATCTCTAAGAACTTCAAAGCCTTTGGAATCTTTAATGACTTTAAATCAAAAGCCTTAGAAACTTCAAACTCATGTAAATTTTCTGGCAACTTTGAATTCTTGCAGTACTTCTACAGTCTTTCAAAATTGAGTCTTTTCAAGTCATTGATGTTGCCTCTTTATAATCTAGGTAGAATATATGACGAGTATATTATCCTTATTTTTGTACAGTTTCGCTTTTATTGGAGTAAAAAAAAGTAAAAATGTAGATTCCTTTTTAGTTTGAGCCACAATGTATAATTTTTGTATTTAATTAAAATTAATGAAATGTTAACTTGTATTAATTTATCTTTTTTTTTAAGCTGTTTATTGTTTTTAATAAAAATTCTGGAGTTAAGGGAAGTAGTTTTTCTTTTTTAATTATAAATTAAAGTTAGAAAATTACATAAAAATTTGATTATAAGAAAAATATGACAATCAGATCTAAAAAAGTTATACAAAGATTCTACAAATATTTCAATAAACACTAGTTACATTTCAAGTGCAATTTTGAGCATTAAAATCTTTAAAAAACTGTATGTATAAGACTAGAGGTAGAAAAATATGACACATAACAGATCATTAGGTTCTTCCGAAGAGTAAACCATCTTGGAATTATAGCGTACAAGCATCTGGGATTCCAGTGGAATTCCAGATTCTGAAGTTCCTCATTTTTATATCAGAGCGACTTATTATTGAGTTCAATAACTCATTCATTTTTGATTCAGAATTTTCACTCATTAATTCAAAAACTCTCCAAGTTTCAGCACATTTTGACAGTTTTTCAAACTTTGATTTGGAGCTTCAGATGAACTTTAAATTAAGTTTTCCAAATGAAAAAGGCTTTTATTCATTATTCCTGAAAGTTTCAAGTCACTGTGATCATTAGAAGTATTTTGCACAAGTGATTTTAATTATTTTTACATGCATTTATGTGAGAAAAATCTTACAAATTTAGTTGGAAGCTTCAAATCAACTTCAAATTAACTTTTCCACAAAAAGGAAACTTTAATTCACAAATCCTGGAAGTTTCAAATCACTGTGATCATTAGAAGTACTTTGCACAAGTGATTTATGTAGATTTTAATCATTTTTTCATACCTAAATGTGAGAAAAAACTTCCGATTATTCCATTAGTCCAAAATTTTATTCTTTTCCCATGGAATTCCAATACAAATTCCAGTAGGATTGAGTGGGATTTCAGTAGGATTCCGTTAGAAGTGGGATTCTGGTGTACAGTCCTGGACAATGAAAATACTCCCCTGTTGCTCACTCAACTATCACTACTTGGCTGGGTACCTGTCATTCTTATCTCTTCGGTTTTAAGACCTCATATTTCTATATATCAAAAGAAATATAAGGTTGTAAAACCGAAGAGATAAGAATTACAGGTACCCAGCCAAGTAGTGATAGTTAAGCAAGCAATAGGGGAGTATTTTCATTGTTCAAGACTGTACATATTTTCCAAGGTGGTTTACCCCTCGGATTCTTCAAAGGGTTCTACAATTGGTTCTTAATCTCAAAAACCAAAAAAAAGCTTTATGTTATAGGATTCTTATTACCCTGATTTGAATATCACTTTAAAATATTTTTAGAAAGTCACTCTTACAATTCATCATGTCCATATTGTTTACTTTCATCCACATATTCATTAAATTGTGGATGCTTTTTGACATGATCAGTGGCTTCTTTGAGTAATCTTTGAAACTCCTTCACATCAAATGAATAATTTGCAAATTTTGCATGTGCGCCACCTTTATGTGAACCCTAAAAAAAAAAAATTAAACAAAAAATCAATAATAATAATAATTATCACAAACATCAGTCTCTGATGTAAGTTTATCACTATCTTTCCAAGTAACATAATGCACTCCTCTTAATCTCGATAAATCTGAGTAGCAATTTGCATCTTCACAGTTATACCTAAAAGTAATATTACTTAATGATAATGCTATTAGTTTTGTTGTAAAATTACTTACACTTCAAATACTGAAGCCCAATCAGGCAAAAACAATAAATGTGTAAGTCCAGCTCCGTGAATCCCCACTAAAACGTCAGTGTTGGCAGTTATTTCCAGTTGCTTTTTAAATGGAATGTCCTTATTGTAAACAACCCTTTGGATTTCATAATCTTCATTATCCTCTATAACTTCCATTAGTTTATCTTCATTCAAAATCCTTCTGTATTTAGTGTCCCTTGACAATAAAGTCACCCTAACTTTCCTATTTACTCTAGGATAAATAGGAATTTGCAAACGGTGCAAAATGTGTTTGGAAAAGGCATGGAACAGTCCACTTTTTTTGCAACCGTAAATCAAAGGGGTATTATAATATAACCCAAAAATCATTCTTGGTAATAATGGGAAAAATACGTTTTTGAAACACACAGTTTCGCCTCTGAACGTTTTCAGATCCCACAGTTCTCGAGTTGTGAAAGCTTTCCATGTTTCTTGGAATAGTGAACGGTAAGTGAAGGTTTCCCATATTAAAATATTGATGTCAGTTGAAAAGGCGTCTGGTTGATTATTTAGGTGAAGCGAAGCATAGAGGTTGAGAAAGTCGCAGAAGTGATGGTACATGTTTACTGCTAGAAAAAAGTTGTGCATAGATGAAATTCTATCAAGAGGAGTGAGAACTGTTTTACTTCTTCAAATTTTTTTTTTTGCGTTTTTTACATTTTTAGGAGTTTATTGTAGAGGGTGTAAGGTTCTAGAGCTAATTTTGAGTCTCTTCTGTGACCCATTAAAAAACTACTTATCGTAGCTTTTTATGAAATTTTAGGGTTATTGTAAAGAGTTTCAGCTATCTGTTGAAGATACAATTAAATAACAAAATTATACTTACTAGCATCTATCTTCATAATATAAGTAGGCCTTTCTATAACGACATCACAAACTCCTTTCACAATAGGCCTATCATCCAATTTAGTAAAATACCTAATTTCAGGTCCCCAGCTTTGCAAGGCGCTTATATGATCAGCTTGTTTTTCAATTTCATCCTCCTTCAAATCACAATAGCCCCCTATATCTCCTTTGCTTAGCACATCCATTTTATACCTAATAGGTTCCTGTCTGTTGGCTAAACTAGTGAAATTAATCATTAAATTCCTTCCTCTGCAATAGCGCATGTGATCGGAACATTCCAAAATACTGTCATGAGGAAAAAGGGGCTCGCAAATCACTTTCATTTCGAGCGCTTGTTGTTTCACAAAACCGAAATCGCCTTGAGTGTAAAATGTGTTTTGTTGATCGAATTTTGTTTGTACCCAACCTTTGTGGTCTCCAGGACAGTCTGGCACTGAATACTGCTGGCCCCATTCAACGTTGAACTCGTAACCCCAATGTTTGGTTTGAATGTGGTCTTTATAGGGACATTCGGGGTCGTTTTGGCACTTTGCGGCAACGTCGGGAAACTTTGTAAAATAGTACGGAATGTGTTCTAATGGTAGATTAATACTAGAGAAATTATCACATGAGATTTTTTGTATTAAAACTAGGAATACTGTTAAAATGCAAGACTCCATAGTTAATGATTTGAAAAAAAAAGTTATCCTAAAATGTATCGCCTACGAGTCATTTATTACTTAATATTACGCCTTCATTGTTGAATCATTTGCCTAAAAAAGGTGAAAGTTAATTTAAATTTAAAATAAGGAAATTCAAAAATGTATATAAACAAACTTTATAGGTTAATCCAATCAAAATGGCGGTCAATGACAAGAAATTGGCGCCATAAATTTAATTCAAACAACCGTGATATTTTTCAAGATGATTTTCTGGTGCTTGGGAGGATAATTTTCCTATTTTAAGATGGAGCGTTTTAGAAGAAATTATTAGTGGAAAACCCGGATGTTTGCAAGACTTATGATTTCTTTGTGACAAACCATCCAGGATTTGTTTCCTGTTTAGTTTCTTCTTAACCAAATCCTGAATCCTGATGTTTATTTTGTTTTCTCTGCTATTCAAGGTACCGACACAAATTGAGGCCGCGAGGTGGAAGATATAGTAAATGGCTTGGATCCATTCACCGTTTATATGGAGACTTTTTGGTTTTTTAATATGGATTTCTTCAGATTTTCTCTCTAATGATGCAATCCTTAAAGCCCTACATAGTACAAACAAATCGTTTTTCGCCGTTAAAAACCTAAGTTTTCTCCCTGCAGGAATTGCATGAAACGAGACTTTCTCGCGATTAGAACGGTTCCCACAACTAAGTACAATACATAATGTATGCATTTTCCAAAAAATCAACACTTTACAGACTTTACACAAATCAAAAAATCGCAATAAAACGTAGTGCTTATGGCATTGGCCTCCATTTTGAATTTCTTTGTTGCCTACGACAAATGACATTTCACTATAAAACGTAATAACGTGACGTCACAGGGAGTATACCGTGTTAAGCCAAAACCGAATTTTCGTGACGAATTACTTCCATGATTTCATGAACACAAACGCTTTTGCGAGGAACTCATGACGTCATATTGAACGTAGTTTGACAGAAGCATGGACGCAGCTTCTAGCCAACGTTCAAATTCATGACATCACAGACCTTCTATGGTTCGTCCTTGAATGAACTACATTCGTCGCGAAAATTCGGTTCAAATAAACTCGTGCAAAAGTGCTAGGTTGAGCGATCAGCTGAGCTGCTTACGGAAACACTGATCTAGGATCAGTTCGATCGGCATCTGCTCTTCAAGGATCAAGTGGTGACTGAAAACTACTGGGCCGAATTCAGAAATAACGCACAGGGTGCGAGTGCGATTTTATGGGTGTGCCTGAATTGACAATTGGCCATTGGGCCCATAGCACCGTCTACCATTTTTGAACAGCTAGGGTGTCGCACCGGTGTCACACTGACACTGGATGTGTCATACCTGAACTCGCCCCTGCACTGACCAGACGGACCAGACAGTGCCGCCTAAAATCTATCAGCACTGTCTAGACAGTGCCGACTAAAATCTGTCTGCAAGAGAAAGGAATACAACTATTGTGAATGCAGCCCTGAATGGGACTTTAGGTGGTATTCGTGTAGTGCAGGCAGGGTTATATCACGTGATGAAAGTTTAATCGACGGTGTAACACTGAATACACCATCATTTTGTACCGAGTAAACGGTCTCCCACCATTCGGGCACCAAATTAAATATTTCCAAACGCAAATAAGGTCACACCCAACTTACTTTTATCAATTAATGAACGCCACAGTGTCAATAGTGTAAAAAGTGTCGACACTTTGTATCATTCCGAACTCACCTCATACAAAAGCCGGAGTCTCATGCATCCGATTTCCGACGAAAGATGTCCAAAAAACCTTCTATCCTGACATAAGCCTAGTACTCATAACTGCGAAATTCGCATTTTTTTGACATTGCTTCGACAATTTGACATTTGATACACGCATAAAACGTCAAATTGTCAACGAAATGTCAAAAAAATGCTAATTTCGCAGTTGTGAGTACTAGGCTATAATCGTATAAAAATCTGTCAAAATAGAAGGTTTTTCGGACATCTTTCGTCGGAACATGGATGCACGAGACTCCAGCCAGAGTGTTCAAAATTATAAACACTCTTAAATTATGTTTGCAAAAATGGCGACCGTTTGTGAAACATGTTTGTTTTCAACACCAATTCAACGTAGCGTTCAGCAGAACAATCGCATAGCATTTATCAACGTTTGTATCTGGTGAACGCGACCAATAACCCTTTTCACGTGGCTCCGGTTTAACAAACCGCAACATACCGCCCAAATTCGAGTGGTATCGATCATTTCACTCTGTAACCGGGTTAGAAAACGGTATGTCATACTTGACATACCGCTACTAACCGTTTTGTAACCCGGTTAGTTTAAACCGGACCCCGTGAAAAGGACTTATGATTTCAAATTTTCTATAGTTGTATTCCTTCCACACCTAGGAAGAACTCCGGAACAGCTCCGGGGCTTCACGGACTTATTCCTTTCGAAAAGTGTTTGTTGCACCACGCAAATTGGGGGCGACTGAACACGGGGGCGAGTAGCTCGAGTGTTTCAAACTCTTGAAACGAATACAACTTATGTAGAAAAGGCTTATGTTGCCAACATAAGCCTCTTTCGGGTGCATAGTGCGATGCTCCTAGAACACTTCACACCATGCGTTTTGCACTCGAACGCTCAAAACCGAACGGCTCAAACTGTAACCGGAGTAACTCGAAAGCGCTCAAAGGGTGGAAGCCGAAAGCAGCTCCCGTTACTAAATTTTTGGCTTGGAGAATTATCTTTAAAAAAAAACAGACCTTATGAGAATAGACAATCCTGTAGTAGTAGTGTTTATTATCCTCTTAATAGCAAGGAGAATACACACGGAGTGCTTATCGGCCTCGTTTTTGGTAATCGCCGCCATATTGGTTTTCAACTGTTTTCAACCATTGTCGACGTCATAACTAAGTCGTCAGCTGTTTAAACAGCCTACGTCACGGCAAGAAACACCATGCTGCTTACGTCACAACTGGTTGTTTGGCTAAGAGGAGTAAGGGGGGATTTATTACACACAGGCCTTATGAGGATAGACAATCCTGTAGTAGTGTGTTGTATCATCCTTGTTTAATAGGGCACTCCAATGAACTGTCAAAAACGAAATAAAAATGGCTGCTGCAGGATAAGCAAATGTAAGTTTACGCATCCTTAGGAAATTTGAAGTATTCCAATATAATTTGTTGATTTTATGTAATAAAACGCCTGCATTTTAGTGTATGGTAGATTGAAGCTGTATTGCTAGTTGCCCGGCCACTCTCAGAGTTCTCGGCTTTGAACATAATAATCGCTTATTCTTTAAATTTATATAGGGCGACGGGCTTATTTCTACTGTAGCCGCCATATTGAAATCTATTTGTTGGACTGCGCCATAGACCAGCCCCCGGATTCTATTTTACGAGTCGAGTCGGATTGTCTCGATATCGAATACGACAGCTACGGACGTACCGTGTAATAGGTATCGAAATATCGTAAAATAGAATCGCTATTTTGACAATTCGATACGAATTACGACTCGACTCGTAAGATAGAATCTGGCAGGGAATTTTCTTGCGTTCGGTATTTTGCTCAAACCGTGCGTTCAGTATTTTGATCTGAGATCTCCGAGCTTGAATTAATCGTCGTTTATCTGAAAAGTGTGCTCGGCGCAGGCTCATTCGCGTTCCTTTACTAAAATTTCGAACGCTTTGATACCAGCGTTTAACTGCTCTGTGCGCTCGCTGGTCACTGGTCACGCGATCACGGGGCTGCATTCACGATAAGACGCTTGGGCGCAGTCCGTGCGCGCTCCAGTGTCCGGATAAGTTGTTCACGAATCGGAATATTCGGAATGCTTCAACCCGGTAAAGTTACACCAGCGTTCACAATCGGCTAGGTAAAATTTGCACGACATGCGCGATAGTTTCATGGTGTTTGTTTTTTTTTTAATTCTGATACCATCACAACGTTTTCAAAAAAGGTAGTTGGATCCATGATCAAATAGAAATTCAATTCACAAAGAAAATGAAGAAATAAATGACGAAGCAAGCAAAATCAAAACATAAAACATATGGAGATAACAAATGTCACAATTCAATTTGGTTGGGGAGTTTCTTAACCCAGTTAAGTCACTCCAACCACCCGAATAGATTTACCTAGGTAGAATATAACCCAGGTTGTCGAATCGTGAATGTGCCCCGGCTACGCTTCCGCACGCTCTAGCAAAATACCGTACGCAAGGAATGAGGAGAGCGTGCGGAGCGGAGCCATAATCACGTGACTAGCGAGCGAACAGAGCAGTTGAACCTGAACTCTGTATCCGAGTGCCCGGAATTTTATTAAACGAACGCGAATGAGCCTACACCGAGTACACTTTTTAAAAAAACGAACTGTAAATTCAAGCAATTTTGTTTCAATATTATTCATCATTTCCAACAATTCCATCAGAAATAAATCATCAAATAAGGCAACGAATCAAAATAAAAAAAAGTTAAAAACACTAGTATTACACCGATCTTAAAAAAGAAAACGCTATTTTACGCTAGGGAGAAATGTAAATACGAAACCTAACCTCACTTAAATTTTCCCATGCTTTTTGTTTTGTGTGTGTTTATATATTTGTATTTTGTATTTTTCTTATATTTTGAGAATGGTTAAGCCACAGGTTACTTAAAAATAATATTATCAGTTAGTTTTGCTACATGAAAATCAAATAAAACAATAAATTCGCCGTGTATTTAAGAATTTCCAAGTAGTTTCATTTTGTAGTTTTGTGCAGTGTGGTAAGTTTTTATTTTTTAATTTGGTTTTGAGGCTTGGAAAATTTGATATTTAGCTATATTTTGACTTGGTTATACATTGTACATTCCGCGTGTGGATTCACCAAAATGATGTACCGCCACGGCTGCGGTGATTAAAATTCACTAATGTCACGGTGATTTAAACTCGGATTTAAATGAGCACCAATACTTTCACACAAAACTCCTTTATCAACATATCAGTTTTACTTTAATGCTTTTTTCAAATAATATTGTTGGTTTTGTTGCAGATAACAAATAAATAATTCCACTAGACCCCTAATTTCAATTTCATTTAAGTAGATAGATTGTAAGATGAAATTCCTTAATCAAAAGTCTAAAATTTAAACCACTGGTGAAAGTCGTTGTAAATTCTTTTGGGAATCACATAGTAATCAATCAGGATTACATGGAAATCACTTGGTAGTTCTTGGGAATAATCTGGGAATCGCTAGGAATCTCCTAGGACTCCAAGGGAATCACATGGCAATCGCTGAGAATCATGTGGTATTCGCTGGGAATATCCGAGAGAATATCATCTCATTCTAACCCAGAAATTGCATATCATACATTTCAAACAATACATTTCGGTTGGAACAGAGCTAAAAACATCATGAATTTTAATGATTTTAAGATAAACAAGTGACACCATAATACAATAAAATTGAAGTTCAATTATATTATTATACCTACAAGGATTATTCAGTCTATATGAATAAAGTGGAGCAAATTCTTTCACTTCACTTTTGTCTCTTTTTGTTGCATTAAAGCTGGATATGTCTATCTCAAAAAACTTAAGCAAAAGCATTTGCTTCTGTTTTATGCATATGAGCCAGATATTGATCTAATAAAAAGTTTCCTCAAGGTCATTTTTTTGAAAATTGCCATTGAACCACATTTTGCCTTACAACTTTGTTAGTTCCAATACGATCTTAATTAGGCCCAAATTAGGGACAATTAAATCAAATTAATTAAATTCAATGCAGCTACAATAGTTTCGCCGCTGCGAAGCTTCAAATTCTTTTGACTGAATCTTTGAATCATATCTTCAATTCTATTAGGTATAGATAGAAAGCTGAAATTTTCAGTGATCGTCTAAGGTCAAAATCTCCACACAAAAAAAATTAAATTTGACTATTTTGGAAGGAAGATCCTTCCTTTGGACGAGCATTTTTGAAAACTTTGAACTATTCCAAGACCTGAAATAGAAAAATTAAAGAAACTCGTGAGCCTGGAATAGACAAAAAAACGGAGGTGAAAAAAATTTAGAAAAAACCTTATAACACACTTAAAACCATCAAATTCAATTTATACTAATTCCATATTTCCACCTGTTCCAGGCACAATGTCTACGTCTCTAGCAACCCAACTACAGAATCTAGCTGTACCGGCTTCCAGTGTATTCAAAAATGACAAGAAACGCACCACCCTTCTCTTCGACCCCAAAGAGGCTGCTGCCATCAGCGGTGAAGTTATCTACGAAATCGGTTTGGAAGGTTTGGAGCAGCTGATTTTAAAAAATGAAGATTTTGAGCAATTTAAGCTGTCCCTGTTCCATGGTTCATCAAAAGATTTCGACAGAAATGTTCAAAGCAAAGAGGACAATAGCAAAGTCAATAAGACTGTTAAGAAGTTTCTCGCTTTGCTAGCACCGTATGTTTTATTGAATCCTGCTCATAAAGCATTAGAATGGCTATTTCATAGATACACCATAAACGAACATAATCGGCAAGATTTGATTATGGCATTTTTGCCCTATTATAATTCAAATATTTTTTCGAGATTGATACAAACATTGAAGTTTAAAGACACTAACGATCCGTTTTGTTTTCTGAAAACCGTTCAAAAGTCTGGCATGCATTTGCAAAGATTGGATTTGTTTTATCAAGCCCTGTCAAATGGCAGCATCATGAAATATTTGACTAAATTTATGAACCAAGTAATTAGTGCCCATAGTAAAAACTATAATGCTTTGGCCACCCTGTTCAACTTTTACTCAACAGTTTTTTGCGGGGCTATTGAATTTGCCAATGAACTTACTGAGCCTTTTATAACCCAAATGCTCCCCCTACTTTTAAAGGGGCTCAACTCGCCTATTCCAGACTTTACTGCAGCTTCTTACGTAATTACAGCCAGGCTACTATCCAAAGGACAATTAACAGATAAATTACTAAACACTTTTGTGGAAAAAGTATCCGAGTTGAGCTGCAGCTCTTTGAAACTGGAAGCCACTTTGTTGCTGGTTTTAATCTATCAGTTGCAGAAGCAATATGAAAATTTGCCTCAAGAAGCTTTGATTAATTTGGCTAAAACCAGTTGGGTGGTTGAATGCTTGGGATATTTGCACGAAAATGGAAACTGCGTTTATGGGTTTTTGAAAGTTTTGCTGCAAAAGGCTATTTGTGGAGGAGTGCAAAAGGATGAAGCTTTGTGTAGGAAATTGGTGGCGGAACTTGTTGAAGTGATTGAATTCGATGGAGAATTTTTGAGGATGTTTTTATGGTAAGGATTTATTTGCTGTAGAATAATTTATGGTTTCTTGATATTTGCAAATCAAATATTTCTTTCAACAATTAGATAAGTTGTGGGAATAAAAATTAGGGAAATGTTGCTTATTTGTATCATTCTTATTTGGGTTGATTAATAATATTCAATCATATACAGGGTTGATGTTTTTCCAAATTTCAACTCTTTTCAAATTTCACATGCTTCCTGGGGAAACCATCTCCTTACCAAAAACTTTCTTTGAAGTTCCTCTAACTTCATCAATATTTCTTTGAACTTGCATATATTGAAACATGTACCTCTTAAAACCTCATATTTTGCTAGTAATGCCAATGCCCAATGCTTATGTATCTTTAAACTCCTCTCATACTTTCCTGGAAATCCACAAACTTGCCACAAGTTTGATTTACCCAAACTTATTTTTGGGTTTTCTTATGTTTTGTTACTTTAAAACCGAGTTTAAAACCCCTTTTAAAATTACACAAAGAGCAACAAGAAAATTTAACTCTGCGTTTGATGGATAGAATCTCTAAATTTCGTAGAACTATCCAGGGACTAAGGGCCATTTCCACCAACTAATTTAGGGAAGCCCTAACGATAGGTATGCCTTAAACTGACATTTCTCCATGTAAAAATGTCATTTTAGGGAACACTTATCGTTAGGGCTTCCCTAAAATGGTTGGTGGAAACGGCCATAAATTCCTCAAAAACTCAATATTGTTTTATCATTTTCAGTTTTTTATTGAACACCGTAGACGAAACAACCATACAAAACCATCAACTAAACAACTGGCTTTGTCTCGTCGTCAAAAATCTGGAATCAAAAAGCTCTTCTACCCTAGATTTAGCAGTCAGTGATCTTCTAAAAGACAAAACCACCACTCCGTCAAAAAAGGCAATTGCAAAACTAATTTTTGGTAAAGTCAGCGATTCTTATGCAACAAAATTCAAAATACTAGACGATTTGTACGAAGAAAAAGGTCCTGTAAAAGCAGAAATGCTTAAATCTATTGCTGGATTAATTGGCAAGTTGAAACCGTCAGATCAGTATCTTTTCAGCAATGTACTGTGTGAGAAACTTGGCAGTGAAGATCCAATTGTTGTGGAGAGTACACTGGAGCTTATAAATAGTGCTGATATTGCTGACATGCACTTAATAAAAATGAGCTTTGTTGAATTATTCAAAAGCGACAAACTTCCTAAAAAAGAGTGGCAGAAATCCTATATTCTTGCTACCAAATTCCTACTTAAGCAAGAAGAATTCAATTGGGAAACATTCATTTTAATATTTCCTGTTTTAATGTTTTACAACAAAAAGGAGTTATTTAAATTGAAGTTTTTTAATAATACTTTATTTGAAAATTTTAATAAAAACAAGGATGACATAGTTGAATTGCTAAAACACATAAACACTAAAACAACTAAAGAAATATTTGAAAAAATACCTTTGGACCCTGAAGCGAATCGTATAAACCAATACAGCTCAATAATAATTATGTCTCACATAATTCCTGATATAACTTGCCTGAACCAAACAATCTTCAACATATTTGGCAATTTATTGAAACCAAATAATGACAAAAGTTTATTGGAAAAAGCCCTGGGCAAAATAGTGTCTTTAAAACAATGCCTCCAGCTGATTATAATGAAACTAGTTGATAAAAATCTAGATTGGGCAACAATGGATTTTATAAGCAACAATAAATACACTCTTTTAGTGAGCCAATTAAGTGTATTGGCGTTTAGTAACAATGGAAGCAAAATTGAAAGTGTTTTCAATAAATTTTTGAATCATATTTCTTCAGATATGGCCCTTAAGAGAAATGTTTCCTTGAATGTGTGTGTTTCTGGAATAATAAGTGAGGCAATTGTAATAAATCTTATGAAATTTACCCAAGACAAGCTAGTTGATGAAACTTCAGACAAAATCACTTTCCAGTATTTATTAGCTTTACTTAACAATCCAAGCAAAAATATAAGAATCCAGGCTTTTGATTTAGCTGAAAGTTTATTGAAGCAATCCAAAAACACATTTTTACGAGATTTATTAAAATACAAAGAAGAAATAATAGTAGACCATCAACAAATGGCCTTAACATGCCACAGTTTGATGGGTATCAAAAATTCTAGTGTTTTGGCTGATTTACTAAAAGCGACTTGCTCAAAAGACATTCCCATTTACACCAAAGCAAATATTGTTAAGGTTTTAACACATATAAATTCCTATGAGATGTGTGAGAAATTTTGCAAGCACTTTTTGGAGCTTTTTGCAAACAAGTTGCAATTTAACGAGCTGGAAACTGAAATAATCACCAACCTAATTGATAGGTTTGATTTGAAAATTATGCCTCAAACAACTTTAACTAGCAGCATTTGGAAGTTTGTTAATTTTGTTTTGAAAACAAACAAAATCGTGACAATTAATTCAGAAAAGGTCTATTTGCCTAATATACTTTTGAATCAACTATCTAAAGACATTTATGGGGTTCTTAGGGAAGATGTTTTGGAAAAGCTGCTGGACATTATATGCGAAATTGCTGTTTTATCTGAAGACCCTGAGGCCGTTTCTTCGGCTAATAAAATATTCAAGCATATGGACTTGAATGCTAAACTTATATCAAATTTACTTAAAAATATGGCTGAAGTACAATCCATCAGAGCCTCCTCAACAAAAAGACGCATCAACGTTGTGCCTACTGCTGATATTTTAGACACAATGCAATGGAAAAAAGGCATTTGTGCTCTGGAATTCATTCAAGGCAAAAAGAAAATTAGAAATGGACATTGTTTATTGCCTTTGTTGTTTGATATTTTGAAAAAGTGTTTGGATTTTGAAGAACAAGCTGCTGTAGAGTATCCCAAACAGCTTACACTGTCTTTAATTTTGCTGGTTTGTACTAAGCTAGAAGATGAGGAAATTTCTGAGAAGGATTTCAATATTGAATTAGTTATTCAGTGTATAAGGGCATCACAAAATCCCCAAACTCATTATCATGCCTTATTAGCTCTAGCCCACGCAGCTAAATTCGTACCAAACGAAGTTCTACATCACGTAATGGCTGTGTTCACATTCATGGGCTCAACATTAATCAGACACGACGATGCTTACAGTTTCGAGATTATATCGAAAATTGTCGACACAATTGTACCTATTTTGGTAAGCGGAAATCAGATTTCGAAAATTGTAGATGTTTTGAGAGTTTTCGTTGGTGCTTTGCTCGACGTCCCAGAACACAGGAGGATTCCGTTGTACTCGAAACTATTGAACAATATTAATACTAAGGCTAATTTTCATTTGTTTTTGTTGCTGGTCTTGGAAGCTGAAGTTTTTCAGAGTGCCAGGGAAAAGAAGAAAATTGAAAAAGGTAAACAAACAATGTACTGTAACCATAGCTGTCAATATTTGAAGTAAATTAGTTTAAGTACCTACTTGAATTACTTTTTTTGCTATGAACTTGTACATACTTCCAATATCTATTCTAAAATATGTACTTGGGTTTTTACTGTTAAGTATTTTACTTGAAGTATTTTGAGTACCTACTTATAATAAATAAGTTTCTTGATTTTTTTGAATAATAATTTTTTAGTCCACAACTATCTTGCCAAATATCAAAATATGACAAACATTTTCGAATCTTGAATTAATACAGGCTATTTAATTATATTTAAGCCCATTCCATTATTTATAGAGAATTTAATGCTCTTTCCAATGATATATAACGTATTTCAATTTGCTTGAAATTTAACAAAGATATGGGCAATTGCTCATGACCATGTCAAGATTTTGAAAATTTTTCACAGCCAAAAATAAAATTTCCTTTTTAATTTTGTTTCTGCTTAAAATGGTCATTTGGAAATGATATCAGGGTTGTTTTCCACTAGTTTTGATCCACTCTAGCGATTGTTGAAATTAAAATTGAGCAAAATGGAAAAATACAAAAATCGAGTTTTTCATAAGGATACCCCCTTTGAATTCTGATTTCAAAATAGTCAAACCTGAAATGCTCGGTAACCGTTGAACAAATTGCATTGAAATGTTTAGTATTTATAGCTCTCAATAAACTCTAAAAACTCTGTAATTTATAATATTCCCAGGTTTATAGTTTTTGAGAAAATGGAGTTTGAAGTTTTCGACAAAATTTGGATTAAAAATCAACTTTGAGGCTCAATTGATCAAAAACTATTTGAGGTATCAAACTCAATTTTGCACGGATTTATAGAGAATTTAATGCTCTTTCCAATGGTATATAATTTATTTTAATTTGCTTGAAATTTAACAAAGATATGGGCAATTGTTCATGACCATGTCAAGATTTTGAAAATTTTCCAGAGCCAAAAATAAGATTTCCTTTTTATTTTTGTTTCTGTTTAAAATGGCAATTTGAAAATGATGTCAGGGTTGTTTTCCACTAATTTTGACCCGCTCTATCGATTGTTGAAGTCAAAATTGAGCAAAAGTGAAAAATAAAAAAATCGAGTTTTTTACAAGGGGATACCTATTCCGTTGAATTTTAATTCCAAAATCTTCAAACATCAATTGCTCGGTAACCGTCGGATAGTAAAGGCTCTAGGTATGGGTTTAAATATAATAAAATACCCTGTTTATAAATAATAAATAACACAAAGCTCGGATAAGATACCAGAATAGAATGAGGATCGGATTATATTGTGAATAATTAAAAGAATTACTAAGAATTGTCTTGTTTTGAACAGATTTTCGATATTTGAAGTTTGAAGTACCAAAATTACTTCAAGTATTTTATTTAAAGTATTTTACATACTTCAAGTACTTTAATATGCTTCAAGTAATGCCACTTTACTTAAAGCTCAATGTTTTTACTTGATGACATTCAAGTAAATTTCAAGTTTACTTGATAATCACAGTATACTATTTATTTACTTCAAGAACTATCGTAATGTACTTGTGCTGGCTCTGACTGTAACTAAAGCTAAATTGTAATAACTTTATTATCAGCAAAATCTTTTAAAAGTTTCACAGCACTACTACTCAAAGATAGTAGTAGTACACTAAAACCATCTATTGAATATTAAGATTTTTTGAAGGGCCGAATTTATAGTCGCTTCTTGAGGTTCCCTCAGACCATAAGGAAACCTTGGACGTTTAGAATATGTTAAATTGATGAAACCTCCAAGGAACTACTATAAATTTGGCCCTAAGAGATTAACGTTTCAACTACCAGTGAAAACTACAAATTTTATTAAGTAACAACATCTGTTTTAGTTTCCCTATGATGGAAAAATGTGTCTTTAATATTGATTCAAATTAAAAATTCAATATAAACTATTTCTTTCCAGGTTCAACATCACAAAGAATCAAAATAGCCCTCAACCTCTGTCAAGAATTTTCACCGGAAATCACCTTACGCGCCTGCGTCCTCTTGTCCAAATACGTCAACGAGCTACCAGACGAAAAAGATGATGTTACTATGCGAACCGACAAAGTCCTAATAAACCTCTCAAATTACAACGCCAAACAATTCCGCCACTACAAATACATTATTATTACGTTTTTGTCGAATTTGCTATCATCGAAAATATTTGTTAATAAGGTGTCAGTGCTCACCAATACAGAAAACATCCAAATGGAGCCGTTATATAAGGAGCTTATTATAAATGTTTTGGCTTACATACAAAGAATCCAAAAAATATGTGATAAATCAGCTACTGGCCCTCAATCCCTGTATTGGAAAACTGTACTATATCACAGCTATGACCTTTTGGATAGCGTTAACGACCTATTAACTCCGCACATGTTTTTGTTGGTAATCAACGGACTTTTAGCTCACAGCATCCTAACAGTCAAAAAAAGAGCTTTGGAATTATTGAACAACAAATTACAATATAATTTGAATGGGTTCAGTATTAATGACACAAACGAATTGTGTATTTTAATCAAACCTATTATTTTGATTATTGAATTTATCGAACAAGATAATCTGCAAGGAGATCAAGAAACTTTAATCCAAACCGCATTGTTATCTTTGAAACTAATTGTGAAAACCCTCGGACCTGAGGACCCAGAAAAATTCGTACAGATTTTAGATTTTGTTGCCAGTATTCTAAATTCTGGTAAAGCTAAGGACAATGTTCTAGCATCAGTGATTCTATGCCTTGCCGAACTATGCATAGTTTTACGAGGACATGGTATTTCGAGCCTAAACTCATTCATGCCTGCGTTTTTGAGAATATTGAAGAGCCAAAAACACCAAGAAACTACTAGCATGCTTCTGCTCAGCGTTGTTACTACAATAAATAAATTGCTGGATAGTTTTGCAGCATTTTTGAGCCCTTATTTAACGAAGCTTATATGTGAAACATCGATTTTGATGAGTAAATGGAATTGTTTGGAAGATGATCCCAAATCACAAGCTTTAGTTACAAGATTGAATGGAATTAAAAAAAAACTGAGTGTTGCAATACCAGCAAGGATTCTAATACCCACCATTGAGGAGTGTTATAATGTTTTGTCTGCTAAAAAATACTATAATGCTTTGGTTGCTCTAGCGGACATTATGGAAGAACAACTTGGAAGCTTGCAGTTTTCAGATATCAGTCCAAATATGAACGAACTTAATAAGTTCTTTTTTAAAACTTTACAATTCCGTTGCGATAGTGATGTATCGTTGGAAATTGCCAATTTGGTTGAAGATAAAGCAGTGAAAACTTTAACGGTGTTTATTTTGAAGTTATCTGAGAGCACTTTTAGGCCTTTTTATTTGAAACTGTACGATTGGGCTGTTAGGAATAATACGAAAAACCCTGAGAGGTTGATAACGTTTTATCACTTGTCCGAATATATTGGCCAGTCATTGAAGGGACTATTTGTTTTGTTTGCTGGCAATATTTTAAATAATTTAGCAGAGATTTTGCGTACAATTAACTCACAGAAGCAATATTTTGAGGACCAAAACAAAACACTTTTATTGTTGAAGTTTGTCTTGAAAACACTGCAAGTTATTTTTACTTATGATAACAAAAAGCTTATGAATAGAGACAGGTTTGAGCTGCTTATGCAGCCTTTGGTTGACTTACTGGAAAATTATAATATTGATGGAAATATGGCAGAATTAGTTAAACGCAACGAGCAACTAATAACGCCTACAATAGTCCAATTTTCTTTGGCAGTAGCCGATGACGCTTTATGGAAAGAAATGAACTATCAAATATTACTAAAAATGCGCAATCCCAATCCAGACATCCGGCTGATAGCTTTGCATTGTCTTACAGAAGTAGTGGCGAAATTGCGCGAAGACTTTTTGCCTTTGTTACCAGAAACTATACCGTTTTTGGCTGAATTATTGGAAGATGAAGACGAGAGAGTGGAGAAATCTTGTCAGAAAGCTATAAGGGAAATGGAGAAGGTTCTAGGGGAACCTTTGCAGAAGTACTTTTAGGTTTTAGGAATTAAAAATGACTTAATAAAGTGTTTGTTTTTTTTTGATTTGGGTGTTTTAAATTTGAGTTTGTTTGCCATGAGGCCCAAATTGGTGGGTGGAAATCTGCTTCTTTCTGCAAGGGAAAATAGGATATTCCAGATATAAGGTGAAATGTAGCCTTGTGTTTCAAGAAATAATATGAAAAATGTTTTTTTTTTTTTTTTTGTATTTTTATATCAGAAAATACATTTTTAATATAATAGATAAATTAACATTAGATAAATTCGAGTATAAATTATTGTAACAAGATAAAATAACAGCTTATAAAATGAGTTTTTGAGCGTTAAAAAAAAAGCACATAATAAAATATCTATAGTTTACTTTTGAGCACATTTTCTTTCCAATTTGTGATATCTTGCCACCAACTGGGTCTGGCCATTGCATATGGAGATCTGAACATTGCAGCTTGCAGATGCTTGTATACCTAGAGTAAAATGCATAAATTCCCGCGCTTCTAGAGTAAATTCTGCTACAATCACCAGGAAATTGTTCAAAAGATAATAAAGTTACAGACACCTCAAAACATTTACAGAATATCCAGACTCAGAATTTACTGTAGAAGCGCAAATTTGTTAAATTTTGAGGTGTCTATAAATTCAGAGCTGTATTAGTGTCTACTATACAAAGTTTACAGAACATCATTAGTTTGTAGAAGACAATCATTCACAAGGCCTACAGGATGTTTATAAGTAGAATTTATTTTAGATGTTGCTATAGCAGTATCAATTAATTTTCTAGTTTTCTCAACATCCATAGCTGCTGAAGCAAATTTTCCATATTCTAGACCTCCTGTAGTTGTTTGTGAATGAGCCTTAAGACTCTTCAGTGTGTATTTATTAGTATTTACCTCTCCATCTGAAGCTCCCAAAACAGAATTCAATACGAAATCAGGGGGCGCAATCACATCCACCAAAGCAACGGCGTCATTTTTCAATTCAGAGCAAATTTTTAAAATAGCTTCTTGTATAAGTGTAGCTGCTAAAGGTCCCACTGCGAATCCTCCTTGATATAATGAAGACAAATGGTACTTTTCTAATGAAAAAAGCCCATATAAAGCGAATATTTTTACAAGTACGTTTTTAAGCTCGACTTCTTGGGCTTCTGCTATTTTTTCCAGCATAGTTTGTAGCATAAAATGCTGAATGAACGCTATTGAAAGATTTTTAGCGTTGAACACTTGACTGTCGTTTTTGGCCCAGAATTGAGTTTTGCTTTTGTGCAATTCCTGGTCTAGTTTGTTCGATGATTTTTGCATGAGGTGGCATATCAACCATTGATAAATTACAAGAATGCCTACAAAAAAAAAATATAGATTTTAAATTATATTTATTATACAGGGTGTCCAGAATAACTTGAAGTATATGGAGATTTTGGAAACCATTGAAAATACAGGGTGGACACCCTATATCTTCAATGGTTTCCAAAATCTCCATGTACTTCAAGTTCTTCCAGACACTCTGTATATAAGCAAAAATATGCTTCGAAAGGGTGTTTATTTGTACTTGCTCTACCTTGCTCGAAAATCTGCTGCTATTTAAGAGCTTTTAATAGGAACAAGTAAACTGTTGAGATCTGCTCGAAGCAATGAAAGCAGTACAAATGAACACCCTGTATATTACTTTCTGGTCTACAAATTTCCTCGATATTTTTGGCGGGAAATTTCGAGTTGAGCAAAATGTCCATTCCGTTCGTCAAAAAGTCGGCAGATTTCATTGGGGTCGAAATTTTTTGCCTTTTCACTACCAGTGGCCACATTTTCAGCAACCAATTGCTGGTTTGCTGGATCAAAATGTGATTTTCGCCTTCGTAGGTCATGTTTGCGTCATGGTCGTTTCGAATATCACCGATTCCAGCAGCTAGAACCAAGAGAATGTGGAATAATAATTGGAGAAAACGATAGCTTGCAATAAAGTTCGAATTGCTCTAACCAAGCTTTCCGAAAACGCTACCCAACATAACCTCAAACGTTACACCACACAGCTGACATTAACGATAACCTCACAATTTTTCTTGTTTTTGTTTAGATTTTGTGTAGTGTGGTTGTTCTTGTAAACATTGATTTCATTTGCCCCAAATTTCCAGTTTTTAGGTAAATTTTAGAAAAACAAATACTAAAGGGCCCCATACACTATGGTGAAACACGACGGTTTTCACTGCCGCGAGGAAACACGTCGTGCCAAAACCGAAGTGTGTGGTAGAAAATTGTCGTGTTTTTCTACCACACACGACGTGTTTCCTCGCGGCTTTGAAAACCGTCGTGTTTCACCGTAGTGTATGGGGCCCTTAAGTTTGCTTCGTTCGTCGATATTTAACATAAATATTCTTTTTCAGTAGTTTTTAAAATAAATAGGCCTACAGGGTGGTCCAATTTGAACACTTCAGTCAGTTTCAGAGTCAGATACAAAAAAATGAACCTCCCACTCTGAGGCTCAAATTTCATGAGATCTTCATTGGTGATTGGTGCAAACCAAGACTTGGGCGGGTTTTTTTTTTCCACCAAAAGATTATGTTGATTTCCACCAAAATTTTACTGTTGCATCAGCTGGAGTGCGTTTAGAAATGGAGTGTGAAGATAGAGTTTTTTTTTTTTTAGTTGTTTGTCAGAGTGTTCTGACGTCATTACATGGAGTGCACTCTGGGTGCGCCTTTTCTGAACTTAATTGGGGTGTTGCGCTAAATGTCAACGTCAAACCCGGTAAAAACCTCGGGGCGTTTTTCAACCCAGGCCGAGCTCGTTTTTGTCATATTTTTCGTCGATTTGCTCTGAAATTTTGACAGGCACGTGACTGGATCAGACAGTTTGAATGTACAAATCACGTGCCTGTCAAAATTTTGGAGCAAATTGACAAAAAAGATAACAAAAACGAATACGACTCAAGTCCCTGAGTGGGGTAATTTGGGCGCCCTCTGGGCACGTCAACTCTTGGCACTCTCACACCCAGAGTGCTATTTCTAAACGCAACCCTGATTTCAGGTGACTTTTTGATGTCATTGGTGGAAGCACCACATATCCACCACGATTTAATTTACATAAAACAACGCTTTGGTGGACCAAAATCAAAAATATCTTTCTAAATCTTATATAATTTGTGCTTCTAATTCAAAAAAATTTAAATGGACAATCCGAGCAAAGCTGCCATTGGGCCAAGAACACTAATTAATTACATGCAAAGTGAAATAAGAGACTCCCTCGAGGATCTCAATTTTTTTTGCAGTCAGTATTTTTTACTGAATATCACAAATCATTGTAGATAAAGCTGATAAAAGTTACGTCATCAGCTTCTAACAAATGAGCTAAAAAACAAATCGAAGACTACGCGGGGCACACAATTAGGCAATCCAACGACCTGTCCAAATGGCGTCTGGTTGGCAAACAATAAACAAAAAACATATGTTTTTTTTTTTTTGGCAGGATTAAGCCTAGTACTCATAACAGCGAAATTCGTTCTTTTTTGACATAGCTTCGACAATTTGACGTTTTATGCGTGAATAAAACGTCAAATTGTCGAAGCAATGTCAAAAAAAGAGGGAATTTCGCGGTTATGAGTACTAGGCTTTATCAAAACACAGGGCGAGTACTCAAATCTGACACTTTTCTGACATCGTTGACATGTAACAACCCGTATTCTAACCTCATAAAAATTTCAAAATACCGGCTGGTTGGCAAAAGTCATGTGGTTTGGATTCCCTAATAAGCATTAGTTAATTTTTGAAGGTTATATGGTCTACCAACCAAAACCACCAAAGTAATCACAGAAAATTGTCTGTTGGAACTTGGCTACATCAGGTTTCCACCAGATGAAATCCACCACTAAAATACGAATGTGGTGTGTTAGACCATCATATTTCCACCATTAATTAAAGAACACTTTGGTGGCATCATGTTTTCACCTGGACTTTTATTCTTGAAACAGGGGAACAGCGTTCTCATGAGAATGAAGGTTCTGTCTTTGTCGTCCGTATTCATACTTCCATAACACTGACAATGACAAAGCAATCTTTCTCATGAGAACGCTGTTCCTCGGTTTCGAGAATAAAGTCCCTGGTGAATGTCTGATAGTCTGATGGAAAAAAGAACGTGCCCCTTGTAAACTAACAGGATTGCTGTTTCTAAAGGTGTTTTCTCGCATCTCGACATCATAACTTCTCGGCGCGAGAAAATGGTTTAAAAACGAGGATTGGATTTTATTTCGAAGCGGTTTGAAACGAATTTGTGTGACGTCAAGGGTTCATCGCGAGAATATACTATTTCAAACCAGTTTCAAAAAAGTGAACGCGAGAAAACAGCTTAAAGGGTCAATTCTGAGCACATCTGTAAGCATATCTGTAAGCAAATCTATAACTATCTGCTTTCTATAAGCCTATGGACACTGCAAAACGCATCGATTGCCAAATCACTGATCAAAAATATTTACACTTCTATAGGATTTTTTGTAAGCTACACGAAGTGCAGAACTGCAAATTGTCTACAGGTTTATAGAAATTTAAAGATTTGCTTACAGACGTTTGATACACGCATAAAACATCAAATTGGCGAAGCATTTTTAAAAAAGAGCGAATTTCGCGCAAGTGATAATGAGAAATGCCTCATTCAGTTTCTGTATTCCAAACATTTGCTAAGTAAATTTCCAATTGTAGAAGAGTTATGTATCTCCTTCTTGTCTTGCCAACCAAATTTAGCGGAATGACACAAAATGAGAGATGAAAAAACTGAAAAAAACTTCTATTTTTCATGTCTTATCAACAGTAGTGCTAAGTAAATTTCCAGTAGTGGGAGAGTTATGTAACTTCTCTCCACCTGCCCATCTAATTTGAAGGAGGAACACAGGAAAGAAGACAAAAAAAATAGACAAAAACTTCTATGTTGGTCATCTAAGTTAATTCCGATTTGTGTGAGATAATTACATACTTCCTTTACCAGTCCATCAAATTTGGAGCATAGTATCTCACTCATAAATTGACTTTCAAGTATCCAAATTGGCCCACTCTCTACTAAAGACAAAATAATCTCATTCATAAATCACTTGTCTAGATTGGTTCCCAAAATGATATACTCTGTAAACCTGGATCCGACAACCCAAACAAGCCTAAAAATGCAACTTTTCAACAACGTTACAAACACTGCAGAGCTTCGCAGCAAAATCATGACTGGGGAGCTGAAGTGTTGCATTGTGAAACCACAACTAGTCTACGACCCTCTACAAGTTGTTGTAGCTGCCAACAAGGCACTGACCAGCAAGAAACAAACGACCAAAAGCATTTTTACTGAATTGTTATTTAATTTAAGCCCTTCTTCAAATATTAGCCAGAGCTTGTTGAAGTTTGGCATTCACGATAAAGATCAAAGCCTTTTAGTTGTTATTTTAGAAAAAACTACTGATAATTTTGAAGATATATTCAGTTTAGTTCAAGGCGATGTTTTAGATATATCTCACTTGAATCAGCTAAATGATATAAAAGCAATAAGAAAAATGTATAAAATTACCGACAAGGAATTTAATAGTGTAGATATTTTAGATTCCATTGTTAGTAGAATAGCAACAAAAGAATAAACTTGCCTTTCAAATATCCGTGTCCTCCGCAAGCCTCCCTACTCTCCTGTATAGCTTCTTTCATAGTCCAACCAGCAATAGGTTTAGAAGCTGAAGATACAGCGTGCAATTCCATACCCCAATCTGGTAAATTTGCTGTATCATTACCCAATACGGAAGCAATTGAAAATTGATATTGAAGCTCAGATAGTCTTGTGGAAAATATTCTTACAACATAAACTGCTGCTAAATATGGTAGCAACCTATATTGCTAAAAAATGTATTATTAAATAACTACAAAATTATTGCTAACAAGTCTTACATGTGTTTGATATTCTAATAAGGCAACTTCATTGTCATCGTCGGGCCCAAATTGCTTCCTAACCCCAGCATATCTAACAGCAATAGTTATAGCTTTAGAACCATAAGACTCACAAATTCCTGTAATTGCTACTCGGCCTAAAGACAAGGATCCTAATGCAGCCCCATGTCTTTTATTAGGATCTTTAAATGATGTAATATATTGGCCATCATCAGTAACATCTCCAAGTTTGTTCAATAAATTTTCGCGAGGTATTTCATAGTTGTTGAACAACAAGAACCCATTATCAATCCCATTTAATCCAATTTTTTCTCCCATATCCCCAACGATAATTCCAGGATAAGCCAAAAGAGTTTTAGGATCTCTGACTGGCACCACAAAACAATGAAGTCCGTGATTTATGTTTTCAGTTACAAGCTGAGCATATACTATGGCGTGAGTGGCCATTTGGCCCAACCCTCCAGCCCAGCATTTGGCAGCTTGGAAATCTTTACAATTTAAAATAAATGCACGTTTTTCTTTGTCATAGGTGGCTGTTGTTTGCATGCCTTTAACGTTACTACCGTGAGCTATTTCAGTAAGACAATAGCAACCAATAATCTACAAAATAGAGTTGTTACATAGATTTTTTTTAAGTGCAAAATTAGTTACGTTTCCTTCTTCAGTATCATTTATGAAATGATCATGTCTGGTGGTTCCCAAAGAGCGAATGACATTAACAAATAAACTATCAGTTACACTAAATTTAATGGTGGAACTTGGCGATACTTGCATCATAACTCTAGTGGCAGTAGGTGGGATCTTAAGGTTTTGAATCAAGCTACTGATCGAAAGTAAGTCAATGGATTTGTATATGAAACTTTGACGACATGCGATTCTTCGCTGTTCATCAAAAGGCAGTGTCTGAATTGAATCTGTTTGGTTGTAGTCTGCGTGTTTTTGGAGTTCGGTGTAGAGCTCATTCTGAAAAAGAAATAGATTTGTTAGAAAGGTTGAAGCACGGTTGGCAAACCAATTTTCTCTGCTTAGATTTTTGGATGGATTTTTGATGGGTATTTTCCAGGGAATTTCCATATAAATTAACACAAAAATTCACAGAAAAATCAGAAGAGAGGAGATTGTAATTGTAATTGTACTTTATTTACGGCTTGCCATTCAACAAATAATACATTCAAAATACAAAAAGTTTATCAGTAAAATAAGTATTAAAATTTAAAGCATTAAAATTAAAAATCAATAACAATAAATATAGAAGCTCACAAATCACAAAAAACTAAGACGCAAAAAAACTCTAATCCTAAATCACTTTTTTTTTTTTTTTTGACTGAAAATATCACAAAACTATTATAGGATTTTTTTTGTTTTGTCTTCTCCTGTAATCACAACTTTTTTAGCCTATTTCTAAATGATGTTAAACCTAAGTTAAAAATTTCAACATCACTTTCCAGGTTATTTAAATTCCTACAAGCCCTAGTTATGGGGGAATTAAACCCATAATTAGTTCGATGATATGGAACTGTTGTTGTTGTAATCGTTTATTTAGTTATTATAACTAATTACATCTTGGAGTTACATATAAGTCATCTTAACATTATCTATTCTTTTTTAAAAAAACACAGAAAAACAATCAATTAACATTGCACATCAATTTCAAACACAATCATTAAATATAAAACTGGCAGTACAAACAAAAAACATTAATGTCCACCTTGTCGAATGCCTTGAAAAAGTCTGTATAAATAGAGTCAACCTGATACCGCCTTGCCAAGACCTCCGAAATATAATTTTGATAGATTTGTTATAGTAGATTTTTGTTTCATGAAACCATGTTGTTCTGATGTAATTGTATTTTGAAATAAGGGATACATTTTATCTGCCTCAAAAACCTTCGGAACTATGGAGGTCGAGATCGCTCTATAATTTTTAACATCACTCTTTTCCTTATCTTTAAAGATCGGAGTAACGTAGTTCCTCTTCCAGAGATCCGAAAAAAAAACACACGATATTGATCTGTTAAAAATTCTACATAACACGTCAGAAATAACAAATTTACACTGTTTAAAAAAGAAAACAGATATGCCATCTGGGCCACAACCCAATGAGTCCTTCAAGCTTGTAATTTCATTAAAAACATCAATGACCAATATCCGACAGGTTCCCATATCCACAGAATGTTGAGAAAGAAAGGTATTATTTGAAAGCTCATGGTTAACATAAACAGAAGAAAAATGGTTTTTAAAAAACTCACATACTTCATGTGGGTCATCTGACTCCATATCGTTAAATGCCATGTTTTTAGGCAAATTGCGATTTTCTCTTTTTAAATTATTGTATCTCCAGTATTCTCTAGAATCCTTTTCGGTTTTGGACATCATTTTCGATATTATTAATAAAGTTTTCATGACAGATTTTTGAGTATACACACACGACATTGTGTCCGTAGCTCTGAGAACCTACCATAATCTTCAGCTGAGCCTGAGGATTTAAATTTTTTATGAGCTGATTTTTTTTCTAATATCAGTTCAGTGAATTATCCATCCATTTTGGAAATTTGGGTTTTTTATGCTGACATATTGGAGTATACAAGTCAATAAAATGATATAAAACATTATAAAAAGCATCAACACACTCATTTATGCTGCCCAGTGACAATATCTGATCCCAATCAATCAAAGATAAGCCTTCATTAATTTCTACATAATTTGCCAATCTATAATTATAATAACTGTAATTATATGCATTAAAAACATGGTTATTGTTACTCACATTCACATCTAACTCAAACTCGAGTGTGGGATGTGGTACATCAATCTGTAATATTGTATTTGAACTTACTTGCACAAACAGGTCTTTGTTACAGAACACCAGATCCAAAAAATTACAATAAGCATTGGGAATGTTATTTAACTGATGTAAAGTCTCCTCAGTATTTTTTCACCGAAAACTGGGACCACATGGATCAGTACTCCACCTAACATTGGGGCGATTGAAATCCCCACACAAGACAACACTAACATCTCCAGATCCCAAAAATTGACTTAGTATGATTGCAACTGAATCACAAGAGAAAAAAACAAACATTTTTATTGTTGGATTGCCACACACAAACTCTTCATTAAAAAAAAAAACGGAAATTCCCAGCAAATGTTTAAAAAAGGACAAATGAAAAATCGTTTTTTTAACATACCTACTCCTTTACAGAAAGAAAATCAAAATAAAATTCTGAAACCCATAACTAATGCTCTTATAGCGCCGGAATGTTCTAGAAGTTATCAGAAATTTCCCAAATATTCTCAAGCTATCTTTGATACTTCTAATTGAAATTCTAAAATCTGAACGTGTTTTAGAGTGTTCTAATATATTCATGAAAGCTTTAAGATTGTTCTAAAGTGTTGTATAATGATTTTCAAGATATTTCCAAATTTAGATTGTTTTTGTATGATTTAAGAGTGTTCTAGAACATTCCAAAATACTCCTGAAAATTTTAACTTGAATCTAAACCCAAACTTTAAAGTATCTCAGGTTTTCTTAAATGTTCCTGAAAGTTCGGAAGTGTTCTGGTCCATTCTGAAATGTTTCTCAAATTTTAAATTGATTCTTAAGTGTTCTACAATGTTCTAGACCGAGGGGTGTTTCATCCACTAAATTTTGTACACCTACTGTGTGACTGCATTGATTGCATCAAAGATGATAGTAGACTGCATTGACTTTTGAGCGATATCTAACAATAAAGATATCTACATGCGACTGTATTATGACTGCAGGGGTCCATTTATTCCATTGACTGCATGGGAATGTATAGACTGTGGAAGAATGTAGACTGTAGAAAAATGTATAAACTGCATATACATGAATATATAAAATTTGTACACCTACTGCATGAGTGTAACACCCCTTGTTCTAGACAGTTCCAATTTGTCTCTCTAACATGAGGATTGAAGATTGAATTTTGAATTGAAATCGTCCTGAAGCTCATCAAAGTTCTAAATTTATTCTAAAGTGCTCTAGAGGGTCTCAAAATGATTAAAAATGTTTCAAATTGGCACAAGCGCATTCTGAAGCTTTTCAAAATGCTTTTTAAAGTTTTCAATCGGTTGCCTAATGTTCTTGAAGAGCAGGAATATTCTAGAAGTTATCAGAAATCTACCAAATACATAAACTTGAGCGCTTTTTGGTAGTTCTAATTGAAATTCTAAAGAAGTTGAGGAGTGTTTTAGAGTTTTTTAATACCTATGTTCATTGAAGTTTTAAGTTAGTTCTAAAGTGTCATGTGATGATTTTTTAGATATTCCAGAAGTTTTTAGTTCTAGATTGCTTCCAAAAGTTCCATATAATTTGTGAAGATAATAATATACCAAGAATAGTTTCTTCGCACAGCGAGGGAAATAAAGATTCAAAAAACTAATTGAATCATTTATTCAGGTTTCCTTTTGGTAAAGTAACCTATGCTCTATGGTAAATAAACTTGACGAACTGAAAATTAGCATACAACACAGATTCAACTATCATCTTGATTACCGAAACATGGCTGACTAATCAAATACCCGATAGCAGTGTGCACATACCAGGCTATATGATGTTCCGCAAAGATAGAGGAACGCAAGGAGGAGTTATTTGTGTGTATGTCAAAAGCAACATTGCCGTGCACAATACACATAAATCGCACCCTCAACACAAAACATCACAAATTTAGCCTAATTGATAAAATAACACAAGAACCACAAACATCAAATCAAGATATTGCAGAGTATTTTGCAGAAAAGTTTGAGAAAGTTTTCACAGTGCTCAACTCGAATATGGTTCTGCCCACACTACCATATGCATATGCTACAACCGAGTTAAAAAATATCGTGTTCACTTCGAAAAAAGTTGAAACTACAGTAAAATCACTTAAACTATCAAGTCCAGGGCTCGACGAAATCCCTCCTGTCTTCCTCAAGAACTGTATCCAGGTGCTAAAAGGGCCACTAGCTTATATGCTTAATAACATAGCAAGAATAGGGGAATTCCCAGCAGTATGGAAAAAAGCAGCGGTGACACCTATTTATAAAAAAGGAAATAAACAGCATGTAGAAAACTATCGACCTATTAGTTTAACGAGTACACTGTGCAAATGTATGGAGAAAATAATTGCAAAAGATCTCACCCAATTTTTTATGGACACACGAGTCATACCAGATCAGCAGCACGGCTTTCTTCCCGGGAAGTTGACGATTACAAATCTTCTAACAAGACTCAACCACTGAACACTGTCAGATGACAACCACGAACCAATCGATGTGATTTATCTTGACTTTCAAAAAGCATTTGACAAAATACCAACACAGTTCCTAATCCATAAAGTCGAATACGTCGGAGTTAGGGGCAATTTACTCTAGTTGATCGAAGGATTCCTCACAGAAAAAACTTTTCAGATGCGTGTGGGTCCAACACTTTCAAAAGAGCACACAGTGCGTAGTGGAGTACCACAGAGATCAGTTCTTGGTCCTTTACTCTTTATTCCCTATTTAAGTGATCTATATCTAGGGCCGGAAACAAGATGGAAATCCACTTTCGCAACATGCTGCTATTCAGCAGACCTAAACAATATCAAATAATGGACACAGCTATGGAAAATGCCCTTGAATGATTCCAAATGCACAGTCCTACATATTGGCCAGAACAACCCTAAATTGAATTACTTTTTTGAACAGTTTCAAATAACACCTGTCATACAACAGAAAGATCTAGGAATCACTGTAACTCAGGACTTGAAATGGGAAACTCACATCACGCAAATCACCATTCAATGAATTACCTCATACAAAAATCATTTAAAGACCTCTCCAAAAATATGATACTAAAGCTACATAAATCAATATGTCAGGCCAAGCGTGGATTATGCACAAACTATTTGGAACCCAACAAATTGAGAGAGTACAATGAAGAATAACTAAGCTGCCTCCAGAACTTCATGAACTGCCCTATGAGGAACGATTAACCCAGCTAGACATAACCACCCTAAAAGATAGAAGAATGAGGGGAGATCTCATTGGAACTTTTAAAATAATGAATGCGGGCACTAGGCATGCGACTTAAGAGAGATCTACCACCTTAACCAAAACACCAATCTCCGAGGACAGAATCTAAAGCTTTCCATGGAGAAATGTAACAAGCTAATGAGAAGGAACTTTTAAACAAATAGGGTGGTTTATCTCTGGAACAGTCTTGGTAACAACACTGTTAGGTCAACAACAAAGAACCAGTTCAAAAACCGTTTAGACCAAGAAATGAAGAACCAAAGCACAAAGTTCTTTGTGCACTATACCAGGTACCGTACCAAGTGTTCTAGACTGTTCGAAAAGATTTCTAAATTGGTTCTAAAGTGTTCTGTAAGGTTTTACAATGTTTTCAAAGATTTCAATTTGTCTCAAACAGAGGATTGAAAATTAAATTGAAAGTGTTCTGAAGCTTATCAAAGTTCTAAATTTGCTCTAGAACATCTCAGAATGATTAAAAATGTTCCAAATTGACACAAGCGCATTCTGAAGCTTTGCAAAATGCTTTCTAAAGTTTTCAATGGGTTGCTTAATTCTCTTGAAGCGCCAGAATGTTCTAGAAGTTATCAGGATTTCTCAAATATTCTTAAGCGCTTTTTGGTAGTTGTAATTGAAATAAGTTGAGAAGTGTTTTAGAGTTTTCTAATATGTTCATGGAAGTTTAGAGCAAGCTCTAAGTGTCATGTGACAATTTTTAAGATATTCTGGAAGTTTCCATTTAAAAATTGTTTCCAGAAGTTCCATAAAAGTTTTGAAGTCTTCTAGAGTGTTCCAAAAGCTTTATAAAATGTTGACGAAAGCTCAGAAGTGTTCTTCAAATAAATGCAAGAGGATTGAAAAGTGAATTGAAACTCTGCTGAAGCTGATCAAAGTTGTAAATTGCTCTAGAGCCTCTTAAAATGCTTAAAAAATATTCTAACTTAGCGCTAGCACATTCTGAAGCTTCTCAAAGTTTCTAATTGGTTCCTAATGCTTTTGAAGCGTTGGGGTGTTATCAGAAATCTTCAACAAATATTCTTAAGCGCTCTTCGATACCTTTGTAGTTATTTCATCTGTTTGAAAATGATAGAAACATAAAAATATGTAAACATCAAAAACAAAAATATCTATCAAACATCAAAAATTTCTATCCGCTAGTCGATCCACTATAATACAATTAGCCAGATTTTCGCCAACCCTGTCTTAAAGTGAACATTAACTTACTTGGTATTGAATGACTTCTTCAGTTTCCAAAAAAACTTTGAGTTTTTTCCAGTCAAAAGAGGCCTTTTTCCTGTAGAAATCTAATGGTCCTTTTTTGAAATCTTGCAATATGTTCATCATTTTCGTGGTCAATGTAATTCTAATTGAAGTAGATTCAGTTTCTAGTATTTTAGTACTGAGCTGACTAGTTAGCAACTAGTATTATTGAACTTTGAGTACCCTACTTTACTTAATTAAATTTTTTAGATTCCTAAAACTGATAATTGCATCTCGTTATCGAAAAATTACGATGATTAGTGAAATATACGTCATGTATTCATAAATTTAATAGTCTTCAAGTTCAAAGATCAAACAGATACAATACAATTGTATTTATTTTGTATGGTTTTGCGTTTCAGTTTCTTTTTTGTATTTATTTCTAAACAATAACAAAACAAACATTTAAAATTTGACGTCTCTTGACACTCTTTGACAGCTGTGACAATAGGCCAATTCATAACACAGAACCGATTAACCGGATTACCAGCTGAAGTATTTTGTCTTTTTTTAATCGTGTTCAATAAAGAAAGAAAGATATCAAACAAATTGCTGGTGATCGGAATAATTGGAACAGCGCAGTGGAACAGCCTTTCCAAAAAGTCCTGAGGCGTTTTCTCGCGTCCACTTTTTTGAAACTGTTTTGAAACAGTACATTCTCGCGATAAACCCATGTAGTCACGTCAAAATTGGTTCAAACCGTTTCGAAATACAATCCAATCCACGTTTTTAAACCATTTTCTCGCGCCGAGAAATTATGACGTCATGATGACACTTGAACCAGTTCTGAAAAATATTTCGAAACATTTGCGACGCGAGAAAACGTCTCTGTTAACTATCAGGATTGCGTTTAGAAATAGCACTCTGGGTGTGAGAGTGACCCTAGAGTAACTCTAAACCGTTTATAAATTAACAGGTGCTTACTCGGAGCGTTAAGCTGGAATCGTTCAGAAATCGAAAGTTGACGTGCCCAGAGTGCGACCAAATTACCCCACTCAGGGACTGGGTTGAAAAACGGTGATGACGTCAGAACACTCTGACAAACAACTACTCTACCTTCACACTCCATTTCTAAAGGCACTCCAGTTGTGTTATGTTTTTATGGTTAGTTGATTTAAAAAATTCAAAATAATGAGTAAACAGCAGAAAATCAAATAAAATAAATCATGTCAGAAGAAAAACTAGTAACAGAAGTGCCCAGCAGCCTTAAACAACTGGCCCGTCTTGTCGTCCGAGGTTTTTACACCATAGAGGATGCCCTAATAGTGGACATGCTGGTAAGAAACCCTTGCATGAAAGAAGACGATATCTGCGAGCTCCTAAAATTCGAAAGAAAAATGCTCAGAGCCAGAATAGCCATGCTGAAAAACGACAAATTCATCCAAGTCCGGCTCAGAATGGAAACCGGAGCGGACGGCAAGGCTCAAAAGGTAAACTACTATTTCATCAACTACAAGAGCTTTGTAAATGTAGTCAAATACAAATTGGATCTTATGAGAAAAAGACTGGAAACTGAGGAACGGGACGCTACTAGCAGGGCCAGTTTCAAGTGCTTGGCGTGCCTCAAAACTTTTACTGATCTCGAAGCTGACCAGCTCTTTGATTTTATGACCGGTGAATTCAGATGCACTTTCTGCAAGGAAGTTGTTGAAGAAGACTCTTCGGCCCTCCCTAAAAAAGACTCCAGACTGTTATTAGCTAAATTCAATGAGCAACTAGAACCTCTTTATATTTTATTACGCGAAGTGGAAGGCATTAAATTGGCTCCTGAAGTGCTCGAACCTGAACCAGTTGATATAAGCACCATTAGAGGATTGGATAAAAAATCAACTGGAATTCCTGGGCAAGAATGGTCAGGAGAAGCTACCAGAGGTGGTGGATTTGCTGTTGAAGAAACCAGAGTTGATATTTCAATTGGCGAAGATACTAATGCTAGTGCAGCAGCTAATCATAAGGAAGCACCAATTTGGATGACTGAATCCACTGTCATTTCAAACATTATACCAGGAGACAATAAGAATACTGATAGTGATCAAAATGAAGAAACCAATAGTCAAGTACCTAAAAATGATGATATAATGAGTGCATTGTTGGCTCACGAAAAACGACCAACTAATCAAACTTCCAGTGCAGTTAAAGGACTGGTCACTAACAATGATTCAGACTCTGATTCTGACCAATTAAATCAAGTGAAAAATCATGTTGATGAAGAAGTGGAAACAATGGAGAGTGAAGATGAAGACGATGGCAGTGTTCCAACAGTTAATGTTGGTATTAAAACTTATTTAATTACTGATATTAATGATAGTATTATAAGTGAAATGACACAAGCTGAAAAAGAGATTTATGTGCAAGTGTTTCAAGATTATTATTCGCATATGAATTATTAGTTTTTTTTGTTTTTTGTATAATATATTTAGGAAAATAAATATATATTTTTAAGGGTTTAATTTGAATTTTACACTTGAAGTGGCCCTATAATAATAAAATAAAATACATATTTTTTTTTAAATGGCTTGTAGAAGACCCCTAAGAAAACATAGATAAATAAATAAATAAAAATATATTAAAATTAAACAAACAAAAAATTAAAAGCCAGCCTTTTCAAGTCTATCCAATTGCTGGCTTAGTTTTTCCTCTTTGGTTTTCCTCATTTGATACAAAGATTTACTTTTAATAAAATTATTCAAAAACTTGTCCACATCCAAATCCCCTTTTAAAAACGATTCTGCAATTTGTTCGCCATCTTCCTCGGCTGTTTTAGCAGCTTTTCCCAATTCTTCCTGTATATTTCTAGGCGAGTATTTCTCAGACAAATTCTGATAAACAGAATACAATCTCTCGTTGTCGAATGCTAGTTTAGTGACTTCTTCTATTCTGGAATCGACTGAGGCTTTTAAATTAGACAATTGCTGTTCTTTGTTTAAATTATCCTCAGCAATGTCTTCTATTTGCAATAATAGTTCATCCAATATCCGATTCTGTTCCTTGAAAGGTGGCAAACTATCAATGAATTCAATTTGCCTTTCTTCTGATTCATTGAGAAACCTCAAGTCCTCATTAGTTAATTGATTGAGTTCTGGAAATACTAAACTTATTGCCTTATTATTTGAGGAATGTTGTGGAGGAGAGAAGTTATAGTTTGAAAAATTTGGACTAGTTCTTGTCTCATTACCTGTAATTGTTATTATTAATTTAAAATCATAGGGATATTATGGTTTAGGTACCATTTATTGGAATGTTTGAAGATATCACACTATTGTCTGTTAAAAGGGCAGGAGGGTTTCGTTGTAGCTCTCTTATAATTGCTTGTACCACACGACCTAGATCTGAATGTGGAGTGAACTAAAAAATGAATGATAAATTAAAGACAATATTTTAGTCTTCTACTTACATTCAATAAGCCTGGTGCATTGATAACCATGCCATTTTCCTTGACCCAAGGATGATCCACTTTGGGTTGGATCACCAAAACAGGTTTTTCTTTTGGGAAATCGGCACCCAAAGACACTTTTAAAATTAAATTGTTTTCGCCCGAATAGAATTGGACTTCGTATTCAGAGTCTTCTTTGATTTCTTTGACACTGAAAGAGAATTATGAGTTTATTATTATAGCGATGCTTGAAACTGTATGACTTTGTTTAAAGTAGTAGTTTTTTCAATTGTAATTTGTTGAATGGTAGTTCTTTTAAAGTGTTAGAACAATTCCTACTTACTTGTCATTAAATATTTTCAAAGTATTTATTTGTTGTTTCCTATTGTCGATATCTTGTTTATAGTACCGGGGTAACATCACAAGGCTTTAAAAAAAATTAATTAATTTAAAAAAAAAAAAACAGTAATCAGAAATATACATTACTTTTTATTTTTGTTTTTAAAAAAACATCATAAAATCATATGAGTGTCAGTGAAATGTCAAGGATGGCGTTTTCATAAAGCATGTGCAATCCCACCAATTTGGAATAGAGTGAGAGCAATTTTTTCTCACGAGCTCTAGAGTAAAGAGAGCGTTGGAATAAACCCAGAACTTTTGAAGCAAAAAATATGTGTTGATTATTAATTTTTCTGGATAAATAATACAAAATTGTATTTAATTATTTAGGGCCGAATTTATAGTCCTTCCTTGAATCTTCCTTGGAGTCGCGAGCTTAGAATGGAACCTTGCTACTATTTGACAAGTTATGCCCGCATTACATCTGTGTATTTTTTCGTGTATTTATTGATGTAGTTCAGGGTGACAACCGAAAAACTTCAAACGCAACATAAATCAGCAAAATGAAAAATAAAAATATTGTTCGGGATGCTCTAGGGAATGCTTCAACCGTAAAATTAGGTACACCTGCGTTCACAATCGGCTAGGTAAAATTGGCTCGACACGCACGATAGGTTTTTAAAAAAGGTAACTGGATCCATGATCAAATATAAATCCAATTCACAAAGAAAATGAAGAAATGAACGATGAATGTACGTGATTCAAAATCAAATCAGATCAAAACATGATAGCAAATGACAGAATTCACCTTGGTTGCGACGTTTCTTAACCCAGTTAAGTCACTCCAACTACCCGAGTAAAGCCTAGTACTCATAACCGCGAAATTCGCACTTTTTTGACATTGCTTCGACAATTTGACGTTTGATTCACGCATAAAACGTCAAATTGTCGAAGAAATGTCAAAAAAGAGCGAATTTCGCTGTTATGAGTACAAACAAGCAAAAAAAAGTTGGGTTAGATCACTCAACTCAGCTGTCAAAATGTAAAGAGGAATAAGGGATTAGAGGATTTTTGTGACTTCATGTCCGAGAACTATAAAATCCATGTAAAATACCGTATTTTAGCGGTACCGTATTTACCGTATTCCTTTTATACATTGAGTTACACCGAACGAGCTCCTCGGAGTCACTCCAAAACACACAATTCAGATTTTATCATTATTTTTTAATATTAACATTACCGTCAATACCTAAAGGGCTTCTTGCACCCCCCGCAAATTTGATGCATCAGTGGAAAGGGGAATCCACTATGAGCGACCCGAGTGCTTAACGCACTTTTAAAAGCAACGCTCAAGCTTTTGACATTGAGCAGCTCCGGGTAACTGAACGGGTAAAAGGAATACAGTAATTAGCGTAGCGTCTGAGGCACGAGAACTTTTTATTTTCAATTACCGTTTATAAAAAAGTTATGAACGGTTAGTCGCTAAAAAATCCTCAAAGTCCGTCGTTTTTAAACTGATACTTTCCGTATAATGAGTGAAGAGGGTGAAGCATATGGTAAAAACAGGTGTCCATTGGAGTTCCAATTTAGGGTGCCACCAGCTCACATTTATTTGGAGTATCTGATTAAAATCGACGGACTTTCAGCTTTGTGCCAACTTTCTGGAACTTTAGAAGGAATACAGCTATTGAGCCTGAATATAGCTGCTCTATTTACGCTATATATTGCCATACCCGAACAGTTGGAGTAGCTAGAGTGGACAGAGTGAGTTATAAGTGAAGAGATCTAAAAAAAGCGTTATTTATTGATCACTCTGAATGACTCCGAACAAATAGCTCTGGAGCTTGTCAAGTATAATACACACCCCTACAGGATTGCTTATCGGCCCCATTTTTGGGAATCGCGGCCATTGTTTAGCACCATTGACAACGTCATCTACTACGTCATCAGCTGTTGGTTTGCGCCAGCGGTCGTAGAATATACATTTATGATGAAAAATGATTTAATTTGGATTAACATAATAGGCAAAGAGGAAGATACAAACGAGATCTAAAGAAGAATGTTAAATAATGTAGTAAAATCATTGAGTAAAACCAAGTATACGCGCATAAAGCAAAACCCCGCGGAATTATAACCTGTAGTGCAAACACACTACGTCAAGATGAGAAACTACACGCTAATGTCATCACTGGTGCTTCGGCATGGGGAGGAGCAAGGTTGTTGTAGGTTGCCCGATAACTTTATGACGTCATCTGAGGCGCCTCCAACATAATGCAGATGAAGGCACCCCAGATATGCGTCATCAAGTTTCCCATTACCAGACAACCCATTAATTTTATGAACCTTGGGTGCGGGGATTGAGATTTGAACTACACAGACCTTATGAGGATAGGCTATCCTGTAGTAATAGTGTTTATTATCCTTGGAAATAACTACATTAATGGCCGTTTCCACCAGCTATTTTAGGGCATCCCTAACGATAAATATTCCCTAAAATGACATTTTTATGTGGAGAAATGTCAGTTTAAGGCATACCTATCGTTAGGGCTTCCCTAAATAGTTGGTGGAATGGAAATGGCCAAGGTCCAGTTGTACAATGTCGGTTTCAAACAAAGTTGAACTGAAGTCGACTGGTACTTGAACTTTCCCATTTAAAATACATTGCTGTCAGCTATTAATCAAATTCTATCAATTTTTACAGCAATGCATTTCAAATGGGGAAGTTCAAGTACCAGTCGAGTTTAGCTGATCTCTGGTTTGAATCAAGATTTTACACCTGGGCCTAAAGCCGTTTGCTCGCGCTCACTTTTTTGACTTGGGCCGAGTTCGTTTTTATTTTATCATTTTATCACGCACGTTTTTTCGTCGATTTGCTCCGACATTTTGACAGGCACGTCACTGGATCGGGAGAGAAAACGGCTCTAGTATGAATATCTGCTCTATTTACGCTAAAGCGTCATACCCGAACAGTTGGAGTATCTAGAGTAGACGGTACAGATCCCAAAAAGCGTTATTTTCTATTTTTGGGAATCACTGATGACTCCGAACGAATAGCTCTGGAGCTTGTGACTAATAAAAGAGCAGTATGTTATTTTTTTGGCTGAGTACGGCTTCACACTCTGTAAACTCTGAGCGCTCTCGAAACGATAAGATTCTGTTAGTTTTAGCACTCAGAGTGTTCTCAATTGCGTTCGGGTGACAACTACGGTACTGTTTCAGGGATTTTTATTCCATCTCGTTCGGTTTATGACCTTGTTCAGGGCGCACTCTGCGTATAACGTCACGATATCCATGCTCATAACGTTCCGCTCCGTGAAGTGCAAAGCCGAACCTCAGGCCGAACTAACTTGAACTGAGCGCAAAATATTTCAGGTATGTGGCGTCGCCAGTTCAACTAATAACTGCTTTAGAACAATAAATATTCTGACGAAAAGGAACAATTTTTTTAAATTGAAATATGATTTTTATTTTGTCAGCAAGATTATTATTATTCATATTCCGAATTCGAATTTGTTTTATCAAGTGATGAAGATACTGGAGAGGACTGTGACGTTGCATGCAGCCACTTTTTTAAACAAAGGAATAATGGAGTGGAGGGAGCAGGGAACCGGCAGATGTGGCGTTTTTGACATTAAATTCTAGACTGTCCCATCTAAAGCCTAGTACTCATAACTGCGAAATTCGCATTTTTTTGACATTGCTTCGACAATTTGACGTTTGATACACGCAAAAAACGTCAAATTGTCAACGCAATGTCAAAAAAATGCGAATTTCGCAGTTATGAGTACTAGGCTAAGCCGGAGTTTCATGCATCCGTTTTCCCACGTCCGATGTCCGAAAAACGGAAAACGGATGCATGAGAGTCCGGCTTTACTCCTCCTCGAAAGCAAGTGCTGGTTAATAATTTTGACTATATATTAACCTTTTTCCAACTCAAAAAGATGCAAATAGAAAACGGCTACCCAATTCAAGTTCAGAATGTATTACAAGGGACAGCAGAAGCGACAAAAGTGAGTCTCGCAACAATTGCAAGTATTAAAATTCTCATCTGATTGGTCAATACTACTTCAGAAACGCGTTTGTAAAATGCTAGTGGGAACATATCTTAAAATTCAATAGTAATTAACCACAAGTACAGCGGCTAAATAAACCTCTACATACAGTGGCGACAATAGAGGTCCCGCCGCCATCTTGTTCCCAACCTCTTGTTACTTTTAAATAATGTTGGGAACAAGATGGCGGTGTTTTCAATATAAATATATGGGATTTTAGAACCAATCAAAAATGAGACAGCAATTGTCGCCACTGTGGGTTATACAAGTAGCTTTTTGTAGGTGATATCAACGACATAATCAACGAACATACGTTTTTTGCCACCAATATCACGTGACTTTAAAATGGTATTTGTCGGACTTTAGCTATCTTTGTTTAGTGAATAGAAAATGACAATGACCGACATAAAATGGTGTATCCATCGGTAAAATTTGATGAAAATAAAGACGCAGGGAATAATTTGAAATTGCAAAGAAAATGTGTGTGTCACTTCACTGTTTCATTTGCAGAACTTTGCTATGGTTAGGGCGGTGGATTATTTTGGAAGCAAACAGCTTCCGCAAACTAAACTTGAACGTGTAGATTACTTTGTATTCTTGATGGGCAGTGGATTTCCCTTTGTTTTTCGAGTATTCTTTCTGATTTTGTGAATCCAAGTTTTGATATAAAGTGCTACTTTATTTTACTAGTAAAATAAAGTGCTATTTTATTGCCTACCTAGACTACCTGATAAGGTGAAACAGGTCCTGACAACCTGCCAAAGTGAAACAGGTCCTGACAACTTGCTAAGGTGAAACAGGTATATCTACGCGAATTTTACTTTTTTCAATTTTTTTAAAATTTTTAACAACAACCAAAAACATAAAATCATGTATATAACGCTTACATAAACAGGCTTTATTGACTCATTATTTAATAGCCTCGCTCGCAAGCTCGCTCGGCCATAAAATTATTCGTACAATAAAGCCTAACTTTATGTACTTGTTATATAAATAGCTATTATACCTACCTATTATTTGAAATTGAAGATCGTACAGGAATTGGGTGGTTTTTCAGAAGGTTGTACTGTCGTATTGAATTTGCTCATTTTGTACTGAATTCAGTACAATTTTACCGAAACGGCAGCCCCCTGACTACGGCACATGCCTGGTTTCAACGACGTTGCCAAGTGCTCAAATAAGTAAAAGGAGAAAGGACTGCCTACAAAAAAAAGAGATGGTAGAATAGACACGCCTATTTATTATTTTATAAACAAATAGTTTTATCAACAAAGAAATAAATTATTTATCAATTCTGGATCAATATTAGTTAATACTTCACGCAAATTCCCCCCACAAAAATACGATGATTATGGCAAAATGTAAATAAGGTGGCAAACAGTGCAGGACAATCATTGAACCAATTTGGTTAAAAATAGTAGCAAAAACCCATTGTTATCAGTTCATATTCTAGATTTTTGCGCTTTATTTAATTTAGAAATGAAAATGTTTCAAATAGTTCTCCTTTTATTTAATCTTGTCAGTGCAATATGTTGTTATAAACCTTTGATACTTTTGCACGGAATCATGACTGGTTTCGAGAGTATGGAACTTATAAAAAATCGCATTGAAGAGGTAAGAACCTTCAAATTACATTCATATAATAGCCATTAAATATTTCCTTTATACTTTAGAAACATCCAGGTACAATTATTTACAACATAGAGAGATTTGGGGGCTGGTCCAGCTTGGAGAACATGAATTATCAAGTGCAACAACTCAGTCATGATTTCAATAATTTCACTAGAATGCATCCTGAAGGAATACACCTTCTAGGTATAATATCAAAACCTATAAAAATAAAATTAATAAAAGAAATTCTGTATTATAGGCTACTCACAAGGGGCTTTATTGGCAAGAACAATTTTACAAGCAAACTCCAACCATACAGTCCATACATTCATTTCATTAAGTGGCCCGCAAGCAGGTCAATATGGAAGTAAGTAAACTTCAATGCCAACATCCAATCAATTTATCTTCAAAAATTGTGCACATGAATTTTTTTAGCCCAGTTTTTGCATCTATTTTTCCCTGGGGTAGCTTTAGAGACGGCATATGAACTGTTTTATTCTAGAGTGGGACAGCATACCTCTGTAGGCAATTACTGGAACGATCCTTATCACGAGAAACTGTTTATTGAATATTCACAATATTTGCCCTATGTGAATAATGAGTTGCCTACCAATAATAGCCAGCAATTTAAAGAGGCATTGACTAAATTGAAAAAAATGGTGCTTATAGGCGGGCCTGATGATAATGTTATCACACCTTGGGAATCAAGGTAACAATTTATGCTATTTTATAAGATTTGGGTGCTAATATTTTTTTGTTTTAAGCCAATTTGGATACTATGATTCTAATGGAACAGTCATAAACCTAATGGAAAGAGATATATTCATTAATGACAGAATTGGCCTTAAAACGCTGTACCAAAAAAAGAAATTGAAAATTGTTTCAGTGCCTGGTGTTAATCACTTTGACTGGCATTTGAATACATCCATAGTAGACAATTATATTCTGCCATACTTAGATTAAGATTAGTGCCAAAATAATTGCTCACCATGACCTAATTTAGTATAATTTATTAGCTCAGTGATTTAAAATGAACAACTTCAGTTACCTTATTTATTTATTAGATAATTCCAAAAACATCCTTGGTGTTTTTACCACTACTAGGCAAAAATGTGATATTTAAAAGTAATAAATTTTGCAAAAATGCAAAAATAGTTTTTTTTTTTCAAAAATTTATTATACACAATACATTAATAATTATTATAGATCAATTTAACAAAATATTGCAACTTAAACATAATAGTGTGGTTTTTTAATCACTATACCAAATTCTGCAAGTGCAGGTGTAAGATCCTCCATGGTCAGACAATATTTTTTGTCTTTAATACCTTTGGCAGCCTAGAAAATATAGAAAGGTAAAGTTAAATGGCTCTTTACAAAAGTCTATTGAAATGTCTTTATTTCTAAAACAATTCAATAATATTTCTGATACATGATCATTAAATAATTAAGATACTCCTCAGCTTAATTAAGAATATTGAAGTTAATTCTAAAATCATTTTTAATCACCTTTGAGTTGGCTCCACTTGTTCCGGCATTGGAAGACCTCATCTTACAATGTTGCAAGGCATCATTCCCAATATCAGATATAAATTTTTGAGCAGCAATGGAAATGAGTCTCAATAGTCTTGGATCTTTGGGTTCGAAGCCAGAGGATCTTAAATAATAAGCGGTTACAGCGTCTGGAATCTAGAACAAATGGTTTTTTATGAAATATTTGTCCATTTAAGGTGTTTGGTACTCACTGTTGGGTTGTAGTCTTCTAGCTGATGTAAAAAGTCACTCAGAGGCTGGCCAAGGGTGACTGGGCTATTCTGAGTTTCTATATCCATTTTTTCTTCTTTTATTTGATTGTTCATTGTGAAAAATGTTGGGAAATGGAGAATAAATTTTTTAGGAAAGCAAAACAAATAACAAGATACCACACTATGACAGTTGACACTATTGACAATTGTCAGCTTGGAATGCGCACACATTCAGTTGTATTCCTTTCACACCTCGGAGGAGCTCCGGAACAGCTCCGGAACTTCACGCGCTTATTCCTTTCGAAAAGTGTTTGTTGCACCACGCATATGTTCCCTGCAAATCGGGGGCGACTAAGCACCGAAGCGAGTAACTCGAGTGTTTCAAGCTCTTGAAAGGAATACAACTATTGCCATATGGGCGGTTACACACGGACGTGGATGTCGTAATACATACGTGCATACATCAACGTGCAACCAAGAACGTGCATGGCGCTTTTGTACACACGCTCGTACAAAACTGCAGTCTTGCTATTCTTGCTACAGTGTTCCGAGTGTGCATACAAAATTGCACATTCAAAAACGCGACGATATTTTGTATACACATTGATGTTTTTGTTTGCACGTTCATGTATGTGCGTACATGTTTTCAGACATCCACGTCCGTGTGTAACCGCCTTATCTGCCAAAAAAATGAAGCCATGAAAGACAGATGCCACAAGGGGGAATGTTGTTTTTTTCTGTTGCTCGTTGTCATATGACGTTTTCGAAAGTTTTGTCATATTTCCCTTCACCACAGGTTTCATCGATTGGAATACGTGTGGGAAGCAATTTTCGCCATTTAACATAATGAGTGCGACAAAAACAGGTATCCCCTCCGCAGCAGCTGCACTAGGCTTCAAGTTCGTCCTTATTACAGTGACTCTATAACCCACAGTGGCGACAATTGCTGTCTCATTTTTGATTGGTCCTAACTCCTAAAATCCCATATATTTATATTGAAAACGCCGCCATCTTGTTCCGTTCCCAACCCCTTGTTACTTTTAAATATGAATATATGGGATTTAGGTGAACATCCATCATAAATCATGGAAAACAACGTATTTGATGGACCTAATAATGGTTATCAAATACGTCAAATTCAATTTTTTATGATAGATGTCCATTTAAATCCCATATATTAATATTTAAAAGTAACAAGAGGTTGGGAACAAGATGGCGGCGCGACCTCTTTTGTTGGTTGCCACTGTATGTAAAGGTTTATTTAGCCACTGTAGTCCTTATGTGTTAGCATTCCAGTTTTTGTGATAGTTCATTGCGTTAAACCACTGTGGGCGAGTTCAGAAATAACACACGGTGAGTTACACACCGGGTGTGAGTGCGATTTGAACCTAAAATTTTTTCGAAAAGAATAAGCGCGTATCGCCCCGGAGCTGTTCCAGAGTTCCTCCTAAGTGTGGAAGGAATACAAACAACTATTTGCGTACGCAAAGATGCAGTTCGAAAAAAGGCTACTACTGCAAGCCAATAAGAATAAGCAAGGACATGGTCATAGTTCAAGAACAGTTATTGCATGGACCCGAATTAGTTTTTCCTACCGCGAACAAAAAAAAATCTTCACAGTTCAATTTATCAAGTTTGTTTACCAGTTGCCAGATGGCACCACCAGGCAATTTGCCATTTGGGTGTGACGTTTTCTTTTCAATTTACATTACATTTTACATTCATTACAGCAAATGTTTAATACAAAATACGATGTAAAACACCGTTACAAAACAGTAAAAAATCTGCCAAAGTAGAATATAAATTAGTTTAGAGATGGCTTTACGAAACGCGGCAGCCGATTATTTCAGCAAATTGAACCCGATAGCTTCGCGAATCTACACAGATTTGCAAGAAACTAAAAATTCTTACGAAGACTTGTGGAACAAATTGTCCACGGCGGAGCAGGAACAAATTCTAACCGAAAGTATTATCAAACCTGAAGTATCTGTTAAGTATAGTGTTCCTCAAACGACTCAAAATAATGAAGATTATGCTGTTAAGATAGTTGTAGACGATCATTGCTCATACCGAGACGAGCATTCGGGGCCTTTTAGTTTCAGAACAAAAAGCCAAAGAAATTTGACTGTTTTTCATGGAGAGCAACCTAAGACTAAACCTACTAAAACCAGTGAAAATCTGGTTAAGAGTAGAACTAAACCTATACCAAAGGTACTTTTATAGTTTTTATCAATGTATTTTTATCATTTGATTTTCCAGTTAGCACCAAATGTACCTTCATATGCTCAAGACGTAGACTTAAATGACATATCTTATGTACCAAGAAATGATGATGATGGCTTAAGTTCAAATTCCAGCACTCTACCAAAAACTGGGTTGGACTTTTTAGATAATTGGTAAATTATTGTATTTCAAAGAGCTACAAATAAACCTTATATTTTTTGTATGTGTATTTGTATTTTGTTTTTATTTAATTTATTCTTAATTTTTGTTTTGTTGTAATATTTACGATAAGGATTTATGTAACTACTAAAAATATACTAAATAAAAAAATTGACTTATTTTATTTTCCTCGTCTTCTACAATTATTAATACAAATTACTTCAAAACCTTAACATACAAATACAAAAATTATTGATTATTAGGATTCCTTTTAGCATTCTCACTGCACACTTGATACTCGAGCATTCTAAAAATCAGTTCTTTGTACATTTCAGTCAACTGTCAGGTGGACTGAGATTGCATTTGAGGTACGCTCATGCTCGAGCCTGGAGTGCTAGCTCCTGGTTGAACTTGAGGCTGAACTGGCAGTCTTTGGGGTTGAGGAGCTGCTGGTCTTCCTTGTGAATGTTTGAGCTTAATTTTCTCCAATTCATTTACACGGGATCTAGCATGCTCCAACCTGTGCCAAGCCATCTGAAGCACCTTCTGAGAAGCATATCCGGATCCTTCGTGTGGTTGCCCTGTGGAGACTTGGGTCAGATAATTGATTTGATCTGTTAGTTTGTTTTCGACCGAGCCGAGGGTTTTCAGGAAGGTTTGCGTGTGGTTTTCGGCCTGTTTCAAGCTCGATTTTTCTTTGCTGAGTTCCAAAAAGACTTGACCTAAAGAATCAGTAATTATTGTTATGTCGAATTTTAAAGTTTTTAGGTATTTACCGGCACTGTTAAGACAAGTAATTATATCCTTTTCTATCGAGTCTAGCAATTGTATACGTTCCATTGGAGCAGTCATTATTACACAATTGAATTGATTGTTCTTTTTCAAATTATTTGGATACAAATAACAATACAAATAAACACAGTTGAGTTGAGTTTTGAATTGACAGTTGACAGTATACATAACCTCAAAAAAAGAAATGTGACGTCAGATGTCAATCAGTGCTCCTTGCAGTCCAAAGGCGATTTCACCTCACAGTTTGGTTTCGTACCCCAGTTTGGTCTGTCAAGCAGATACCAATATTTAATCAATTACGATTTCACCAACAAAGACGATTTCGCCACGTCTTGGTTGGTAGGTAAATTGGTTAACCGCTAGGAATGCGCTTCGTCATACCAGTGACGTCGCATACCATTTTCAACCGAAATCGGCCGGTTTGTCAAATCTCACCTGTATGGTACGTGTTGGTGATGGTATGCCCACTGATCTAAAAAATAAATGGAAAAACAATTCATACGGCTTGATTGTCAAAATTTGTGCGAAAATTTGGGGTCAATATTCTACGAACAGTTGTGCTACGGAACAGCCTAACGCCTGCGCAGTGTCTTATCTTTCGAACAACTGTTCTAAAATTTGAAATTCCCTCATTTTCATTGGCCAGATTTTGTGCACGCAGAATACATGCATCTACTGCGCACGCTCACAGCTGTCCCAGTCAGTTGTTTTTGTTTAAATTTTGACCTCGTAAATTAGCAGCATTAGAAGCGTGTTCTTTGTTTATCCATTTATTTTTGAGATCAGTGTGGTTGGTATGCCTGAGAAAATAAATATGAACAAACTATAGTTTTTACAGTTGGAAATTAATATTGGCAGAAAGAGGTTGCCTGATAACTTTTAAGACGTCATCTGTATGCCTCAACGTAATGCAAATCTCCATAAGGCACCCAAGATGCGTCATCAAGTTTCCTATTAACAGACAATCCATGAACTTTAGGAACCTTGATTGGAAATAGTGAAAATTAATTGTGTTCATTTGTTGTGTTTAATTTTAGGTCTGTTTCTGCAGAAATCACAAACCAGTCAGAGTGAATTTCATTGGCTGATACTAGTTTTCTGACTGTTTTCAACCAATGAAATTCGCTCTGACTGGTTTGTGATTTCTTCAGAAACAAACCTTTTAAATTAGGCAATCCAAACCACGTGACATTCAAGATGGCGTGGCGGTCACACATGGACCAAAAAACACAAAAAAATGTCTAGTTTCTGCCCAACTTAGGGCGGGTAGGTATTATAAAACTGCTTTGACAGTTAACTTGAAGTTAACTTTTTGAATTACATGTAATTCCAGAAGTTGACTTTAAGTTAACTCTCAAAGTAGTTTTATAATACCCGCCCTTAATAGTTTACGTATAGTCTGGCAAGTGGTAACTTGGTAAAGACGAAAGGGGGAAGAAAACTGGGGCGTTACCTAAAAATATCCACGTCACCTCAACTGACACCGTCTGATGACAGCCATGTCTTTGAGTTCAGTGGCACCGAAAACACCAAGAAAATAAACCAATAAAATTATTAGAAAAAAGATTCTCTTGTTTCGCCAATAACCACGCCACTGCGTGCTGTCGTTCAGGCTCTAACCAATAGAATCTTGTTTCTAAATAATCACGCCTCTCCACTTCCATCATTTCGCAATGTTGCCTGATTTTTTCCTATTTCAAAATATTACACATGCCCATATAGCAAAAAAAAAAATGTCACCAACTTGTCCATTATTTTGTTTCTAATTTCCGTCAAGTTTGACAAAAGCAGCAAATTCTTTTGCAGTTCGCTGTTTCGCTAGCCAGACAATACCTATACTTTATTTTTTCCCAAGATAGATTTTCACATTGAAAACTTTGAAACATAAACAATAATGCTTGACCCTGATTGGTCGCAAAATGAGGTGTTTCTGCAGGTTGACATCAGTTTTACAATAGCGGCCAATAAGTGGCATTAGCGGCATTGTTTATGTTTCAAAGTTGACAATGCCAAAATCTATCTTGGGAAAAAATAAAGTGTACTTACTATACCCCCTATTAAAAGTAACGTTGTCATCAGTGACGTCATTGAACTGATGTTACTTTAAATTAATAATTATAGTAGCACCTCTGTTACTTTAGCCACATTTTTTTTTTATACTTAATCCATATACTTGATCAGACGCTTTTCTGCAAAAATGCCCGAAATTGAGTTTTTATCTTCATTGCCGCATGTCCTATACCAACTTCTACATTTTTGATGCTGACATCATGAAGCTTTAGTAAAAAACTGCTGAAACCATGCGAAAGTGCTTCTCGAATGACCTATGAATAACTACCAAAATTGTCGTAGGAATCGTAAACGATGAAAAAGAAACACTTCAAAACACCAAAAGAATGTAAAACAGCAAGCAAAAAAATCGTAAAAGGAAAGCGCCGGTGACCATATTAGTTAGGTTAAGAAAAATCGGGCGCAAAATTTAAAATGGGTTCGTAAACAAATTTCAACAAATTTGACAGCAATGTATTTCTTATGGGGGATTCAAAAGAGTGATTTTCAGACGGGAATATCTTGGGTTCTTGGCATTTCTTAGTATTGGAACCTATTGTACATCAAACTTTGAACATATTTCTCTATAATTCATGCTCTGTAGGTGAACTTTTATTTTATTATAATTAGGTACTCATATATACTTATGAATCAAGCAAGGACATACGTATTTTATACAAACATCGGCTTCTTAAATTGGTAATATTTTTATTTTAACAATGTTTATTCAACTTTCAATCACTCTCTCAGTTAATTAACATATTAAAAAAACTATTTATACAACTCAATTCCGTAACAAACGTTCTATCACGACTACAGACGCTTTTAAAATTGAGTCCCCATAAGACAACAATGTATTAATTTTTGAACTAGGAACCCGCGCCAATTTGCGATTCTAACCTAACTAATATCATCAAGTCTGTGATCACGTGACCAAAAATCTGTCTCGTCTGCGATGCAAATACCGAACTCATGGCCATTTGCACGGCTATCACTTAAGGGATATTTGATCCAAGTGAAGCTTTCAATGTGACCTCTGTTTCTACAAGGGGCACATTCAAAGCTTCACTTGGATTAAATATTCCTTGAGTTTTGGGGTGCAAATGGCCGTCAGTTAAATAACCGTGCTCGAAACTCGGTACCCAATTTGACATGCCAAAATGAATAAAACCAAAGGTAACGTGACGTCGTTGTTTTTCGTGTCGAAATTGGTTGGTACTATGCTATACCGCGGTTGACTGCGGCTTTATCCTAGACTTTACAACGTTCCAGGTTTCCAAATTTTTCTCCACTTTTGTCTTCGCCATTCTTTGGTCTTTCGTGTACTATAAATTAACTTCATTTCTTCGACAATATGAAAAATATGATGTTTTGCCTCTATTTAACTTTGTCAAGGAAATTTTACCATCATGTTTAATAAATTTTGAAATAAGATCAGATATTTCACTCGATGATTTTACCATTTCCCGCATCGACACACTAATGGAGTCACCCCTAATACGCCAAAAAGCAATACCCGAACGGCTGGAGTGCGAATGGAGTCACTCGGAGTGCACGGAGTCAGCAAGCCGAACCACTACCAAATGCCTTCCCACACTGAATTCGGATTAGATTGTTGAGCTACGTCACTAATGCGTACCAATTGAACTGAATTTTCGCGACGAACTACTTCCATGATTTCATGAACACAAACGGTTTCGCAAGAAACTCGTGACGTCATATTTAACGTAGTTCGCCGGAGCATGGTCGCAGCTTCTAGCCAGCGTTCAAACTTATGACGTCACAAACGAACTATGGTTCGTCCTTGGATGAACTACATTCGTCGCAAAAATTCAGTTTTGGTAAACCATTCACCTACCAAACTGTACCAAACAGCCGATGGAAATCTAGGGCGAAATCGCCCCAATCCAACGACCTGTCAAAACAAAATTCGGAATGGAGGCCAATGCCAAAATTCTATAGTGTATGCTACGTTTTATTGCGGTTTTACATTTTGTATAAAGTCTGAAGTACTAAAAGTGTTGATTTTTTGAAAAATGCCTACGTTATGTATTGTACTTGGTTGTAAGAGCCGTTCTAATCGCGACAAAGTTTCGTTTCATGCCATTCCTGCAGAGAGAAACCACAGGTTTTTAACGGAGAAAAACGATTTGTCTGTGCTTCGTAGGGCTTCATGGATTGCAGCAATAAGCAGACAAAATCTGACTGAATCCATACTAAGAAATCAAAAAGTTTGCAGTAAACACTTTATAACTGGTAGGCAGTAATTTATTGAATAATTATGAGATATGGTTATAGTTTGTACGTACCCACTCAATAGCTAGTAACATTTTTTAGGTAAACCTGCTGCTTTGGAAGATACACAACATCTTGACTGGATACCATCTCAACATATGGGTCATTTGTCTTATAATGAACAGAAACGAGCTGCAGATGTTGATGAAAAGGATAACTACAAAAGGAGGAAACTTGAAAAAACTGAGGTAAATATAATATTGGTATGTAAAATATTTAGTAGTAGTCCTTTGTTATGTTTAAATTGTCTCAAAATCTCTGCCTTTTGGATGGACAAGGATATAGTTAGTTGACTCCTGGGTCCAAAAAGGTACCTACTCCATGGACATGTTTTGTACACTAGGTATTTTTAAAAAAATGTGTTTTTCTAGTATAACGTTAAGTATATTTGAAGTATATTTTAACTCAGGTATTGATATTACATTAAATTATAATAATTAATTACTTTGTCATCAGGTGATCGATATAGAGAACAACAGACCTCAGCAGTCTCAGGATGATCAAATTGAATATATTATGAAGACTGGAGTCTCTACCCCAACTGCTCTCACATTGGAAATATCACCTTTTGGCCTTTTGGACGAAGAATCACGTGATGATAAGTGGGAATATTATACAGGGTTTAAACATAAACTAGTAGTGATTATTTTTAAACAAATAGAACCATTTATTTGTTCAACTACCTCTTTAGCATTAAGTAATTTTAATCAGCTTTTGCTTACCTTAATCAAATTGAGACTAGATTTACATTTTAAAGATTTAGCCCGTGGATTCAAAATTTCTGCAACCACTGCCTCTACCTATTTTAACCATATGATAAATATTTTGTTCGGCAAATTGAAATCACTAATCATATGGCCAAATCAGTCAATTTTGAAAACTGTACCATATTGTTTCAAAGAAACGTTTCATGATAAAACAACAGTCATTTTAGATTGCATTGAAATTCTTATTGAAAGACCTACTGATTTATTGACTCAAAAACAGTGCTGGTCTTATTATAGGCATCATCATACTATAAAGTTTCTAATTGGAATAACACCACAAGGTTCTGTGTGCTACATAAGTGATGCTTGGGGGGGTTGTGCATCAGATAAGGCTGTTGTGGAGCTTAGTGATTTTTGTGCTAAAATTAAACCAGGAGATATAATATTAGCAGATAAGGGTTTTTTAATACCAAAAACTGTGGGAGTATTGCAGGAAAAGCTAATTACTGCTGCTTGTACCAAAGGTAAGAGCCAATTACATCCTTTAGAAGGAGAAGAAACAAGGCACATTGCTCATGTTAGAGTTCACGTAGAGAGAATTATTGTCATGCTCAAAAATAAGTTCAATATTTTTAAAGGCATTATCCCAATAAGTATGTTGAAAAGGGGAAACACTGAAACTGAAAAGTATAGTATGCTAGATAAAACTCTTATTGTATGTTGTGCTTTGATTAATCTTTCTCCACCTATAATTCCCTTATAGTTTTCACATTCGAAAGCGTATTTTTATTGTATTCTATCTTTTGATTTATATAAAGAATAAGATGATGATTGTATCTTTTATTCGTCGGTGAATGCTCAATTATTAGGGGCTTAAGCCTGATTCAAGTTTAACAGGCCACTGCTTAATAGGGAAGGACAAGACTCAAAAACTGGTGTTCTCTTCAAGAAACCTTGGTTATAAGAGCACTACTGAATCTGTGTGAAGTTTTTGGGGCTATATACTGATACTTTAATTCAAATTAAGATAGGACAAACACATTGAATGTGCGGCCACTCTGTATTTCTGATGCGAAACCTAGCGGTCTGTGTCTCACAGAATGTGTTACTGTCTGCCTATTACGCCCCGTTCCACTCTGTCATGTTTCCTTTTTGGTTTTAGTGGACTGAAAAGGTAGAGTATGATGATGGGCATTAATGTGCGAGCTTAGCTTGGGTACTTATTTGGTGGTTTTCAAGCTCCCTCTTTAAGAGACGTCTATAAGCTGCGCTGGCGCACTTCAGTCGATGTTGAATTTCTGGGTCGATATTTGCATTTGTGAAAAGATGACTATTGAGGTATGGGACTTATGGGAGAGGGGCATTCCATATTTTCTAGAGGTGCTCCATTTTAGTGCATTTGTATTCGTGTTTAGTTCTAGCTAGACCGATGTTTTAGTATGAAGGCATTTAGAGTAGTTTGTGGGCCTTCCTCGGTGTTTTCCAGGATAGCATATTGAAGCTAACAAACAGTTGTTGTGGGTTCTTGGCTAGAAGTCTGCCTCAATTAGATAGCTTACCAATAGTTCTATAGAAGATTTAAACAATCTTCAGGTAATCACAATCCTGTGTAATTGAAACATAGTCATCTGCTAAGCTTAGATAGATTTTATTCATTGAGCGCTATCCCCTATGTGAATTTTCTTTTCCACTGTGATCTAAAATTATTGTTCCTCACAATTTTGACAATACCAGACATTATTGGGAGTGTCTACTAATCGCACACAACCAAAATGAAACCACTTGGTCCCAGATTCATCTCTAAAGCACTCGATCATTGGTCTTCCATCATCTACACCTTTACAGACACACCAACGTAAAATTTTGGCCTCGCCATCATCTCTGGTAAAAAATCTGTCTAGAAAATAGAAATGCTCTAAACTGCGGCCACCTAGTACTCACAATAAGTCCGACTTCATTGATAGTCAATGCGTCATAGTTTTCTTTTTTCATTTCAGCTCTGTATTGTTCAACAGCAACATTCTCATGTGACAATTCCCATTGGATTGCTTTTGTATTATGTATGTATTATTTTTGTCGGATAGCAAATGGATTTTATCAAGGATAACGATGGTTTGTTTTTGTTTGTCCTACAAACCAGTTTTAGCTTTGATGCTGTTATTCTTCCAGCTCTTTGAATATACCAATTCTGGTTTTTACTCTGCTTTCTTGTCAATTTCTCTATTATAGTTCTTTGCTCTCTATTTATCCATGGGTTTTTTTAATATGTACTTTTTTTAATATGTACTTCATCATAAATAGCAGTTAGGACGGATGGCAGTAGAGGTAAAGAAGTTACACCTGCAGCTACCTTTTCGGCAAATGGTTCCACAACCTTCATCAGCACAGATGTTTCTTCTGTATCAGATATATCCTGCAACATATCTCTTATTTCTTCTACGTTAAGCGCTATCACATCTTTTTGTTCTACTACTGTGAATGGTTTTCCCCAATTCATGTCTCGCACTGGCACAATAGGTATTTGGCCTGAAGTTGATGGCGCTGACCAAAGAGAACGTACATCGGTGCATGATGTCTCTTCCTTCTTTTTATTTGCATATTCAGCAGCAAAACGTATGCTGCAACATGGCTGTATGCCTCACTATTACCAGTGCGCATGCATAGGTATGGCACCATCATTGCCAACAATGCACCATACTTCTAATGGCTTTTCATTATGCTGCTGGGAATATTTTACCTGGAATAGATACCCAATAGAAGCTTACCATATTCAACTTAAAAGCAAAATATTCTGTTGTAATCTAGTTAGTACCTACAGTAAACTAATAATCAATTAATAAAAATAAGATTGAAATATTACACACCTTTCCAGTTAACCCGAACAAATTATTATTCATTTTAGTTCCTGCCTTTAAAATCACAAGGGCAAGAATTTTTTTTTTCGATAAACAATACTAGAAGGGTACGAAAAAAGTTAACATAAAAAACAGATAATATTTCCTACTAAGTGCAAGTCCGAAAACTCAATTTTCCTGAACAAAATTATTGTGGAAAGTAGGTACCTATTTTATATTTTCTTGTGCTAGATAGTCCTCAACAAAATTGATTTTTAGCGCCTTTGTACAAAAAATAAATTAGATTTTCTTTCTTTTAAATCCTAACTACTAAATAAAAAATAACAATACTGCACTAATAGATTTAGGTGCTGCTAAACAAATAAGTCAACAATTCAGGTTTTGTCATTTCCCTCTTGCACTTTTGTACGATTTCTTGAATTTTCAGTCTTCTGCGGACATGTGGAGGCTGATAACTAAAGCAAAAAATACAGTAAAAAGATTATTTTTACCAAAAAACCTACCTGTCAGAATCTAATCTTCTTCGTCTAGCCATATTTGAAGCGGTGTGCCTTACAAGAGAACCCAAACTTCGTCTGCTGACAATCATGCCATCCACTAATGGAGACGCCAGGCTTACTCTACCAGAAGGACCCTAAAAAATCCGAATAAACCAAGGCAAAACTAGAATTATTCAAAATTCTCACTTGCAAATGTACTCTTAAAAGACCAGTAGATAAAAGTTGAAGATAAATAACTAAAACTTCGCTGGTTTTCATTGGGGATTTTTCCAAACCCGTATTCATAGATTCCAATAACTCTCCTACAGGCAAACTCAAATGATCCTCGAAACTCTCCAGCCAAACAATCATTATTTTAGTATTTGTATCTGGATGAATATTAGATTTATTGCCCCTTTTAGGAGCCACTGGTTGCTTGTCCGACTCCAAACTGTGTGTCCTTTTCGAATTGTCTGAAGACCAGGAATTATCGTTCCAGGCTAAAAAAATATACTTACATCCAGAAAAAATATAAATATTTCAACTTGAAATTCTTACAAGACAAAGTGCTGGCATTAAATCTAGCATGTGAATCAGTTAATTTAAGGCTGGAAGGTATCACAAAAGCGATTTCAGAGCACGCATCAGCCCAATATAAAATATGACTAGTGCCATCATAGCTTCTTTGTTTGGAGCTTTGATTTTGGAGCGGCTCTCCTTCTGGTAGATCTTTCCAGGATGTCGAAACGTGACCAGTCCAACCTGGATGTTTTCGAATTTCAACTGGCCATCCCAATGTGTGAATAAACTCAAAAAAGTGCGGCGATATCAGATTCGGATTGAGCATATTATTTACAATATCTTGAGCGTTAGTTTGTTGCGATCTAACATAAAACATATGGACAGTGTCGCACGTTCTAGGGCTCATTTGGTCTAAAATTTGCAAGTCTTTGCAAAACTCGTTTTGGCTACTGTCCAGCGCCACTAAGTTGGGGGTCGTATGAGGTGTGTCCTGAAATTGGATTTTTGTAGATTAAATTTAATTGAATTCAATAATTTTACCTCTTCATCTAAAGTTAGGAGTCCAAAATGACTCAAAAAGAGCCTGGCAGTCTGGAATTCATGACACACCGGAGGTGGAGCACATTCTTCTGGACAATTGTTTTGCATTTTGTGCAAATTTGATTCCACAGCACTTTGCCGGTCGATCAATTGACTTATCAGATTACTTTCTTCCTTGAGACTAATATTATTTTCAAGTAAAGATTCCAGAGTAGGGATTGATTGGTCACTGCAAATGTGAATAATTAGACAATAGTGTAGTCAAATTAGCAGATTTTGGGGAATAAGGTGGAACAAATTATTTATATTCAGTTTACAAAGTTTAAAATTTGTTTGCAATTATGTTATCCAAAAAATCCATGCCATATTGTTTAAGACACTTGGTCAATATTTATTCGCTGCCTACTATAAGATATCATTACTCACCAATGGGAATCTCTGTTGTCAAAAATGTCTGTTGAGCTGTTTTTTTTTTTACTTTTAAAGATCTTCATTTGATGTTTCTCAGTCACAAGAATCTCTCTGGTGGAATTATTGTTTGGTTTCTGATTCTCAAATATTTTTGTTGAAGCTTTCTCATTCTCAAGAATCTCTGGTGAATTTATTGGTGTGGTTTCTCATTCTCAAAAATGTCTGTTAAGTTGGTTGACATTCTTGAGAATCTGTTATTAGTTTTTCATTTTTTCCATTCTGAAGAATCTTTGTTGAATCTGGCTAGTTTGTTTTTCATTTGCAGAAGTATCTGTTGAGCTGTTCTCCATTTTTACAGATTTCTGTTGAATGTTGCTCATTCTCAAGAATCATTGGTAGATTTTTTTGTTTCATTTCTGATTCTGAAATATTTTGGTGGAATGTTTTCCCATTTTCATGGTGAATTTATTGGTGTTGTTTCTCATTCTCAAAGATGTCGATTTTGATCTTCATTCTTTAGAATCTGTTATTAGTTTTTCATTATTTCATTCTGAAGAATCTCTGATGAATCTGTCATAGTTTCCCATTCCCAAAGAATAAAAATCTCTATTGAATCTGGCTAATTTTTTTTTAAATTTAAAGATATATGTTGGATGTTCTCATTGTCAAGAATCTTTGGTAAAGTTTTTGGGTTTCTGATTTTCAAATATTTCAGTTGAATATTTTCTCATTCTCAAGAATTTCTGGTGAATTTATTGTGTAGTTTCTCATCCTCAAAAATGTCTGTTGAGTTGGTTGTCATTCTTGAGAATCTGTTTTGTAGTTTTTCATTGTAAAGGATCGTTGGATCTTCTAGCTGTTTTCCAAGCTGTTTCCCATTCGCAAAAGTATGGCTCTCTTTTTTATTTACCCTTTGCTTGCGCTTACTACTTTAAGGCCCGGTTCATTCAACTTCTGATAGGTACTGTTAGATATTGCAATCTGACAGATAGAAATTGAAAAGTTATCACCAATAGAATTAATTATATGAGGTCCGAAATAATAAATTCAAGTTTGAAGTGAACAAACCCAATGAAGAAGACGAGAAAGATCTAGTTTTATGTACATTTCCGTTGAAAAACCCTTTTTCTTTAATTTGTTCCACCCTAACTGCCAATTTGACCACACTACAAGCACACAAGCACTTCAAAAACTCACACTTGACAGTGCTGCACGCGATCCACACTATCAGGAAAGTACTTCTGCTTGACCTGAACACGTACAGGTGCATCTTGCATAGCTACAGGCCGACAAGCGTTTGAAGAATAAGATTTTATACCGGATTTATGACGTGGCAAGTGACGTAATTGCATAGTCCAAGCGTGACGTCCGAAAGGACCGCGGATTAGTAAGGTAACTGTAGGTTGAGGATCCTAAATTGAGAACAATGTTAATGGAAATGTTAAATTTCATTGGTATTTTAGTTACCTGGTCGTTTCCTAATGGTTCTTCTAATAACGCCAGCATAACTGAACCTTCTGTAACGAAATATCTGAATTTTTCCACTGCATTTGATAGGTCATTGTAATTGGCATTTGAGGAGCTGCATTGTCTAAATTGAAACAACTTGTGTGGTTTTAGTTTTTATAGGTAAGTTGAAATATTACCTTAACAACGAGACTTCATTTAACAAAGAATTAATCGATTCAGGTCCACATTGGTTAGGAAAATAAGCCACCTGTTCCAAAATACAAGTCAACAAACTTTCGGCAGCATCGCGAACTCTCATCGAAGCGGGTTTGAGTTCTTTTTCCTCCTTCATTTTGATTGGCTCTCCAGGTTTTCCCACCGATTTACTCCCGGATACGCCTAATTCACACACTTCAAGCACCTAAATATTCGATTGCATTACAAAACTCATATTGAAGCTAATGTTTTTATACCGTTGTAAGACAATCTTTATCTTTCAAAAGATATGGGTGTTCGCATAGCCACACGGAGCAACAGTGAAATGCTGCCACAATTGTAGAGTGTAGATCTTTGGAGTGGGCTTGGGGTGGTCTCGAACATTGGTAGACAATATAGTCGCAGAGCCATTTTACTGCTCTTTTGCATTCCATTGCATCTAAAGCAATATTTGATGTTAGAATCTTATAGGTACTACAAGGAATTTTTATAATTGTTTCTAGTGGAAGGTCTCTATGAGTTAACTGGAGGTATTTTTGCAAAAAAAAAAAAACGATATTTTAATTAATTACCTGTGAGCTTTTTGGCTGCATAATAAAGGAAAAAAAAGTAAACAGTCTCTAACTTACTAACTACTCACTAGAGGTTTTGTTCTCAGTTCTCGCTCATATCTGTATCGGTATTTGATTCAGAAACTCACTCTGCAGCCAATTTTTGAAAAATTCTCTGTACCGATTTATCTTATGGCTCGTGATAATTTGTGAGAACAAACCTACTAACAATATTCTTACTAAGCAACCTACCAGATTCCTTAATATGTATCCTGGCCAATCCAGACAAAAGTTCCAAAGCAGCCAAAGAAACGTTCAGATCCGTTTTCCATGAAGAAATCAGCCGGTGACAAACCAAATAAGTGGCTCTGACGAATAGAGCATGAGCAGAATCTAGAGTAACATTTTGAAACAATCATTGTCAATTAAAAAAAAAAAGACCTACAAAACAATAAATAAAGCCTATATAATCGTATCAAACCTACCTAGCGGTGCATCGTGAATATCGGCTGATCCAGATCTTCGATCTGGTGTGATAGAGCGATCGCTGCTAGCCATGCTAATGGTACTGGCAGTGTCCGAAGCTACAAGCCACAAATACGAAACATATAAAAGCCAAAACAAAATGCGGTGAAAATAGAAAATAATGTAAGGAATTTCCATCTTTATGTCCCATCTTGTGGAATCCTAGTAGGTATGGGTCACTTGAGCCTGGAAACTTTTCCGAAACCAGATGAAACCATGAACTAGCACAAAACCAGCTAAAACAGCTAAACCCGCTCGAAACAAGCTAAACCAGCACGCTGATAATGTGCTGAATTTCGGACTAGTTTAGCTGGTTTTGAAAAAGTTCCAAGGCTCAAGTGACCCTATACATTGGCTTATAACTACTAACCCTCTTACATATTATTGTCAAGAGATGAAATTCATTCAAAAATTGGAAAATATTTATTTATAGAAACATTTGAATTAGTTCATAAAGTTATTTCTATCTCTGAATTAGTGTCTCTATAAAAGTTAAAAATGTGTGAGAGATTTTTTTCTCCTTTAAACAACCAGAGAGGGATCTTTTATAAGAATTTTCAGCCGAATGCTGGCCTCATCATTGCAAAACTATCTTACAATAATCTATGCTGAAACAAACAAAAAGGTGAAGTTGATTTTAGCCTCACCAAAAAATGATCATAGTGAAAGGTTCGTTTACAAAGGATAAAACAGACCAAAAAAAAAAATCAATTGCAGTGCAAACATTTTAAAAAATCGTATAAACCAAAAACCCAATTATTCTTACCACTGCTCAATAAATTCGAAGCACTTTCATTAATAGGTTGCGTAATATGTTCAGCAATTTCATAAAGAGCGGAATCTTGTACGGACAAAAATAACCCGCCCAACAGCATGTGAGTGTTCTGAGGATCGAACTCCACTTGTAACGCGTTCATCAGGAGATTCATCAGTTTGGGTTTCAGCATGGCAAATGATATTGTCTTGTCGCTTGCACCTAGATATATAATCTATGTACTGCAAAAACTGTGACAATTTTAAACTAAATACCTGCATGATTATATAACTCTTTAATGGGGCAATTTTGGAAATGCAAAGGCAACACTAAAATCGAGATTAACAGGTGAATAGCGGCCCTTCTAAGTTCAACTTTGTTGACAGTACTAGACAGTTTGAGGTCTTTGTCTGGTAAGACCACTTCTAAGGCTGATACATAAGCTGGAATAAGTGTTCTGGAAGAAAATTCATAAATGATTCTGTCAGTAAACATTAGATGGCTAACCTGACACCATCCAAATCCAAGCTAAATATGTTGATTGAATTCATCAAAATAGCAACCATGCATTCTCCACATTCCTTCGAATTAGTGTTGGACTTAAGACCCTGAGTGATGGCTAAATAGAATCTGGCCAAATAAACTGCCATAATTTCTTCTCCAGTTTTCTTAGCGCAAAAAATCCTACACAAAGTCCCTAATGCTTCAGCCCTTCCGCTCTCGTACTTGTCAATAGTCAGCCCAGCAGGTAGCTCAGTGTCAGATAGGGAACTGGGCTGCGAATAGCTCAGGGAAGTTTTGCCGCTCTCCAAAACCATCGAGCTGGGACGTTTAAAGGACCCGCTCGATTGCCCTGTAATACTGGAAAATTTTCAATTGCTCAGTAGAAAGAAATTACTCACTGCTGTGTTGAGTTTGGAGTTCGCAACCGATAAATGCGGCTTCAAATAGCCATTCTCCGAATAAATGCAGAATTGTGTTGCATTTTGGTCTTCCTGGTGCCAGGGATGATTTTGATTCGTGTCCGAAGGATGTGACAGCTAAATAATAGAGAGGATATTCAAATTGGTTTTTGAAACAATTTGGAAATTTAACAACTTTATGGTATACCCCAATAACTAGTGAAATTTGTCCACAAGAGGTTTATACTCAATAGAAAAATACAACACAAAATCGGTACTTACAGGATCCAATATTAGTAGAATTGGTTCCTGTATTAATACTGGGTGTTGGTGATGGTACAGATGCTCTGCTACTAGTCAGGCCGATCAATGAAGATTTAGGCATACCTAATTTATAAAATATCATTTAATGGTATGTATTTATAGTGATGGTCAAAAAAACATATTTCTGACAATCACTACATACATCACAAGAAACATACAAACAAATAATTAGAAGTTAATTCAAAAAAAAAAAACCAAGAGAATAAAAAATTTAGTCACAAAAGAAAAAAATATACTTATATAAATACTTACTACTTAAATAATAAAATGGAATAATTTTGTGCCAAAAACTCTCACTTTAGAGGGTGCAAATAAAATATTTTTCAAAGTGCACTGAGTAAAAAAAAAAAAATCAACCGCCGCTAATAATGATCTTTAGCCAGAGGTAATTTAAAATAGAAAATTCTAACCCTTAGACACCGAAGACTGTGCAACGCTAAAACTCTTAGCCAGCCTGCGCTGGGTGGGAGGAGTGGGTGAATGGTGGGCGGTCACCATTGGAGGAGGTGGCGCCTCGCCACGTGACTTTTCCGTGCTGGTTCCCATAACCATCGTGTCCCACCAGATTGGGTGTGCAATGCCTACATAGGAAGTGGACAATTTTTTGACAGGGTGAGTACTAATCACTTATTTCACTAATCACAATTTGATTGCAAAATTTTAACAGCTAAAGGAAAATTGAAGAAACTATTAAACTAACAGGAATTAGTAATGTTAAACAATATAGGCTTAGTGTTCCAAAAATTAATGAGGTTTTTTTTTTCTGGAACGCTTTGCATATAACAATACAAGACTTCCTTAAGTTTTTTTTTACAGACAGATAGATAAAGATGTAGAGTGCAGAAACAGTAAGATACAACTTGTTTCCTTTTAACATGTATGCATCAAAAACTACAAATACAAACCCAAAAAAGCATCAACTTGTCCCGCTATTCCTTTGATGGCCTTTAAAAAAATTACAGGCAAAAGTTGCAGGCAAGGATGCTGACAGGGGTCCACAACTCCATCAGTGCTTATGGCAAATTGTAGAAACTTTTGAGTCTGACTTATAAGCTCTGGTTTAGTTAAACTAACTGGATTGCCAATGGTATTTAAAAATCTGTACCAACTTTGTGCAATGCAGTCGTTTGACATGTTTCTTGGTATCAAGTTGTCTTCACCTTAAAAACACCGTTGCTTAGACTAGGACATTTTGCTGACATTATAAATACCAATTTTAAGTTCAGGAAAATCTGGCCCGTACATAAAAACTAAAACTTTTGATGTCAAGGCAAGATTCACTCGATTCCATTGCTCAACAAGTGCCACCCTGTGTCTCCAATTCATGCAACATTCCCTCAAGGTTTTCCATAAAGGAGGTGATGGAAAACAACTTCCACAAGCTATTAACCAAATCTAACAAAAAATAATCATATATTTTTTTTGTAAGATGAAATGTGAAACCTTACTTCAAATAAAACACTTAAAACCCTTTCACAAAGCTGATCGGCCACATCGTCTTTCACATTTGGCGGTGACAATAGAATATCGTTTATGGCCAACAGGAATAGCAAAAGTGATTCCCAAGTGTCTCTATCTAAAACGTTAGATTTGTGGGCTATTTCTTGTAGGGTACGTAGCACTCTGTGACATAGAACTGCTTGTCTGTGAATTGTGTCTGGACCTTTAATGAAAAATTTGTTTTTGTTTTTCGGGCAATATTTTGAGGGGTCATTCACAACGGAAAATCCTGTGTAGCAAAAGATATCCAAAACTCTTCAAAGAAATCTTGGGAGGTTTGGGGAAATCTGGGGAGCAGGGTTGGCAAGTTTTTGTGTTTACTCAATTTGATGAAATTGCATATTTATTTATAAGCACAAAACTTTAGTTTTCTTTATGTCATGTTTATTTTAAATGGACAAGATTTTGAAGATTATAAAAATGAAATTTTCAAGAAAGAGTTTCAGCTCTTATTTACAGCTTCAAATTTAGAGCTAATATACAGCTTAGATGACAAAGATACAGTTTTGAGCTCTTTAACTATCAGATTCTATGATTTGCTCATATTTTTTTTGATCCCTAGATCCAGAGGGAGATTTCAGAAGAAGCTTCATAGCCTCTTAAATCTTTAAGCCATGTTTTGAATTTCTCAGATTCGAAGCAAGAATATTTGTGTGGTGGAGTAGTTTTTTTTTTTCATTACTATTTTGATTTTTCATTTTTCACTCCTCCAATTGTTGTCTATTTGACACCAATACCTGTGAAATTTTCAATTTTTTATTGTTAGTAACCTCTTTGAATTTATTTTCAGATTCTGTGATTTGCTTATGTATTTCCAGATATCTCGGATTCAATGCGAAATCATGTGTATTTAAAATGGGCAAGATTTTGAAGATTCTAGAAATGAAATCTGCAAGAAAAAGTTTTAGATTTTATAGGCTCATCTTAATTACAGCTATATATTCTGATTTTGTCAAATTTAGAGCTAAAATACATCTCAGATGACAAACATTGAGTTTTGGAACATTTCAACTATCAGATTATATGATTTGCTCATATTTTTTCTGAGCCTCAGAGCCCTCAGATCCAGAGAGAGATTCTTGGAGAAATTTGAGAAGAAGCTTCATTGGCTCATAAATTTGAAGTCAAGTTTTGAATTTCTCAGATCCAGAGCAAGAATGTTGGTATGATGAAAACAAATCCAAGACCTTGGAATAGGGAAATTATTTTATTAATTTAGCTTATTGTTGATATCCTGTAAAATTCTTTTCCTACAGCCGTGCGGAAAAATTGATTTTCCGCACTGATATGCATGCGGAAAATGAGTTTTCCCGCACGGTGCGGTAAAACTTTTTTTTTTGACATATCAGTGTGGAAAAAATTTTACCGCATTGATATGTCAAAAAAAAAAAGAAAAATTTTACATTTTTTCGCCTGTAGGAAAAATATTGTACCTAACACTTGCAGAAAATATTTTTCCGCACTCGGCTGCATCACCGAACTCTGCTACGCGTCGTTCGGTGAACGGCAGCCGCGTGCGGAAAAAATCATTTTCCGCACTTGTTAGGTAAATAGCTATTTCCTACAGCCGTGCGGAAAAATCGATTTCCCGCACTGATTTGCGTGCGGAAAATGAGTTTTCCCGCACGGTGCGGTAAAACCTTTTTTTTTTGACATATCAGTGCGGAAAAAGTTTTTCCGCACGGCTGTCAGTGCGGAAAAAATTTTACCGCACTGATATGTCAAAAAAAAAAAAAAAAAATTTTCATTTTTTCGCCTGTAGGAAAAATATTGTACCTAACACTTGCGGAAAATATTTTTCCGCACTCGGCTGCATCACCGAACTCCGCTACGCGTCGTTCGGTGAACGGCAGCCGCGTGCGGAAAAATTCATTTTCCGCATTTGTTAGGTAAATAACTATTACTTAATTTATTGCTATGTACAATCCTAGATTTTTAATTGATATTAAATTTGTCAATCTGCGGTCATTTACCTATAGCAGGACTGAGTTTTTCTAAATAAATTTTATTTTTGAGTAGGCCAACCCTCGGGCCAACCCTGGGGCAGATTCAGGAAAATCTGTTAGAGAAATCTGAGGAGATCTACTCGGAGATCTATGGGAGGGGAGAAGTGAGGAATATCTGGGAGTTATGTTCTGGCTGTGCACTATGAAATCCCTGAAAAATTACGGAGATCTAACGAAATGTTGGGAACTCGGTTGGGAAACTTATTGAAGAAATCTGAAAAAATCTTGGGGAGGTCTCAGGTTATCTGGAATATCTAACGGAAATCTGTGGATATCTCTTGTGCACTTGAATATGTTGTGACAAACCCTTGCAATATTGTAACACTAAAATTACATTTAACATGCAACAAACAATGACTTGTATATTTTGAGTCTATTGGCTAAATTAATTAATACACACATGACTCTATAATATACATTTATTGAGACTAATCATACCCAAATCCATGTATAGAAATGCCCAGTCTTAAATGGAAATCAATATAGTTGTAATTATTTTATTATAAAGCATATTTAATAATACATATTGACAATTCTCTTACCTTCTCCCTTTCTAGGTACAAATAAATAATGCAGATGAGATATAATTTTTCTAGCATAAATGTTTGGGTCCTCTACGACAGGTTTGGGTACACAAACTTTGGGTTCTGGCAACAAGGCTGTTAACCATTCGCAATACACATTTACACAATCTTTAATTGCTTCGTGTTCTGCTAATTGTAAAGACAGGCCAAAGCATAAGACTTCCATTGACCATTGCACCTATGTATCATTATTTATGTAAATATATTTATTATTAAATTGGTAATTTTTTTCTTACTTCTCTGTCTGTTAACAAAACGCTGGGTTCTGGTGCTTGGGTGATACCCAAATTACTTGCCAACTGCTTGACAAGGCCTAAAGTTATTTCTTTGCTTATTGGTAAATCGAATTTTTCCAGGACGCTTTGTCCTTCCTCTCCGCCTTCTTGGCCTGCCAAACTCAGGGACGTCCATTCTCCGTACATTCCCTTGTTTTCGCTGCTTTCCTATAGAGAACAATAGTTAAATTTGATCACTGACACAAAATTGTATTTTATGTCCCAAGTTTACCTTGAGGTTCATGCGATTAAACAGTCCCAAATTCATAGGCGCGCTTTTGAAATGTAAAAGTAACGGGACAAAAAAAAACACCGATTTCACCTATTGAATCGCTAATTACTTCTCTTTTTATTTAATTATTCATGATAACAATAATTAAATAGAAACATGGGAGAAAAAGTTTGCATTTGCAATGTAAACAAACAGAACAGCTGTCAGAGCAGTGTTGCCACAAGCCCTTTTTTCATTGGGGCAGATTACGGCAAGATAGCGGGGTAGAATAGAATCGGTGCGGGGTAGCAACAAAAATTTCACCTACGAGCGTGCGGAATGTAGCATTTTACCGCACACTATGCGGTAAAGTTACTTTACCCCATAGTCTGCGGTAAAGTAAACTGCAAAGTATGCGGTATAGCTACTTCACCGCATAATGTGCAGTAAAGTAGACTGCTTTGCTAATGATATAGCTAAAATTTTATAACACATGCGTTTTTGACGCGGTTAGGTAAATAACTATAATGTTTTTACATATTTTTCTGCATCATGCATCAATTATCACAGAAATTCAAAGGAGACACTGGAAGGAATCTCTAAATGGTTTGGATTTATCAAGTATTTTTAATTAGCGATAAGCAGAAGCATTCTTTTTGTGTTATAGCATAGATTGTATTTAGAGCGGGGTAGATTTAGTTGAGGGGAGCGGAAGGGCGAGATTGTTTTCGAAAGGGGTAGATCTACCCCGAACTACAGTGACCCCGAACGGGGTACAACGGGGTAGCTTTGGCAACACTGTGTCAGAGCAGGATTGCCAGATTTTGTGTTCTTCTTTTTTTTACTTCACTTTTTGGCTTTTTTTTATTTTTGACGAAATAAAAACCATGTTGCCAAATGTGATTGTTAGTATATTGTTTTAAATTTAAAAAAATATATTATAAATTATTATTGTAATCTTAATTAAACAATAAACTCATTTATAATTATTAAATATAAAATTGGCAACAACGTTTCAAGAAGTGGTTGTTAAAAACAGTGCTGCCACATCATTTTTGGTCTTTTATGCCTGCCTAATCAAATAAAGTGGTGTATATCAACCATTATCTTTTTGTCTTTGTTATTTCCTAGGTATTAAACAAAGATACACAGAAAACACCAAAGTGAAAAAAATAAAAATCTATCAATGCGATCTGTCATTTGTCAATAATTGGTCTTGTCAAATAAAAAAATTAAAAATTTCTCAAAATTTCTTTCCACCAAAATTATCATTCGGGCAATCGAAGACATAAAAAAATTCTACTAAAGCAAAACCAGTCGATCTCATCATATTTGCCAGTAAAGACGATAAATGTGAATCAATTGAATCGTTGCAATTTCCTTTATCTTATGTAACTTTTTCCCATTCGAAAATTTCCTTGCAGTATTTTTAAAGGTTAGGTATGGCTAGTGGTTCCACAAGAAGAATTTTAGTAGAAACCAAAAACTTATCCAAAGATCCGCCCCCGGGGATCAGCGCTACGCCCGATGATAACAACTGTAGGTAAGTGGCTCCTTGATCTGTTTTAATTGCATTTTTTGACTCCACCCTAGCGATGAATACTTTCCTCAATAATCTTTCTAATCTAGAAAAGAGTGATAAGAGGCATAAAAAGCTTTATACTTAATCGTTTGTATTATATTTGATATTGCATGCATGGAATGTTGAAATAGCTTATTGATTCAAATTTATTCCAGCCACACATTACACATCCTTTTTATTTTTTAAAAACCTTTTTGTTCTAACAAAGTGTTAACTCTATCTATTTTTACATCCTACATTAGGGTATCTAATCTACTCCTGAAAAAAATTAAATACTTACACCTTTATCAGAGCTGGGCAAGACATTACAGAAATACCCTCGGAAATACCTAAGTATGCATAATCTAGGTATTATGAATTTTGAAAAAGTCCATTTTATTTAATTAGCATGCAGTTAAGGATTAAAAATTTCATCATGAATATCTTTACAAGTTACTATAAGTTGTATGGTCAAATTACCCTCCTGTGTGCTCACATTAATTTTAAGTTTGCATGAATGCAAGAAGGTATTGAGAAATCTTGAAGGACATCTGAATCATCTGGAACCATCATATATAATAGATAAGATAAAGAAAAAAAGAATTATCAAAAACAATATGAGTAATAAAATGACCACCTGCTCAACCACCTGTAAATCTACATACATTCTCAAAAGAACTATGAATCAAAATTTCCATCAATCATTATCATTATTATTTCCCTTATCTACATTTCTGTACAAATTGAAAAAAGTTGAGTAATGTTTTTGGTTTGAGTAAGCTGGATTTATACAGGAAATAAAATAAAATGAAATAGGAAACACACAAAATGATTCAACTTTTTTTATTTTATCTTAACTGAAAATGCTATTTGCGCACACCAATTATTAGATTAGACCGATGACGGTTGAGGCGTGCAGTGACTGGATCAAAATAATACTCTGTATGATTTTATTTTATTTCCTTTATAAACCAGGCTGTAGATGTTTTTCAGATATAACTTCCTTATTGAGATTCTTTTGTGTCATAGCTAATTTCTTTTAAATGAATATAATTCTTGGTTGCTTTCTGTTGAGAGAGATTTGAGCCTTCAAGAGCAGCTTCATATTAAATTCTGGCCCAAAACGATAATTTTCATTAATCTGGGTCGAAACTATCATTTGCATCAATTAAATTTTCTTGTTGACTCGATTTCGCTTCACGAGCATCTGGCCAGGATTTCTAATAGTGTGATGATAAGGTTTCAAAGTGACCAGCACCTTATTCAAGTCTATTCACGAGACATTTTCTCTATATTTTTTTCTATACATTTTCTTATTGGATAATACGTTTTATTTAACTATACAGCAAACAGTTGGATATAAAGATATTATTGAAGTTTGATGTCAAAAGTATAAACTCTCGTGAAACGATCTAGATGTACAGGGTGTCCAAGATTCGATGGTTTTGGGGGGTTTCGGGTATTTCTTAAGAAGTTGGAACGAATCTGACCCCCACTTGCGAGCCTCGATTTTCAAGAGAAATTGACTGGTGAAAACCGCATCTCGATATGTCGAGTCGTTTTTATGCTACTAGGGGTTTTTGAAAAGTTTGGAGTTTGGCAGGGGGCTACCTATAACTTTTTTATTTATGAAAATTTGGTCAACTTTTCCCCTTGTAGCTTAAAAGCGAATCGAGGTGCGGATTTCACCGGTCAACTTCTCTTGAAAATCGAGGCTCGTAATTGGTACCCGAAACTCGCTAAAATCATCGAATCTTGGACACTCTGTACTTGATAGAGGTAATTTTCAAATCTCTGAATAATTTAGTGTATGGAGTTTGAGGATTCCCAAATTAGCATTCAAACAGAAAATCTTAATAAAAAAAAATTTGAAATCTCATCATTTTAAATGAGTAACAAGATGAGTAATGAAGTGATAGATAAATGTGACGTTGATGATGAATAGTTATTTCGCGCTACAGAACACTAACCATTTTTTATCTAGAATGTTATGTAACAGTTTTAATCCATGTTTTAATATCAAGAAAAATTTTGATTTTTATTTAATGTATTAGATACCGTTTGGTTTGAGTCTCGGTTTGAGTGTTTATATTTTTGTTGTATAGATTTGATATTGCTTCAATGACAGTATTGTAAATACAGACAAAATCATCACATTTCCTTGGATAATAAATTACATCATCATTTATTTTTCAAAAATAATTATTCTGCTTGCTTTTAAACAGTAAGAAATAAAATATGGTCCATCAACCATCTGATAAAATTTCTCGTAAAATTTCAAATGTTTCTTCTTAATTTTGAATTATTCGGTTACTGCCTCATTGTCAAAAAACATCAAATCAAATCAAAATATGCTTTATTGTCTAAAATCAAGTTTTGTTGACAAAGCAAATAAAATAAAAAAAATTAAAAAAAAAAATTACATAATAAGTATAAGTGCAATAATAAAGGTCAAAATAGATTCAAACATTACAGGTCCTAAGGTCAACATACAAAATATAAAATATAAAACAAGCAAACACAACTAAGTCTAAGTCTAACACGAATATTGGTACACTTCCAAAAAAGATAAAATTTTAATTTTAAAAAGCAGCAGATGAACAGGAGAGATGAAATCAATACTCAACAGAAAGCAGGAAGTAAAACGGTTTAAAAATACAATAAAACTTACAATTATTAAAAATCAGACAAATAGTGAAATTGAAGTACCATACAAAAAATACAATAATATATTCCAAATAAGTTAAAAGTTAAAAAGTGTCACCATAGTATTCTCCCAACTTATAATATGCCCTCTCCACCAAAAGTCTTTTAACGGCATTCTTAAATTGCCCGAGGGTAGGATAAAGCTTTATATATTCAGGTAGGTGGTTATAGATCTTACGACTCTCATAAATAATTGAATTTTTAACTAAGGCAGAGGAAGGAATTGGCAAGCTTAAATAGTGTGACCGTCTAGTGCAGTGGTTCCCAAACTTTTTTCTTTTGCGCCCCCTTTCTGAAATCAAGTAGTGGTCGCGCCCCCCTTCCTTCCCCCATTATACAAAAACATTTTTTTTTTACTTACTGTAACTCCTCTGAACTGGACTTTGGAAGAGGAATAATGGACATGACAGTGGGCAGCAGCGAGCGTGCGCTGTAGCAATTACTGTATTCCTTTTATACATCGAGTTACACCGAACGTGTCGCTCTAGAGCTCCTCGGAGTCACTCCAAAACACACAATTCAGATATTAGAGAGTTCTCGTGCTGTCCAAATTTCAAATACCGTAACGTTATTTGACAAGTATGACAGTTCTCACGGTATTAGCGTTAGCGGAGCCGCCCGCTACCTAACGGTAGTTAGCGGATGCCTTACCGTATGTCAAAATTAGTTTACGCTCCATTTACGTCTGTAAGAACAGCAACTTCTAATAATTCCTCGATAAAAAACACCAAGGAAAAATTATTGAAACTCAGGAATCTTCAGGATAAATAAAAGTTGGCGAACAAGCAAAAAAAAGTTGGGTTAGATCACTCAATCCAGCTGTCAAAATGTAAACAGAATAAGGAATTAGAGGATTTTTGTGACTTCATGTCCGACAACTATAAAATACCATTTAAAATACCGTATTGTTAGCGGTACCGTATTAACGTAGCGTCTGAGACACGATAACTTTCTATTATCATTATACTTTAATATTAACATTACCTAAAAAAGCTTATTGCACCCCCGGAAATTTGGTGCATCAGGGGAAAGGGGGATGCACTATGAGCGACTTGAGTGCTTTCACGCACTTTTGAAAGGAACGTTCACCCTTTTGACACTAAGCAGCTCCGACTAACTCAACGGGTAAAAGGAATACAGTAACAGATCGCATGGCAAAGCTGCTTTGGCTTATGTATGCGCTGTTGTAGGATTGTAGACATCTTTTTTTAAATTTTACCTGATTTTTTATTTTAAAGCTTAAAATTTGTATTAATTGTTTAGAAGACTTACGCCCCCCTCAATGTTGCTTCACGCCCCCCCAGGGGGGCGCGCCCCCCAGTTTGGGAACCGCTGGTCTAGTGCCATACAAATGACTGGGCATTGGTAAAACATCCCTACGCTTATAAATCATACAGACCGTTTCCAAAATTAACAGTGATGTAAGAGTTAGAATTTTTTTAGATTTGAATAGAGGCCTGCATGATTCTCTACTATTTATGTTACACATATAACGAATGGCACGTTTTTGTAGAACAAAAATAGGATGTATTAGGTTATTACTTGCATTTCCCCAAAATACAATACCATAACGCAAATGAGATTCCACCAAAGCATAGTAAACCCTCCTCGCCATAGCATTGCCTAGCTCCCTTGATATTGTGCGCACTGCATAACATCCTGAAGCCACTTTCTTCATGAGGTTATTAATATGAGTGTCAAAATGTAAAGACTTATCAATAAAAACTCCCAAAAACCTAGTTCCAGGCATCCCAAATAATTCTGATTTTAGACAGTTCTCAAATGACAATGGTATTCAAACTTCATTTTTTCTTTCTCCAACTGATACAGTAAAAATTAGGAGGACTATGTCTGAAATTAAAAAGAATGGGGCTGCTGGATGGGATGAAATCTCTATTGGACTGTTTCTGGGTCTCCCAGAAGAGGCAATAACTGTTTTGTCTGAGTGTATAGATTTGTCGTTTTGTGAGCGTATTTTTTCGGAATGTTTGAAGCGGGCGGTGGTGGTGCCTTTGTTTAAGGGTGGGGATCATGATTTACCTGAAAACTACATGCCAATAGCCTTATTACCTAGTTGCTTTCTAAAATCATTGAAATATTAGTAAAAAACGCATGAATGCATTTCTCCTTAAGCATAACATATTAAACACTAGACAATTTGGGTTCGGTTTCAAGCTGGTAAAAGCACTAATAATGACACTGTCTTTTCTTTTCTTCAAAATTTATATTTGAGTCTGAACGATGGGGAGGTGGCAACAGCAGTCTTTTGCGATTTAAGTAAAGCATTTGACTGTGTCGACCACGGAATACTGTTGCACAAGCTCAAGCTTTATGGGTTCAGGGGTAGAGCTTTGAAATGGTTTAAGTCATTTCTACTGACAGAGTTCAGAGGGTCTCACTTGACATACAATCGGAGCAGCAAGAAGTAGGATATGGGGTACCAAAAGGTTCCGTTTTGGGGCCCATCCTATTTTTATTGTATGTTAATGACTTGGCTAATATTAATATATCGGGTAAATTCACTTTGTTTGTGGATGACGCCACTATACTGTGGCAAAAGTCAGATGAAAGTTTACTTGGCAAAGTTGTAGCTTCTGACACAGAAATTATTGAATCCTGATCTGGTGTGATTGGTGTGATGCAAACGGGTTATCTTTAAATATAAACAAAACTAATGTAATGTCATTTTGCTGCAATTTGGGGGATATTTTTTTGAATGGTTCTTTATAAAAAACTTGACCATAAATAAATTTTTTGTCATACGCTCCCAAAAACAGCTATTTTACGGACTCATTCAAGTCCGTAAAATGCTTCTTTTTAGGCTTTTTTTTTCTTTCTGGATGCACCTTTATGATTTCTTAAATTGAGGAAATTTTGCAAATTTCAGCGTTCTGAAGAATTCTAAAAAGCGTATGACAAAAAATAGTGTTTGTCACACGTACCTAAAGAAGTTTTTCAGGAATCATCTGCTATTCCGGACTCGGCTAACGCCTCGTCCAGAAACAGCAATGATTCGTCTTGAAAAACTTCATTTCAGGTACTTGTGACAAAAACAACTATTTGGGAATTTTCATTGACAACTGCTTGAAGTTTGAATCACACATCTTTACAAAATAGATTGGCTTCCAATTTTTATGCGATTTAGGGTATTGTCAGGTGAATTGGATGTGAGAATCATCTGAAATGCTTACTTCGCGGTGATTGAATCTCATTTGCGACACAGTGTTTTTTTCTGGGGTACTTGTTCCCGACAATTGTTTCAGAGTGTTTTTGTCTTGCAAAAGCGAGCTATCAGATATTTGTTTAGGGTCAGAATGCGAAACTCGTGTAGGCTTTTATTTTTAAAGAATAGAATTTTGACCCTTGCAGCGCTGTTTATCTTGAAAAGTGAATGTCTTAAATTTAAAGATCAGTTAGGGGCTGAAAGCACGTATAATTTAAGACACCAACATCAACTTTTCCTCCCAATTAATTCCCCCTTCCGGATTGGTAAGAAAATCGATTATAATGGAATGACAAAAAGATGTTTAATAACTTACCACAGTCAATAAGATCAATTCTTATTACAATTGAATTTAGGAAGGAGGTGAAGGAACTGCTGCTATACTGCTTCAATACTATAATAAATTACCGCAATTTATTATAGTATTGAAGACTTTTTTAATGCTTTTTGATTTTGTATGGTCTTCCATGTTATTTCTTTTTTTTTTATCCGTTTCTGCTACCTCTGCTATAGGTGTTTAATGTGAGTTTTATCACCCTCAATGTAAAATGTTCTCTGTTGTTTTGAATAATACATTTTAAATTATTTGTTTTTGAGTTTTATTTGCATGACTTTTACTTTAAGTTTTATTTTTTATTACGGATTTTTATTTCTTAAATGTTTTGTGAGCTTTTCTATTTTAAGTATACATTTAGATATTTTTCCTGGTACTACAAGTGTGTACTTTATTCTTTAGACATAGGATCAGCTTCTGTGAACAAATATTTATATTTACACAATAAAGCACATTTCGAGTCTCTCAACATTTAACTTATCAATTATTTCCAGATATTTCCATGTTGTTATGGCTGGTCCAAACACATCCCCCTACGAAGGAGGCCTATTCAAATTGGAATTGTTCCTGCCAGAAAACTACCCGCTCTCACCACCAAACGTGAGATTCCTCACCAAAATATACCATCCAAACATTGACAAACTGGGCAGAATATGCTTGGACATTTTGAAAGACCAATGGTCTCCGGCTTTGCAAGTACGTACCGTGCTGCTTTCAATTCAAGCTTTGTTGAGCAGTCCGAATCCAGACGATCCTTTGGCCAACGATGTCGCCAACATGTGGAAAACTCGCGAGTCGGAAGCCATTTCCATGGCCAAAGAATGGACCAGGATGTTTGCAACAGAATAAAATGAGTGAATTGTCAGCGTGATAGACTGTGATATCCTGACCTGACTAATGTGATTGATAATGTATAATATCATCTTGGTTCTAATTCAAGCATTTTTTTACATATTCTTACTTTTTATTTATTGTTTGTTGAAGTTCAAGCATCTACAAAAGACTTTCTAAAATTATTTGTGTAAATTTAGTAAATTTTTCTATTGAATAAAGTTACAGTTAAATGTGCTTGTAGAAAGGGTCAATAAACATTACCGTTGTCCCTAACCATATTTAGCTTGATGGTGTCATTATTATTCTTGATTGGAAATAATTTTACTGTTACAATCATTTTCTTTAAAGAACTTTGGTCATGGCCAAATATTGTAGAGATGGCGAAAGAGGTGAAGAAAAATCCCAGAAGAAAGGTTTTAGTTGTCCATGGATGATTCCTTGATGAAAAATTCAAATGATTGTGCATTTTTTTTAAGTGGACTGTGCCTTGTAGTTTGCGGAGGAGTCGTTTCGGCTTTTCAGCCGCTCAGCACTGCTACCTTTGCAGATATTTTGTACGTGGGCCTGTGCCTTGATTGATCAATTGTTGAAATTGACCTCAATGCAATGTCTACAGAAGTCTAACTGCAACACTGAAGAAACTTTAATTTTCATTCTTTATCACCAAATTTAAACAAATCACAAGTCCGTTCTGTTGAGCTCTTTCAAAAACTTGAACCCTGTACAAGATCCACAAAAGCTCAATTTTTTTTTAAACAAATGTGTTTAGATTTATTTATTGATGACAGCGGGATAGGCAGGTCAAAGCAAAGGGGGGATGATGATTATGAATACAATAATTAACACTAAGGGTTTTTTGGGAAAGAACTAAATTGAAAAAAACTCCATTTACATTATGAATAAAATTAATCTGAAAAAGGCTATGAAAAGACCAAAGATCTAAGACTGTAGCAATTTTTTGAATTACTTTATGTGAGTGAGACGTAATCATCATCACAATGCCTCTAAAAGATCAAGAAATGTATTATGACTGTTGTCTTTTAGATTTCAACATGCCAGATGGAAATTCGGTTGAAACAACAATTTTTTAGAAGCCACCTGTATAAAATAACGGCGCTCTGGCAGGCAGGAGCGTCGCGTCGTCGGAGCAGGATTCGATTGAATCGAGCCGACCGCAGCGCACAAAATACGTTTCATTGTCTGGATTTTCGGGCAGGCAAAATCCGGGAACTCCGGGTGAATAATAATTTCGTTTTTGTCCGCATAGTGAATAATGATAAATTAACATGTAGCCAACCAGTGCAAATTGATAGAAAATATAAGCAAGCGATTCTGGATTGGATTATAATGGGAACAGAAACTTAAATGGTAAATTATTTTAATTGAAATTGGTTTGTTTATGATATGGTGCGTGAATTTGTACTGATGTTGCGTCGAGTTAAATAATTTAGTGATTAATGTTTCTGGTTTAAACCCATTGACTAATAATAATGTATTGGCAAAATGTAGGCCTATTTGTTTCAAGGGCGGATGAGACCATTTGAAAATTCATATGTAGAAATCATAGCTACAGAGTCATTGTTGCATCAACTCAATTTTTTAAACGAAATGGAAGCGCATAAGGTCACATAGTGGTGTCAGACTTATATTTGTTAAATTTATTTTTATAGAGGATGCAATTTATTTGGCATTGAAATATTTATTCTAGTTGGGATACAGGGTGATTAATATACAAAAGTATAAGTTTAGTTATTTTAAACCATTTGCAAAATAAAACTTGAAAAAAACAGAGCCTCATATCAACAAGAAGTTCTTAAAATAAACACCTTGTAGAAATAATTATAAATGTATACTTTTTGATCAATGTATAACATAATGATTTAAGGTAATGCCTCAGTGATATGGCAAGCGGGGCACAACCAGGCCCATTGGTGCCTCCACGCAATGGCACAACGGGCTGGATTTCTACCAGCGATGAGAATCCACAAATCCAACATTGCATAGTCACCGTCCATTACAATCCCATCATCGCCACCATATTCGGACTTTACGTAGTTATCGGATTAGTTTACACATTTGCAGGTAAATTCTCTACCAATTGCGTCCTGGATAAGTTTCTACATGGTAATTTTTCTTGCAGGCTACAGATTTTTCAAGACGACAATGTTCCTCACCGGATTTATTTTTGCTTGTAGTTTGGTGTATTTGATCTGTCTGCAGGGTGATCTTTTACCAAGTTACGGAAACGCAGGTAAGAGCATCTACAGAATTCACGTACTTAAGCTAGTTTTATAAACGTATAGTAACAAGTTTATTCCACTCATTCATACATCCATATTAATTTTAGCTGTAGCAGCACTAGCAGGATTATTATTCGGACTAATCACAATGCTAGTTCAGTATGTAGGACTTTTTATAAGCGGCCTGCACACTGGATTATTGTTGGGCTTCGCTGGGCTACTGGTAGCCGACCATATCACTGAAACCTCCCCGAAAGGAAGCGTTTGGTTGTGCATTGCTGTACTACTTGGTTCTGCACTTATCTGTGCTATTGTTAACTTGTATTTTAGAAAAGGTAAAATGCTTTAAAAATTTGATGCAATTTTACCAAATTGTTTTAAGGTTTAACAATTATTGGGTCCAGTTTATACGGTGGAGCAATATTATCAGTCACCATCGACTATTTTCTGGAAAATCTATCGATGTTGTCTTGGGTATGGCAACGAGTGTCGCTCAAACCTGTACAACCGCCCCCTTGTTGGTTCTCTTGGATGGTTTTGGGATCGTGGCCGCTACTAGTTTTGATTGGAATTTTAGTGCAATCATTTATAACTGGCAGGGGACAGCATCACGAAGACAGTAAAACCAAAATTAAACTTCACTAGGCAAATTGCATATTTCATTGTTTTAGTTGCTGCAGGAAGGAAAAATCCAAGAGTACCTACATCTATGCGAGCAATGACTAAAATGGACAGAGCAGAAATGAGGCAGAAAAAATACAGATATCTTTATCAAGTGCGTTCAGCTCATGGAGATATAATCAGTCAGGTAAGTTTGTATTTTACTTGCTTGCCAAATAATACCTATTTTTTTAATGTAGAATTTCGTGCAACAAATGCAAAAAAAGGATAACTTTGACCAAGGAGGTGAGTGCAGCACTCTACAATCTGATGCTACACATCTTACAATGTTACCCGATAACCATTTGGTGATACTGACTGAAAGCGAGGATGACAACTATCATCATCAACGGCCAGACATGATGCGTGGGGGGCGAAAATAATTTTAATCAAAAAATCTTTTGGTGATAATGTTTTATTCAGTCAGTGATGTTAGTTTAGTATTATTGCATGTCAAATCTTTTAGAAAATAATTAAAAGTTTAAGACAATAAAATTCTGTAAATATCAAAAAAATACTTACCAAAAAAATGTGTAAATGTAAGTTACATGAAAAATACGTAACTTGTATTATGTAGTCCCGAATATAGATATTTATTGTAAAAAAAATGCTTTCAGAATACTATTTATTTGCCTATTTTATTTTTCAATGGAGTTAGTATAAAATGTAGTCATTTAGGGCTCCCCTTAGATGAAGTTTTCTTTAAAAAAATCAACATCCAAGAAAAAAAAAATATATATTATGCAATGATCACGTAGTGATATCCATTAATACACAAGCATGTTGTAGGATACGAAACGATCCGCAGGCGAGTTGCGAGTGTATTAATGGCCATTACATGAGAGTTGCATACACTATTTTTTCTACTTCCATTTAATAAACGAAAATAGTATATTATACAATGATCATGTAATGATAGCCATTAATATAAGAGCATGTTGTAGGATACGAAACGAGCCGCAGGCGAGTTTCGTATATAACATGCGAGTGTATTAATGCCCATTACATGAGAGTTGCATACACTATTTTTTCTACTTGCATTGATAAACGAAATAGTTATTTATTATACAAGGGAAAAAAGTACTAGATTTTAGCGCGAGGTGTGCGGAGGGAGACAACACAGCGAGCGCTAAAATCTTACTTTTTCCCATGTATAATACACTATTTTTTTCTGTGACGGGAAAATCTCAACATTTTCCATCTAACCATTATTCCCTTTGAGAAAAAAATTTCAATTTTTCTCCCATGGGAAAAAAGTGATTTTTTTTCCCACGGGAAAAAAGTAACAGGTACCAGTCAATTTTTTTTCCCATGGGAAAAAAAATCACTTTGTTCCCATGGGAGAAAAAGTGACATTTTTGCCCCTGTCAACAGGTACAAAAAGTCTACTTTTTTCTCGTCACAGAAAAAAACATTTATTTTATAAGAATAGTAAACTTCTCAACTGGTGACAATTGTTGACAACTTGACAATTTCAAAAAATTAAGATTTAGATGTCATTTGGGCATAAATTCCGCACCCGATTTATTAATTTTTTGTTGTTTCTTCTGGGAAATCTGACTATAAAATCGAGATGTTAGTTCAAGGTTGTCACCGCTTTAATTATGCAAATAAGGCAATCGGAATATAAAATCGATATGTTTATGTTAGTTCAAGGTTGTTACCGCTTTTGCATACATTGAGTGCCGACTCATAGATAGGCAATTACTTATACATAATAGAAGTCGGGTAAGTGTTTGGAAGAAGTCCGGAGAGGTCAGGAAAGGGCTGGATAAGGTCGGGAGAAATCTAGACAAGTCTGGATAAAGTCTGGATAAGGCTGGAAAAAGTTTAGCTAAGTCTGGAAAAGTTTGGATAAGTTTGGATAAAGTCTGGAAAAGCCAGAAAATTTCTGGAAACGTCTGGAAAAGGCTCTATTAGGTCTGGAGAAATCTAGACAAGTCTGGATAAAGTCTGGAAAAATCTACCCAAGTCTGGATAAAGTCTGGAAAAGCCTGGAAATTTCTGGAAACGTCGGAAAAAGGCTGGATAAGGTCTGGAGAAATTCAGACAAGTCTGGATAAGTTCTGGAAAAGTGTATTTGAAGTCGGGAAAGTGTTTGGGAGAAGTCCGGAGAGGTCAAAGGGCTGGATAAGGTCTGGAGAAATCTAGATAAGTCTGGATAAAGTCTGGATAAAGTCTTGCTAAGTCTGGAAAAGTCTGGATAAGTTTGGATAAAGTCTGGGAAAGAGCCAGAAAATTTCTAGAAACGTCTGGAAAAGGCTCTATTAGGTCTGAAGAAATCTAGACAAGTCTGGATAAAGTCTGGAAAAATCTAGCTAAGCCTAGAAAAATCTGGATACAGTCTGGAAAAGCCTGGAAATTTCTGGAAACGTCTGGAAAAGGCTTAATAAGGTCTAGAGACACTCAGACAAGTTTGGATAAAGTCTGGAAAAGAGCCAGAAAATTTCTGGAAACGTCTGGAAAAGGCTCTATTAGGTCTGGAGAAATCTAGACAAGTCTGGATAAAGTCTGGAAAAATCTAGCCAAGTCTAGAAAAGTCTGGATAAAGTCTGGAAAAGCCTGGAAATTTCTGGTATCGTCTGGAAAAGGCTTGATAAGGTCTGGAGAAATTCAGACAAGTCTGGATAAAGTCTGGAAAAGTGTATTTGAAGTCGGGAAAGTGTTTGGGAGAAGTCCGGAGAGGTCAGAAAAGGGCTGGATAAGGTCTGGAGAAATCTAGACAAGTCTGGATAAAGTCTAGCTAAATCTGGAAAAGTCTGGATAAGTTTGGATACAGTCTGGAAAAGCCAGAAAATTTCTGGAAACGTCTGGAAAAGGCTCTATTAGGTCTGGAGAAATCTAGACAAGTCTGGATAAAGTCTGGAAAAATCCAGCCAAGTCTAGAAAAGTCTGGATAAAGTCTGGGAAAGTCTGGAAATGTCTGGAAACCTCTGGAAAAGGCTTGATAAGGTCTGGAGAAATTTTGACAAGTCTGCATAAAGTCTAGCTAAGTCTGGAAAAATCTGGATAAAGTCTGGAAATTTCTGGAAACGTCTGGAAAACGCATGGAAATTTCTGGATTGGGTCGGAAAAATTCTGGAAAATCTGGAAAGGGTTGAATTTTAGCGGATCTCAAAGCTCACAATAATCACAAGCATTAGCGTTGAAGTTTGCTTCGGCATTTTCAATGTTCTCCTCGGTTGCATCTTTGTCAAGGACTGTGAATTTGTTACTTATGTGACAATTCTCTGACAATATGCCTATTAGCTGTGCTATTAGATATTGCTCTGTAGATGGTTGTTTTTCAAAGCAAGGAAGTGGTTTAATATTTTTTCTAGGTCCAATAGAAGAATCTAGGTATGTATAGGGTTTTCCAATAGTAACGCTCGATGTTTGACAATAGCCCATGAAAAACTCGATAGTCACACAGGTGCTATCTTTGGCAGCCGTATTCAATTAGTCTCTGCATTTTATTATGGAGCGCTACACGATTGAGCAACGCGTCGGAATTGTTAAAAATTATTATCATTATCAAAACCAATGTTCTATTCGGAAAACGTTTCGTGCACTCCGTGCAATTTATGATGTCAACGATCGTCCTTCAGAATCCACAATTGGCCGACCTAACGTCACTGGATTTTTTTCTCTGGGCATTCTAAAATCCAAAGTCTATGTTGACAAATCTCGAACGGTTGCCGCCTTAAAGGCCAATATTAAGCACTTATTGCTGAAATTGAGCCATTTTTATGCGATAACGAACACTAAATGATTCTAACGACAATCTAAAATTGTCGGAGAAATGTATTGATAATTCGGATATTGTTGAAAACATCTATGAGAAGTAAAGTCCGTCGATTTTAATCTAATACTCGAAAGGAATGTGAGCTGGTGGCACCCTACATTTGAACGCCAATGGTCACCTAAGGTCACCCCTGGTTTTCGCTTCACCCCCTCGCTCCTCATACGAAAAGTCGACGAACAATACTAAAAGAAGGAAGATTCAGGGACTTGACCAAATCTGCAATACTTTCTGCAAGAAATGTTGATGTCGAAGAAATAAACGAATAAGTTGTCGAACTGTTGGACGTCAAGACCGAAAAACTCTACACCAGTATAGATAGTGTCAAGAACTGTGATAATAGTGATCTAAATGATACTATTCTTCCAAAATATTTAAATTCGCTTAATCCGCCGAATTCCCGCTCCATGATTTACGATTGAAAACGAATTCTATTGTATGCTTATTAGAAATCTAAGCATCAGTGCAGGCCTTTGCAATGGCACAAGGCCTTTAGTTCTGGAACTTGGGGATAATCTGTTACGCTGTGAGATATTGACTGTAGATAAACAGGGAGAAATAGTGTTCATAAATCGAATAACACTCTACTGCGAAAACGTCTACCCCTTTACGTTCAAACAAAGACAATTTTAAAATAAAATTAGCCTTTGCAATGAGTTACGATTAACAAATCTCAAGGACAAACATTTGATAGGATAGTAATTGATCTCCAGAAAGGATGTATTAGTCACGGACAACTTTATGTGGCGCTTTTCAGAGTTCGTTCGTGGGACTCATTCAAACTTTATTCAGGGAAACAAAGAGGCAATAGTGTTGTCAAAAACCATGTTTTTGAAGAATTGTTTTTTTGATAATTTAATTTTGAAATTTCGCAGTCATAGGTGATTTCAGAAGATCTTTACAACTTATTTACAAGATATTTGAAGATCACAAGACAAAAACCTGAACAGGATAAACATAAATGATTGAAAATAACGAAGAACGACATGAAGACTTAGCACTCTTTAAACTTTGGATTCTTACGAGTTCCATAAAATAGAATAAGTTCCACTGGACATATGCACACCGTATATTCAAAAAATAAGATTGATTTAAAGTCATTACGATGTACCGCAAAAGTAATAATTCACCAACTACTTTGATCACATTTAAAATTTATGTCTACCACGTAGGTACAAACAAAAAATGTAAGTTGAATAATTGAGCAATTGAATTTAAAATCTTTTAAAAAATTTTTTTTTTCGATTGTTTGCAGTAAAATGTTGATCGAGTAGACTTCAATAACTGGCCTAATAAAAAAAAAGGAACTTCATGAAAATGTAAAAAAAAAATTAAGACTCGATATCTCGTATTATACCACAGCACATAAATAGTTACTAACTCGGTTTATAATAACACCTTGATTATGGTTATGATTATTCTGTTTTAAATAAACCACTTCGAATAATGTATACCTACACCTACGAGTTCCATAAAACAGAATGAGATAAGTAGACATACGCACACCGTACATTCAAGAAATGTGATCGATTTAAAATCATTATGATATACCATACAAAAATAATTAGTCACCAACTCCATCCATCGCATTTGAAATTTCTTCACTAGAATAACATCTATACAACTTATCTCACTGTTACATTTAATGTATAATGTACATTTAAATCAAAAATTATGCTGTTTTTTGTACAACACCTACCTAATAAATATTTTCCATTTTATAATTATTTTGATGGACTTGATTTAAAAAAAAAGCGCGCGAAGCGCGCTCATGACCTAGTACTAATAGAAACAATCTAAAATTCAAAAGCAAGTCTGTTATTTTTATATAAACATTGTTCATGTTCAAAATACTCGATTATAGTGGCTAAAAAATCTTTATCATAATGATGTTCATTATGAAACAGATTTTAGGTGTATTATTAAACGTCAGTAGAAAAAAATTATTTTAGGTTCATTCCTTTTTAAACATTTATTGATTCGTTTATACAAAAGTATAATTCCAATATTATTTAAGGCATTATTTTTTTGCACTATAAAGATTTTTTACTTAGAATAATCATTAAGCAAATATACATACATATTTTGCACATAACATGATAATTGTTAGTTACTCTGTAAACATTTGCAAACATTTTTTTTTAAATATTAATAATAATATTATTAAAAACTGGTAGATACCTACTATATTTTTGAAAAAAAAAAAACAAAATATATGCCTTAGAGCAAAATTCTTTTAACAATTATTAATATAAGAGTATTCAAAATCCTAAACTATGTAAATTATGTTAATTAAAAAAAATCAGTCAACTTCGAGTTAGTCATATATAGGAATATTTACACTTATTTATTTACAAAAGGGATACTTAAATCTAATATTATGCACATTAAAAGGGTACAATACAATTTGACATTATAGATAGTTTATAAATTTCAGACAAAAGTACAATAATAAAAATAAATTAAAAAAAAAAGAATGATATAGGTAGATACTGTTTTGCTATTTAGAGAAAAAATCCCATCAACAAAAATATTGTACTTATCAAATTCCATTAGGGCCACTTCAGACTAAGCAATTTTGTTTCTGCTAGTGAAAAATATTGCTAATCGCCCTTGTTCGTAGCAGACCTTAGTAGTTTAATACTAACATTAGATATAACGGTACAAAAAATACATTTTCTTATTGCAAAAGCCATAAAAACACTATAAAATTTCAAATTCCATAATATTAAAATTTGCCTCCTATAGGTAAAACTTACGTCAATTAATTGTGCTATGTATTCAGCCTTAATTGACTCTTATGAGCTTTTGTGCGCTTTAAAATACTGAAGATTTAATAAAAAATCACAGAACAAGAATTAACTATAAGACAGGAGGGAATAATTCGTGCAAAAGCTGTAGCTGCTCAAAAACAAATAAGTTAGGGTACACATAATTAAAACTAAACTAATTCGCATGAAATTAATGGCAATTATTCATTGGTAAAAAGAATTAAAAATTAATACATTGAGCCATGATTAAAAACAGTTCACAAATAATCTTGGATTGCAATGAAAGGGGGCCCCTAGATTGTCATTCATATGGTTCGATTTTTCGTCCAGTACAGTTGCTACTAAAATTACTTTTTTAAAAGTGAATATTGTCAATCCTTTGACGATAAAATTTATTGCAATTCCAAGGGCCCCTTAGTTGGCCAGTGTGAAAACAACAAGTGCAAAACATTATTATTTTCTGAATCTGGACAGTAAAATATTTCCAGAATAAACATTTGAATTTCACTTTCAAACTGGCTCAAGATGCGTTACAATTATAAATAGTCCAGTCAAATTTTTTAAACGTAAGCTTCCACGCGTCTCCTTTTCAAGCTGTTGAAAAATACGCGCCAACTGTGTACAGTTTTACCAAAACCTGACCAAATCCACACGCTCGATGTGATTCCAACAATCATCGTCATAAGATATTTGAGCATGAATGCTTCAAAGTATGGATAGGATTTGATTTGTTTGCTACCTGGAAGAAAAAATGGGATATTTGACAAAAAATAAAAAATGAAGGAACATTAGACTAAGTTGCTATAAGACCATCCTTGCAAGGTTTTTAGAATCAATAATTCTTTAGAAGTTGCTTCAGACCTTTTTGCTTCAAGTAAGTTCTTTATAGTGACTTCAGATGCTTCTGAAGCTTTAAAACCAACTCTGAGTAATTTGGAGGTAGTTTTTGATCAAAAAGAACATGCAAGAGTGAATTTGGATTATTTATAGTTGCTTCAGATACTTTTAAAGCTACCCTGAACACTTTCCAGCAAGGTTTTTGAAATTTTGAGACTTGTAGATTTGTAATTTTAGATTCCAAACTTTACGAGGTGGCTTTTGAATGATTTGAAAAATCCCGAATTTTTGAAAGAAACCTCAGATGCTTCGAAAATAATTTTCAATGTCTGAAGTTCGTTTTTGATCAAAAAGAGCATGTGAGAGTGTCTTTGAAGTATTCTGAGGAGTATTCATAAGTTACTCCAGATACTTTTAAAACCAATCTGAACACCTTCCAGCCAGCCATGATTTTGAAATGTTTAGACTTATAGATCTGTAACTTTAAATACCAAACTCTATGAGGTGGCATTTGAACAATTTGAAAAGTTGAGAATGTTTGAGCGAGAGTGACTTCGGATGCTTTAAAAGCAATCTTGAATGCTTGAAGTTAATTTTTTGCTCAAAGAGAACATATGTGAGAGTGACTTTGAAGTATTCATAAGTTGCTTCGGATACTTTTAAAGCTACTCTGGACACTTTTTTGCAAGGTTTTTGAAATTTTGAGACTTGTAGATCTGTAATTTTAGATACCAAACTCTATAAGGTTGCATTTTATCGATTTGAAAAGTTCAGAATATTCAAGAGTGACTGCAGATGCTTTAAAAGCAATTTTTAATGCTTGAACTTAAGTTTTTTTTAAAGAGAACAGGTGAAAGTGACTTTAGAGTATTTATAAGTTGCAATATTGAGACTTGTAGTTCTGTAGATTCCAAACTCTATGAAGTGGCATTGGAACGATTTTAAAAGTTCAGAATGTTTCAGGGTGACTTCCGATACTTTAAAACCAATTTTGAATAATTGAAGTTAATTTTTGCTCAAAGAGGACAGGTGAAAGTGACTGAAGAATTCATAAGTTGCTTCAAATACTTTTAAAGTCACTCTGAGCAAGAATTTTGAAATTTTGAGACTTGTAGATCTGTAATTTTAGATTCCAAACTTTATGAGGTGGCTTTTGAACGATTTGAAAAATTCGGAATTTTCAAAAGTAACCTCAGCTGCTTTAAAAGCAATTTTGAATGCTTGAAGTTAATTTTTGCTCAAAGAGAACTGGTGAGAGTGACTTTAGAGTATTTATAAGTTGCAATATTGAGACTTGTAGTTCTGTAGATTCCAAACTCTATGAGGTGGCATTTGAATTTGAGAAGTTCAGAATGTTTAAAAGTGACTCCAGATCTCGCCTTCAGATACTTGAATGATTCAAGTTAAGTACCTAGTTTTTGAATAATTTGAAAAAAGTAGAAATAGAAACTGCGAGAGAAACTTTAAATTCTTTGTCACAATTTACAAGCCAATCTCAACACTTTCAAGACTCTCAAAAGTGTAGGACCTGTAAGAGCGACTTTGGATTTTTCAAAAGTCGTATCAGACTTTAACAAATCTGAGGCATCTCCCAAAATAAACTTGAAATACCCTCAAAGCTAGAGTTGTAAAATTCTCGGTAATTTTCGAACGTTACCGAACTTTCGGGAATGTTTGAGAATTTTCGAGAATTTATGAGTACTTTGGACAATGTTGCAAAAGCACCTAGCTTTTAACGTAGGGCTTGTAAAAATGTCTATTAATAATAAAGTTCCACTAAATTTTCCTATTTTTCTTTTCGTAGGGGTAGGGGTAGGTGAATTTTCCATAAATGTAGGTATAACCCTTGTCTAAGTATTATTAATTTATTGTAAAGAAAATGATAATATTTATAAAACTAATACAAGTCTTGTTTCTTGTAAGTTGGTGTAAAAAAAAACAACGTAGATGTAGGTGGCAGTGGTAGCACCAAAAAATAAAACTGAAAGCAAATACCTACATAACATAACTACATAAAGTGTTAAGTCAAAACAAAAAATAATATAAAAAATAAATAAAAAAATAAAAATAGGAACTCTAAAAAAAGGAACTTTAAAAATTAACTTTCTGTAGGTAATGGTAATAACACAAGTAGTTATAAAATAAAAAATAAATAAAATTCAGAAATCAGGGTCCATGTCCATGATTAAACGATTAGGTAACGTTTAGAAATGCATTTTCAGCGAACTTTCGCTTAGAGAGGAGCGAACATTACCGTAAATTACTGTAATAATGCGAACGTTCGCTCGGTAAAGTTCGCTTGTTACAACACTACTCAAAGCATTCAAAATACAATTTCAACTGCAAACAAATCAAATGAATTTGAAGCAAATTTTTAAAAACCTTCCAGGAAAGAGCAAATTTGGGAGAAAACTTACCTGATATAGGACAAGGCACAGAATATTTAGTATTATGGCAAATATCAGACCACCAGGTTTTCATCCAGTCATCATAATAAGAATTTTCATAAAACAGACATCCAATCACTGCAAAAAAAAAATTAGTTAAGTACCTACCTATCCATTTCAACTTATTACTCACCAATTAGTGCAGGTAAGGTATAAAGAACAGAAAATATTCCAATTCTGATCATGAGCTTTTCCAGTTTTTCAGTTTTGGTTCCTTCATGCTTCATCACAGTACGTATTTTGAACAATGAAACAAATCCGCTGGTGAGGAAAATCGTCCCAAAAATCAAATACACAACCAGAGGAAAAAGGACAAAGTATCTCATTGACTCTACATTCCAAATACCAACGTAACAAACTCCACTAAGAACATCACCTGGAAGAAGCAAACCAAAAATTAATAATAAGTACAAGCAAAAAAAAAGGGAAAGTTTACCTTCTACTTTTCCAAATGTCAATATAATAATGGTTTTAATAGCGGGAATAGCCCAAGCAGCCAAATGAAAATACTGAGAGTTGGCCTCAATTGCTTCATGTCCCCATTTCAAACCAGCAGCCAGGAACCACGTCAGAGTTAAAACAACCCACCAAATGCTTGAAGCCATACTGAAGAAGTACAAAATCATAAATATAATTGTGCAAGGTTCGTACTTGGTTCCTTGGGTGATGGTGCTCACTGTAACATTACCGTGTTTGGATGGAAAAGGTTTTTGACAGGCTATCGAGTCTCCTACTGAAAATCCTATTAAATAGGCACAGGCTACCATAAAGTAACAAACTGATAGGAAAATAATTGGGCGTTCAGGATACCTGAACCTGTCAGTATCGATTAGAAATGTACAAACTGTGAAGAGGCAGCTGAATAAGCATAAAATAGCCCAAATTCCTACCCACACCTTGGAAAATTGTCGTTTGGTTTCATTGAAGAACATCATTTGACATGGGGCGCCACAATTCTTTTCTACTTTATCACCCACTTTGAAATGATACTCCAACCTGGGAGGAACTTTAAATTGTTCTGGACAAACAAATCCAAAATTTTTGCTCCTAGGAGGATAATCAAACTGATTGATATGAGGATTTTTGCTTACCACACTAGTTGTTTGTGTGTTTGGAGGCACAGACAACTTATTTTGACCTACGCAAAGCTCCTCAGCTACAGTATTATCAGGATAACTGTCGCAATTCAAAGATTCTGGCCAGTGGAACCCAAACTTTTCCATAATACCTTCACACCCTTCTTTGGCTGATAAACACAGAGACCTGCACGGGGGCAACGGATGATCCAAAATCGTACAAACAGGAGCAAACACCGAACACAAAAAGAATTGCAAATCAGGACTGCAATTGATTTTGACCAGAGGGAAGTACTGGTGCACCTCTAAGCCCGCTTCCTCCTGGGTATTGTGACCCAGCAAATTCGGCATTATCGTTTTGTTATAAGCAATTCCGCTGCAAAATGGTATCGTGATCGATTGGCATCTATCGTGAGACGGTATAACGTCTTCTGCATCGCTAATTCGGGTGGTTCCATAATGTACACAGGCACAATGATTGACAAACAGTACCAGGATGAAAACGAAGGCTACCATTTTTGGAGATATTTTCTAATGTGGATCATGGATCGGTTTTGGGCTGCTTCAGTTGTTTATCAAATAACTAAAAGTTCAACTAAAATTAAACACATTTTTCTTTGAGATTTTTGGCTTATAAACTATAAACAAGGGTATTAATAAAGTGACATTTGATTTGTCAATTTGACAATCATATCGACAATGAAGAAACACGGGAAGGGATTATCGATACGATTCATCGATACGTCCTCGAAGGGACTAGGTATCGGTATCACTAGTACAGTGGTATCACCACCACGGCCATGGTATTAGTGTGACTGTAGCCATGGGTCACTGATTGTAATTCTATCTCTCTCTCTCAACCTGTTAAAGAAACAGATAGAAATACATTCCCTTCCGCATTTACACACAAAAAAAGAAGATAAAAGCGTCTCCGACTGACCCTAACCTTAATTTGTTTTTATTTTCTTTGTTTAGTTTTTGCTGGTTCGATTTCTATAGAATTTCTGCGGTACTTCCCCGAAAAGAACCAGTATTTTTTTTAAATATGGGTCTCGGCCAATCCAGTGACTACATTTCAGAGGGGGAGATATCCGACGACGACTTGGACGACCGATATTTTGCCTCTAATCGTAATCCTCCCAATAGGAATATCCCAGACCAAATTGGTAAGTGTCTAGTTATAAAAATTAGAATTTACGACTTTTCTTGGCTCTAATAATTAGAACCCAAACAATGTTAGTTCCTAAATAAGGGTAATTTCAAAGTTATTTATTAATTTGTTTCTGTTTCTTCATTATTTGTATATTCTGCTAGATTCATCATGTATTTGAATTTGAAATGTGTGTAATGCTAGCTCCTTGGTTATAAATATAAAGCCGCGAACGTAGCCGAAATGTAGGAGGCTCATTCCTCTTGCCTCCTTGGGTATCACAAGTTTATTGCTTTAGGCTTCAGGCAGGATTAAGCGGGATTTATACATTCCGTAACCGTAACGTGGTGACCTCCTGAGATGGTTTCAATCATAGGGATGTAAGCCAAAATTCTGACAATGTCATGTCACAGTCAAAATGAAAATGACGGTCATATGATTTATTTTTATGACACTCTTGTCATTTATTTTTTTATTGATCAAAGGACCACGCACGGATCTTATGAGAAAAAATAAATTTCATGATTGTCATGAAATTGAAATATGTTATGCTTCTCGACATCCTGAACGTAAGTTCTCGTAGGCCCAAAAAGATCCTATGATTAGTTTCAGAGATACAGGACCGATAAAAAAAAGTAGTACAAGAAAAATCTCCAGAATCTGCTGGTACATTAATTTAATTCATAACCAAGAATGACATATTTTTGGCATTTTTCGACAAGTTTTCAACCTTCAAAGCTTCAGATGACATTACTTTGACATTTTTCCACCCGTTTTTAACCTAGAATATGTCATTGCCTGAACTCAACATATTTTTTTTTTTTTTATTTTTTTTTTTTATTTATTTATTCCAGTAAATTTTACAATGTTTTACATTTCAAAACCTATAGAGGTAATCAAAGTTACCTATACATAGGACTGGATACACTTAACCTAACTTAGGAACTATAGACACATATAATGTGCCAAAATAATGCATACAAAAATGCTATCCATACAGGGGAGTATTATTTAATAAAAATCAATAAAATAATCAGCTAGTAGTTACTAGTTACTGGTTGTTAATAAGTGACTTACTACAATAACAATACACTTGCAACATTATACCTTACCCACTTTTTTATTTTTTTTTTGACTGTTTCATTATTGTACTTCAAAGTTTTGTATTTATTGGGAAGTTTATTGAAAGTCTTGATTGCAGTTAAGTAGCTACTTTTAGTGAATAAAGTTCGATTTATTTTTGGTAAGTTGATAGATTTGTTTCTTGTTATGCTTTCAGATTGCATATAGTTCCTTTTTAGATCCTCGTAATGAAATGAAAGCGACTCAAAAATAAAGGACTGTTCTAATTTCAGTGGAACAGGGAGATTCATATCACCCTTAAGGACTATTTTCAGTAATCTCTTTTGAAGAGATTCCAAGGTACATTTGACGTTGTTATATGCGCCTCCCCAGGCTATGATTCCATAGTTACATATACTATGAAAGAAAGCATAATAGACACTCAGCAGCGATCTTGGATGCATTAGCTTAGCTAACTTTGTGAATATAAATAATAAATATTTAGTCCTCCTGACAACATATTCAATGTGAATATCCCATCTTACTCTATAATCAATATAAATACCTAAGTACTTACAACTCTCTACTCTTTTTATTTGGTGATTGTTTATTTTTATGTCCAATTGATTAGGGACACTATCACAATATACTCCAAAAGCTATATACACTGTTTTTAATATATTTAGAGATAACTGATTTAGTGCCAGCCACTTATCAACACGCTTAAGGGAATTGTTCATTCTTTCTTGCACTTTCTTCCATGAATTCTCAGCACATAATATCACAGTATCATCAGCATAGGATACCATAGTTTCTGACGGCAGTTGAAGCAGCAAATCATTGATATACAATACAAACAACAATGGCCCAAGGATTGTGCCTTGGGGAACTCCGTGCGTTGAAATGTTTATTTTTTGTCAAAATTGTATGTTATCCCGGCCCTGTATCTCCGAAACTAATCATAGGATCTTCTTGGGCCTACAAGAACTTACATTCAGGAGGTGGAGAAGCATAACATATTTCAATTTCATTTCATTTCATTTCATTTCATTTCATTTTCATTTTATTTCCAGAAGAAACATCCTCTAGAAATGCGTTTATTCCATTTTCTTAAATATTACAAAAAAAAAAAATACAGAATTCACCAATCCTAAATCAATATAAAATAGTCGCAGACTTTTTTGTATATTGCACCTAGATGTAAACATCTGTATGTGCAGTGTTTCCTATTATTTTATTTATAAATGCTAATAAGTTTTCACTTTATAGAAAAAAATAAAAAACAATAAACAACAACAGTGCGTTTACTAACTAATCCCAATCCTAATCCTATAAAAATTCTCACATCCAAGGAAATAAAGGCAATTAAAGGCAATTCCCCCTCCAATAATGCTAGCCAAAAAACCCTTCAAATTGACGTCGATTTTCGAAAATCACCTTCTTGCTATGCGTTTTAAATGTTTTTATTTTACCGCAATTTCTCACTTCACCTGGCAATAAATTATAAAATTTAGGGCCAAAATAATTCACATATCTGAGATTAAGATTATTTTTGCTTATTGGAAGTTTAATATGACCATCTACTCTAGTTCTCGTTCCATAAGTATGGTTCACCAGTTGTTTCAAGTTAGAGTGAATATGAACATATGAGCAAATTGTTAAAATATAGATTGATCTAATACTCAGAATGTCCTCATTGAAAAGCAGTTGTGTAGGGTATAATCGATTTTTCTTATAAATAATCTTGAGAATATATTTCTGAATTATATTTAATTTATAGATGCTATTTTTATAGAGTCCACCCCACACCAAAATTCCATATCTTATGATTGATTCTACAAAGGCTTTATAAATTGTGATAAGAGTTTCTTTATTCAAGAATTCTCTTAATAGGTAAAATTTATGAATAAGTTTACGAATTCTGTTAGAGACATAGTCAATGTGGGGCAGCCACTTAAGAAACTTATCAATCACAATTCCAAGGTATTTTATTGAGGAGGTCTCTTCAATACAATGATCATCAACAACAATGTTATTATATTGTGGTCTATTTGCGCTAGTGAGTGAAAAAGCTATATATTGTGTTTTTGTTAGGTTTAGCGTTAATTTAAATGTTTGAAGCCAGTTTCTTATTCTTATCATACTGCTTGTAGTTTTACATTTAACACTTTCCCATGTATCTCCAGAGACCACAAGGGCAGTGTCATCTGCATAAGAAATAGGGATTCCATCAACTTGTAATTTTAATAAAGAATTAATATATGTTATAAAAAGCACCGGCCCCAAGACTGTTCCCTGTGGAACTCCAATCTTTATAGTTTGCCCTTCACTCAAAACATCATTCACTTTAACGATTTGAGATCGTTCCGACAAATAACTTTCAAGCAAGCCCAGAGCTTTTCCCCTTATTCCACAATTTTTGAGCACTTCAAGAAGTCCATTGTGAGGTACAGTGTCAAACGCCTTTGCCAAGTCAAGAAATACAGCTAAACATTTTTTATTTGAATTCAAGTTATTAACCACTTCTGTTATCAATTTGTGCATGGCGTCTATGGCACTGCACCCCTCAAGAAATCCAAACTGGTTTGGAGATAAGATTTTATTTGATTGTAAAAAGTTAACCAATCCGACCTCCGACCTTTACACATTTCTCAAAAAGCTTTCCAAAGTTACTAATAAGGCTAACGGGTCGAGAGTTAATTATGTTAGTCTTAGAGCCTGATTTGTGAATAGGTGTTATAATTGAAGTTTTAAATGCAAGGGGTATTATTCCAGTTTCCAAGATAAGGTTAAATATATATAAGAGGGGGTCAATAATTTCTAAATGAGTGTGTTTTATAATGTCAGCCTTTAGCCCATCATACCCCGGAGCACTGCCATTCTTCAAAGTTGATATATGGTTAATTAATTCATTTTTGGTTATAGGGTTTAAAAAAATGGAGTAATTTGTATTTTTCCTGAGGTGTTGGAATGGACCTCTCCATTTCCACCCCCACATTAATGTAATAATCATTACAAAAATTTGATAATTCGTTTGGATTATTGAAACTTTTGTTATCCTTATTCATAATATTTAAAGAAGTTTTATTATTTGTATTGTTCTCATAAGTTGCATCTTTAATTACATTATAAAGCTTTTTCATATCATTCTTATTATTTTCAATTTGATTCCTGTAATATTCATTTTTTTGTCTATTATTTAATTTATTTAAAGTATTTCTATACTCTTTATATTCTTTTTCTAATTGATGGCTATAGTTTCTCGATAGTTTTTTTTTCATTTTATCTCTAGTTTTAATTGCAGAAATAATACCGTTGCTAATCCAACTCTTGATTTTTCTGTATTTTTTATATTTAATAGTATATTTTTCTGTGGCTTCTGATAACAATTGGGTATAATTTTCTAAAAAAATATTTGTTGCCGTTTCTGAGTTACTATTCATTACAATCGTCCAATCAAAACTTTGCAAAAGTTGCCTAAATTTAGGAATGTTCAGCTTAGTTTTCGTTTTACTTTCTAGTGGAGATATTAGATTATCATTAGATATTTTTTTCTTACTTACCAGAAGCACAATAGGGCTATGGTCTGTTATGTCTTCCTCAATAACATAAGAGTCAAAACTAATATTACCAGACGTCAATTTCGTATTAATGAATAAATGATCTAGGCATGTTTTTGATAAAAGTCTCGTAACTGAATTAATGTATGATCGAAAACCAAGTGTGTTCATCAAAGAGAGATAGTTTGCAACGTAATTATCATTTTTTTCCAAAATGTTAATATTGACATCTCCCACAAAAATTTCAATATTTGAAAAGGTCAAAGTTTCAAAATAGGTATATATATCATTCATAAAATCTGTCCTTGAGATAGGTGGAGGTTTGTATATTGCTGTTATACCAAATATTATGTTGTTTTGTTCAAAATTTATGTGACTGAGAGTCGCTCTTGAATTTTGCAATTGAGTAATAGAAAATTTAACAGCGATATGTTTCTTAGCCAAAATTATTGTGCCATCATTTTTGTTGTAACTAGCTTCATTATAGAATATCTGATAATCCGGTATGTTACAGTTTTTTATCGAGTCAATTTGAAAGGTTTCAGTGAGCACAATGATATCTTATATAGTGTAATTTATATACTTCTATAAAAGTAAGCAAGTTGTCAATATTTTTATTTAGACTTCTAATGTTAAAATGTATTAGACTAAAAAAAAAAGCATTTTTTTTATTTTTGATAAGCTCTAGACCCTTCTGTTCCACCATTTTACCTTGTAGATTATTTTCTTCCCCTAATTGTTCCAACATCTCATCCTGAGCGTTGTATACCATTTATTTATGAGTTGTAGTCGATTCTGTTTTGTAATAGTCCTAGATGGTATTTTAACGATGAACATTCTGGGTCAAGGGCTGAGTGATCCGTGCTTATCTGTAGGTTATGGTTTTCATTGGCCATCTTGCAGTTTACACACTTTTTCATTTGCCTCTCACATCCAAGTGTACTGTGATTCCCTGCACAATTTCCGCAGACCTCCATTTTGGTACAGTTGGAGCTTTTGTGACCAAAACCCTGACATTTATAACAGCGAGATACTGTCAGGTCCTCATATACTGGCAGGCGCTGCCAGTCTACGTAAACTTTTCCATAGGTTAGCATCCTTTCCAAAAGGTTCCCCGAAGTTTCGGCGTATATTGTTGAGATCGGTTTATTTTTATTATTTTTATTTTCATTTTTTATGCGTCTAACGTAAGTGACTTTAAGGTGGTCTGATGTATTAATCCATTTGTTCTGCTTGCGAATCATTTCTTCTAAATTCTCAATTGATTCATCTCCTGAATAACCCGCAATTTTTAATTTGGGTAAATTTTTTTTCGGAATCTCAACTTTGTAGTTTTTATTTAATTCCTTTTCAGCTTCTTCCCTAAATAATTTCATGTCTTGTTCTGTTTCATGACTCGTGAAATTAATTTTTTCTCATAAGATCCGTTCGTGGTCCTTTTTCTGACAGTCAAAATAATAACTGACTGTCATTAAAATATATGACTGTCATTGAAATATATGACAATGTCACAAAAATATCAGTTGACTAGTTGACTTTCTATTTTAACTGTCAATCTCACAGAATACATATCCTCACGGATAGAAGGCAAACTGCCTAATAAAATTTTGGGGAACAATGCGCCGTCACGGCGCTGTGGGATGCGATCCGAACTATTCATAATAAAGATTTCTGTAATCAAATCAGCTTTCAAAATAGTTCTCCCAATGTCAATATTTTCAATAGATTTGTTCGGACTTCAGTTCAGAATTGAACTACGCTTACTCATTTCTTTATATAGGTTTGATATGATCAAATGCGCAAGCGCAGCCCAATTTAGAACTGATTTTGAACTGAAGTCCATACAAACCTTTTCCCTCATTATTGAATATTGACGGATTTTTCTTCCGAGTAGAGCAAAAACGGCCAAACTTCTTGTGTTTTGTGTAAAATCTAATTTTTTTTTTGAATTAAGGAAATATTTATCTGGATTTAAAATGCACACCAACACCAAAACGAATTCTCATTCAGAACTATTTTGACATATTTTTTTTAAACATAAGTAACAGATAAACTGCCAAAGTAAACTCTGACATATTTTCTGGTAGCGTTCATTCTGCACCTGTAGTGCTGTTTCACTCCAGCGTCCCCAAGCAGATGCGATCCGAAGCTTTTTTTTTAGGCCCCGCCCTCCATTAAGCTTTTTTTTCTATCCGTGAGGATATGTGTTCTGTGGCCAATTTTATGGAGCAGATGGAAGCTGTACTTTCTAACTCATTAGATGACTGTGATATCGATGACTGTGAAACTAAAGCAGAACTTAGGTCAACCAATCAGATATCTGATTATTGATTTAAGTTACCTATGTTATGTTCTACATTGACAGTAAATGACCATAAATGAAAATAAATGACAAAAATGACAAAAAAATGACTGTCACTTATCACAAAAAATAAATGACCATCATTTTACATCCCTATCAATCATATATTAATATTTACATTCACTTCTAACTTCAAGTTAAATCTGACGTTTGATTTTTTATCATTTACATTGCAGAACAAAAACTTCCAGTCAAAACGTCAAAATTTTATGAGAATCATGATGGATAATCTAAAAATTTGACATTTCACAAATTTCTGCTTGCCCTTGGCAAGCAGCTCGCCCAAATTTAAGGTGCACTTCGAAGAGAACTTCAAATTTATTTCAATGTAAATGGATCTATGCTGCCGTCATATGACAAGCACATCAATTTCAAGAAAAATTGGACTTTGAAGTGAATGTAAATGCACCATTACTCAATAGATCTATGTTTGTTGCCCTGTTAGGGTTTTGTTCTGAAAGATTAACACCATCCTCAAGGGTCCCTCAGGGTTCCCATCTTGGTCCTCTCCTGTTCGTGATCTACATCAATAACATAGAGTTATGCTTTAAATACTGCCTGTTTTTGTGCTATGCTGATGACCTAAAAATATTTCTTAAGATTACCTCTATTGCAGATTGTGAGAACCTTCAGAGTAGTATACCTTAATACAGATTTGTGATAAAAATCAATTATTTTTTAACTTTGAAAAATGCTCAATTCTGTCATTTTCATTTTCATGAGGATCAACAACAATAAATTATGACTACAAATTAGGAAATACTTCTTTAAACAGAATTTCTCACATCAAAGATCTGAGGGTCCTATTTGATTCCAAAATGTCTTTCAATCTGCACACTGCCAGATTGGTTAATGATTGTAATAGGATTCTTGAACTTATCAAAAGACAGGGTGCTGATTTTCATAATTATAAAACAATTATAACTCTTTATTATTCTTATGTTGTTAGCAAACTACAATTTGCTTCTACTATATGGAGCCCCCAGATACAAGAATGCCATCGATAGACTAGAAAAAATTCAAAATAAATTTTTACGATTTTTATGTTATAAAACTCATTTTTACATTACAAATCATTACTACTCAATGGCTCGATCACATTATAAAATTCTTGAATTGGAGAAAAGACGAACCATGTCTGACATTTTAACAATATTTAAGATCATCAATAATCCATCAAGCTCGGGATCTAGGTCTCCAAGCATTCTTTCAAAAATTAAATTTAATGTACCAGTTCGAACACTTAAAAATCATGACTTGTTAATTATTTTATATATATATATATATATATATATATATATATATATATATATATATATATATATATATATATATATATATATATATATATATATATATATATATATATATATATATATATATATATATATATATATATATATATATATATATATATATATATATATATATATATATAATTATATATATATATATATATATATATATATATATATATATATATATATATATATATATATATATATATAATATATATATATATATATATATATATATATATATATATATATATATATATATATATATATATATATATATATATATATATATATATATATATATCAAAAATGTCACAGATCGCATAGGACGAACGCTAGAAAGATACAACGTTAAGCCTATCTACAAGCCCACAAGAACAATTCAGCAAAGTCTAAGATCAGCCAAGTATCCTAGGGCACCTCTTGAAACGGCTGGCGTCTATTGAATTCCCTGCTCTTGTGGATCTGTCTATGTAGGAACAACCAAACGCTCTATCAACACCAGGGTCAAAGAGCACAAAAGAAACTGTCAGCAGGGACAAATAGATAGATCAGCAATCGCCGAACACGTGCTTACACAAACAAATCATGTCATTCATTTCGACAAGACTCAAGCATTGGATAGAACCAAACATTTTTACACCAGACCCCACAGAGAAGTCATAGAGATACAGAAACACCACAATAACTTCAACAGAAAAGAAGAGGGTATGAACCTGAACAAAAGCTGGTTGCCAGTTCTCCGAAAAACAAAGATCCTTCCTTTCCGAGAACGAGACAAGGAAAACAGCCCAATACAAGCCACGCCCACAACCCTGGATATAAATAACGCAGGCCCAACAACGTCGAATTCAGTCATCGGAGAAACACGGAAGATAACACTTCGTCCTCTACCACACCGCCTCTGAAGATGTCTACCGCAGCAGTAGACGAAACGTTAGGTAGAAATACTAATGGACCACGGCATTATAGCCCGGAAAAAACTTTTTTACTAGATTTGACGGGCCGTGAAAGATTTCATTCTTCAGTTCAATATTTGACTATCACCGGCTCTTGATTGGCACCAGGAAAATTTCCCAGCGAATCAAAAGCCAGTAATAGTTCAAAATGTGATTATCTGGTTCTTAATCTATTGGATAATTTTTCAAGAGCCAATTAAGGGCGGCTGGAAATGAATATGTGGGTTAAAACCGGCTCAAAAATCGCTATAAGTAGTGGAAATTTTGATTATTAGCGGCTCTTGAGTTTCCACTGCCCTTGGAAAAATCGTCTAGCGAATCCAGAGCCGATAATAGTTAAAAATCTGAATTATCACAGGCTTTTGATTGGCTCCAGGAAAATTTTCCAGCAAATTAAGAGCTGGTAATTGTTCAAAATGTGATTATCTGGTTCTTGATCCATTAGATAATTTTTCTCTTTCATTTTTTCACTGTGAAATGTTACAACAGCGAAACTATTGGAACTGCACTGAAACCGCTTTATTTTTACATTTTTACAAAAATTGATAAAAAGAGTGAAAATTCATTAAAAATCCATTTATGTTCTTAAGATATTGGAATAAATAATCTAAAGAAATAATCAAATTCGTTATTTAAAATTATTAGAAGCAAGACCTAATTTGGGCACAATGAACGAGGCATCTAACAGTATTGATGCTGTAAGAAGATCAACCTCAACCCACCATCAAAACAATCAAATATCATTGGCTGATCTCACTTTTGTTGAAAAGCAGCTTGACGAGTATGAACTGGTAAGTTTCTTAATGTCAAAACACACAAAACCCAAAAATCTTTCATAGGTTTCTCTGTTATATCTGCTTTATGATAACAATGAATCAGCGTTGCAAGCTATAGAAGAAATGCTGAGTCCCAGACAAATTGGTTTTAATTCCCTTGCTAAATGGGTAGAGCGTGAAGGTATCAAAGACCAAAAGTGGCCAAAAAAACTTGAAGAAGCTTTGTGCATTATCCAAAATTATCAAGTTCTAAAAAATTTTGGTACTTTATATAAGTTATTATTTTTATAAATCACTGTAAGCTTTTTTTCTTATAGGACACAATAAGAATGACCTGCAATGTACCTATTTGCCTTCGCAAATAGAAACTTCTTATTTAGTCAACAAATTGAGAAAAACTCTCTATTTAACCGCTGAAAAACTTACCTCAACTCAGACTGCTAAATTTATTAATGGCATGAAAACTGAAAGCAACTTTGTACCAAATTATAATGAAAATTATTTGGAATTGTATTTTTTGTATTGGGAAAAAGAAAATGTTAATTTTAAGAACATCAAAAGTGTTTTTAAAACAATGGATTTGGAATTGATTTCTGAACAGCTAAGTGCTGTTTTACCAGAAGAGCCACCAAATATTGTAAGCACTAATATTTATTTATTTTTTTGAATTAATTATAACTATATTTATTAGGACTTTGCTGATCAATTGGAAAATATTGATCTTAAACCATCTGATGATAGGAAAGGGACTAGAAAAGATAATACAGTTTTCCCTACAGGATCTTTTGAAGGCGACTCCTTACATGCTGTAACACAAAACAGCAATGAGAAACTATTACAGGCAGATCGTTATTTTATTGATTCTAAAAATCCTGGCATTGTATTGATTATTAATCAAGAGTACTTTTATACTGAACCATTGAAAGAATTTGAAGTAAGTTTTTTTTTTAAATATTAACTAGTTGATTTATGCAATTTAATTAATTTGCAGCATTTGTTGCATGAATCAAAAGACTCCAATAAACTTCCAAATCGAACCGGCTCTACTATGGACAAAAACGAACTTGAGAAAGTATTTTCAGCCATGAATTTCAAAGTTATAGTAGAAGATAACTTGACCCACAAACTTATGCTCGATTGCATCGAAAAATACACCAACTTAGCCTCCAAAACTAGCAGTTTAATAATTTGTATTTTATCACACGGGGCTAATGGCGTAGTATTTGCTGCAAACAGTTGTAAAGTTGAAGTGAGTGAGATTCAAAAAATAATGCGTCACAAAAATTTAATTGGAAAACCAAAAGTGCTGATTTTACAATCCTGCCAAGGCGACGAGTGTCAGAAAATTGAAGAAGACGATAACACAACCGATGGAGCAACTAGAGTACCAGGCACAGCCGATTCGCTCTGTTTTTGGGCCACTATTCCCGGTTTTGCTGCTATTAGAAATATGAAACAGGGATCTTGGTTTATACAGGCTTTGTGTGAGGAAATTAAGAGAAGCCAATACGGTTCCAGCAGGTGTCATTTTTCCGATATTTGTACTAAAGTTATGAACCAAGTTACTCAGAAAAAATGGAAAAGTAATGTTATGACTCCCATGTTGGTGTCAACCTTGACAAAAGCATTTTATTTACCACTACCGACCAAATAACTTTGTTGTGAGCCACAAAGTGATAATTTGTTATATGTAGGTTTAAGACATGACAATAAAGAAAGCAATTTATGTTTAAGTTTTTATAAAATATATTATGTATTACTATTTTTAGAAAAATGCTTGTTTTGTTCAATAATAAAAGTATACGTTGTTATATTGTACTTAAAATTTTTGAAAATCAAATAAATTTAAATAATTACCATTGTTTTGTTTACTATTAATATATTTAAATAACAAAAAGTGAAAATTCAAATCCACTTCAAATCTGAAACGAGTGCAACATGATCAGATGGAAATACAACACTGGGAATGGCACTGTTTTCTATCAGTTCCTCTTCACTTGGAAGTGGAATAACTTGAGACACAGCTAAATTCGTTTCTTCATAAAAAATGTAGTCCAAGCAAGCGGCAAATATGACTGTAAAATTGGTGTATTTTGGTGTGCCGCAGGCACTTTGAAGCTTAAAAGATTGCTTCATATTGATATTATTGATTGATTCTTCTTGATCTGAAAACAATAAACATTGTTTTCCTCCTCAGATTGATTATACAAATTCTTACTGCTGCTGTAGTCTGGAAAGTTGCCTGGCAAAAACCCAGTGGTATATAATTTATAGATACCACAAGTGGGTACACTATTGAAGTCTCCACAAAATATTAAAGAAACTCTTTTATCACAATACTAAAAATTAAACAAAAAAAATTATCTTATGAGTAGCTTGATTATAGAAAAACTTAACTCTTTTTTTAGTTTCCTTAACAAAATTTTCCAGATATCTTATAGCCAAACACCCGTGCAAGAGTCTTATATGATCAGCATCAGGATGGAAATACAAATGAGTATTAGCCACTACAAGAACCTCATTATTTTCTAAAGACCCCACCACATTCACTTGCATAGTGGTTGTCCTATCTGAAATTCTACTAGCCAGCTTCTCATTTCTTTTGATTTTCCCCCAAATATCCTCGAACAAAGGATTTGTCTTTATTTGATCAGCAAAAAATATTTCTTCGTGCCCTAGTAATATAAATCTGCTAGTGTTATAGAAAAATGCCAAGCCTTCAGCTACAGCACCATTTCCTTTGAGGTCAAAATTACTTTCATAGCCCAAATGAGATAGTGTTGGTTTTAAATCATATTTGAAAACTTTCCTGTCCACCTCTTGTAAGCAAACAATATCTGCATTATAACCTGGAATTAAATATTATAATAATTATTCAATAATGCATTTATTTAAAAGACAACCAATAATTTCCTTGAGAAATAATTGTTTCCTGTAATCTATGCTTAACGCATAAGGTGGACAATATGGAAACAATTCTTTTCTAGAATAATCAGAATCACAGTATAAATCTGCTAATATATTGTAAGAGACTACACGAAATCTACAAAAGAAAGTTTTAGAAATTGATAACCACTTGTAGTAGTTCCTCACTCATTTCCTTTTAGTTTATTTTTGGTAAAAGCATGTCTTCGTTCAAAAGGACATTCCCCAGGACTTGCTTGAACCACACAAGAGGAAATAGCTTCAAATTCAGGACCAGCCATAGAGTCATCATTTCTCGGTACACAAACGAATTTCAAATAACAATTAATATCAGTATTTTGAGGCTGATAAATGAAACCTTTACCAGCCTTTTGCCATTCGATTTTGTCTTGAGATTTGTACCATAAAAAGTCACTGTTGTCAGTGTTGGTGAACACCGATTCAAATTTTGCAGGGTAAATTGGAAAATTGGCTAAAATAGAGTTGGGCAGCGTCAATGTGAGAACCCAAGGGGAATTAATTATTACGTCGAATGCCTGTTCATTGATTGATAGTTGAACTGGGTTGTCAGAGTAAAATACCTCTTGGCACGACTGGTCTTTTGGAATTTCTATTTTGTTTGATAAAAGCGTTATCGACAAGGGTTTATCGTCTGTGGATGTCGATTTTCTCTTTTTCTTTTTGTTCACAGCCTTATCTACGTTTGCTTTCACTCTGGTTAAAAAACTATCCACACTTTCCGATAACTTTCGTGTAAGGTTGAATTTCCTTTTTATTCCTTCGCCGTGCAATTCAAAGGTAATATCGAAATGTTCTCCGTCAGGATTGTGTCTTAAATAAGCCTTATCCATTTTATAAACGGGCCGGTGTAATAGTCTGCTGGAAAAATTAAATTTGGGATAAAATGTTTTGAAAAAGTTGAATTTTAAAAACATTCTAGAAATGTAAGGTTCAGTTGTATTTCTTCTTCTAGTTCTTCTTTTTTTTCTTCTTCCTGTTTACCAATGGCCAAGATTAAGTGCTTGGAACAGTTGGAGTGCTGAGAACAGTTTGAGTGCTCAGAGAAGATAAAATGCTCGAAAACTTTGTGCGAAATTAGATAAGATTATTTTTATTTTACTCTGAACGATTTTGGAACAGAAAACGATAATTTGGAACTGATCAGAACCGTTTCTAGTTGAACCGCGAACGAGGAACTGTATCTAAAAATACAGAATTATTTCTTCCACGAACGCCATGAAGTGTACTGCGCCTGCAAAATAGTACCGAATGAAGCTTTTCCTTTATTCGTGAACACACATTTCGAACCAATTCGGAACTAAACAAAAGGTGGGTTCGGCTTGCTCACTCCGTGCACTCCGAGTGACTCCATTCGCACTGCAGCCGTTTGGGTATTGCTTTTTACCGTATTAGGGGTGACTTCATTAGCTCTGTTCACTCCATTCCAACTCCGCGCTGAATAGCCGAACCCAGCTAAAGTTAGAGTTTTTGGAACAGTTGGAGTTATCGAAACAGTTTAAATGTTCGGAGCAGGATGAAGTGCTCGGAACAGATAGAGTTTTTGGAATAGATACAGTATTCGTAATCGTGATTACTTGAAACCAGAAACCCGGACCGAAATGAAATATCGGTTCCGGTCCACTGCATCATGACAAATATCGGTTCCGTTACGGTTTCGGTTCTAAGAGAAATATTTCGATTCGGTTCGGACCAATCGCGGTTTTAACGGTTCATACCGATATAGTTTTTCACAAATATCTAATGGCCATTTGCACTGACCATTTCAAGAATCATCCCTTAAAACGGTCGGTGTAAACGACATAACAGAAAAATGTATGTTTGTGTAATTTGCGGTTTATTTTTTTTTTATTTTTCTGCCTATCTGCAACAACTTTAATAATCATTAACTATTAATAATAATAAATTTTTGTGTTTTCGATCAGTGAGGACGTAGACAGAGTGTCGTTTCTCGCCTTGACGTAGTAGTGCTTGCACCACGGATTAGAGGTGCTTTCTCGCGACTCAAAGTTTTGAAGCATTTTCCAAAACTGGTTTAAATCAGTTTCACAATGACGTCATAATTTTTTGGCACGAGGAAATAGTTTTAAAACGTGGATTGGATTGTATTTCGGAACGGTTTAGAAACATTATTTATTATTCTAACAACCCTAATTGTTTAGATCTCGAATTTGCATCTCCCTCTTGTCTATTATGTTAATCAAAATTAAATTATATTTTTCATCATACATGTATATTCTTAACTACGAATTCTGGCGCAAACCGCTAACGAGACCGTTGATAACGTCGCTAACGGTGCAACACCATAAGAACTTGATTCCAAAAATGAGGCAATCCTGTAGTAGTATGTAAATAAAATCCTTGATGTAGCCTAGCTGCGTTCAGAAAAGCGCGCTGTCCAATGTCCAACGCTCTGTTTTTTAAAGTGTTAATTTTATTATGATTGATACAACCAAACAGCACACAGCTTAATTTATAAAATCTTGGAATCGAAAAATACTGGTAAGAACCGATTGATTTATATCCGTTCCGGTTCTGCCTGCCCTACAACATTTCTATGAACTATGGATTTCCTTCCGGTTCCGGTCCGCAAAAAAAAACTGTTTCGTTCCGGTTTTCGGTCCAATATCGTTCCGGTCCGAGTCTCTGCTTGAAACAGTTAGAATGAGCGATCAAAATTCAAGATTATAACACTGTGCAAAAAGCTCCGAATCAGTTCTGAATCCTTATTACTAATGGAGCTATCAACTTTGTTCGTGCAACACATTTCGAATCAATTTGGAACTAGTGGATTATTATAGAGAGCATACCCGATTATAAATCAGATTGATTTCTATTTTACTCTTAACGATTTTGGTACAGAAAACGAGAAATCGGAGCTGTTCAGAATCGATTCCGAACCCATTCTAGTTGAATTGCGAACAAAGAACTGTAACAAAAAATTCGAAACTGTTCCAGAGCATGTGAATATGTTCTTTCGCATAATCTGACTGGAATCTTTGATCGCAGATCACAATTCGAACCGATTCGGAACCACTTCAGAATTATATCGTAGAGTATAATTAGCTTTTGTTTATCAGTGTTCGAAACTCGATGGTTCGAAATTTGGTACGGTTCTGAAATTGCGCAGAATGGCCACAAAAGTTAATGGTGGATGATTCTAAAGCCTAGTACACATAACCGCGAAATTCGCTCTTTTTTGACATTGCTTCGACAATTTGACGTTTGATTCACGCATAAAACGTCAAATCGTCGAAGCAATGTCAAAAAAGAGCGAATTTCGCTCTGAAGGAACCATTCTAGAACAATTCCAGAGTTGTTTTTATAGGGCCAAATTACAGTATATTTACATCTGCAAATTTGCAGTTCTGCAAATATGGCCGACTTGCATATGTGCCCTATATGCAGAAACGAGCAAATTATAGAAAAAATCTGCAATTTTGTCATATTATCGGAAAAAAGTGTTTGGGCGCTACTGATCAGTTTTAAATGTCAAAGTTGTTAAAGTGATTGGACCGTTTCACTATGCGCAAATTTGAAAGCGACCAAGGGTCCTTATTCTTGAAACAGGGGAGCAGCGTTCCCAGAAGAACGAGTGTTTTGTCTTTGTTCCTTATATTGTCATTTGCATATCATTGATAAAGACGGAACACTCGTTCTCCTGGGAACGCTGCTCCCCTGTTTCAAGAATAGGGACCCTGCAAATGCATTCGTCTGTATTAAGAAAAGTCAGACTTGCAGGTCCTGCATTTGTATCTTGGTGCTGCAGAGCTTTTTTAATTCCAGGTAAAAACCAAATTTTCGCGAAGAACTACTTTCAGGATTTCCAGAACACAAAAACCGAATTTTCGTGACGAATGTAGTTCATCAAAAGTTCATTGGTGACGTCATGAGTTTAAACGCTGGTTTGAAGTTACGTTTGAGTTCATGGAATCATGGAAGTAGTTCGTCGCGAAAATTCGGTTAAACGCTTTCGCGAGAAACTCATGACGTCATATTGAACGGAAGCATGGACACAGCTTCTAGCCAGCGTTTTAAACTCATGACGTCACAGACGAACTATGGTTCATCCTTGGATGGACTACATTGTTCGCAAAAATTCGGTTATAGTCGTAAATAATCCAAAACGCTGTCAACACAGTTCGATAATAATTCTGAAAAAACTAAAACGCTTTTCATAACATGCGCATGAGTGCAACCTAAACAAAGGGTGCTTTCTTTTTAGTCTAGTACTCATAACTGCGAAATTCGCATTTTGTTGACATTGCGTTGAAAATTTGACGTTTTATGCGTGTATCAAACGTCAAATTGTCGAAGCAATGTCAAAAAAATGCGAATTTCGCAGTTATGAGTACTAGGCTTTACTCATCAATTGATCCATCTGCTGCCACCATTATGAGATAGCCGTTCCGATTTTCTATGAATACAAAACAAAGATAGACTGGTCACCGATGGACATGGATCCATGGCTGAATAAAAGAAGGCGCCCAATGTAGTAGGCGTCCTCGCTATAATGACAGATGACAGAACTTTGACGTTCGATAACTCTACTCTATTTGGCTCTGCATTTGTACTTGCTCTACTTGCTCGAAAATAAGAAAGATCTGCTAGGAGCTGCTATTTATGAGCTAATAATATATGGGACAAGTGAACGCCAATCAGCTAAGATATACTTGAAGCAAGAAAAGCAGTAGAACATTATTTCCTAGCAATTTTGTTTCAGTTCGAACCTTGAAACGGTTCTGAAATTGCGCAAAAATAATAGAGGACTGTTCTAACGCCAGTTCTGAACCGATTCGAAACCAAAAAAAAAAACAAAAACAAAACAAATCACAAAATTCCTGTGTTCCTTCTTCAGAGCAAGAACTAAGATAACCGTTTTGAAACAATCCCAAAATTCTTCTCATATACCTTGCGTTCGGTATTTTGCTCAAAGAACAGAGCGTCGTGAGCGAAGCCGTAATCAAGTGACCAGTGAGCGAACAGGGACTTTATTCTCGAAACAGGAGAGCAGCGTTCTCATGAGAACTGAGAACGAAGGTTTTGTCTTCGTCGTCCGTATTCATATTTCCATAACAGTGACAATGACAGAGCAATCGTTCTTATGAGAACGCTGTTCCTTGGTTTCGAGAATAAAGTCCCAAAGCAGTTGAACGCTGTATCCCAGTGCCCGAAATGTTAATAAGAGAACGCGAATGAGTCTGCACCAAGTACACTTTTTAAATAAACGAACGGTAAATTCAAGCTCGGAAAACTCAGACGAAAACGCTTTCCATAAAATGCGCATGTGCAGAATTATTCCGAACTATAGTTGTATTCCTTTCAAGAGTTTGAAACACTCGTGCTACTCGCTCCGGTGTTCAGTTGCCCCCGATTTGCAGGGAACAGATGCCTGGTGCAACAAACACTTGTCGAAAGGAATAAGCGCGTGAAGCCCCGGAGCTGTTCCGGAGCTCCTCCTAGGTGTGAAAGGAATACAACTTTTAGTTCTGGAGCGAAACCAAAACAAAGCTACATCAAGTACAAACGTCAAACGTCATAATTTGGCATTCATTTTTCCGTCAGCCGTCAGTGACAGTGTCAATTTTGTACTTTGTTATTTTTTCTGCCAGCAATTTTCTTGAAAATTAGGAATATTTTCTATTTTTTTTTTGTTTGATGCCGACTTACGTAATTGATTGGAAAAGTGGATCAGCTGAAAGTTGTGCTAAAGTCGGTGGTAGCCTAAGTTCATTCTATAATAAGTAAGAAGTGGCCCTATTATGAGTACACAACAAAGCCCAGCTAATGCTTCTATTGAAAGGGAAAAGGTTTTCCAGTGGATATTGGAGCTGACCAGTCCTGATACTAGAGAAAATGCTCTGTTCGAATTAAGGTAAATATTTAATGCATGCTACATTGCTAGCCAGAAACTGGTACTCTACCCTTTCATTATCCGAGAATTCCTATTAAGTAGTTCCTTGCAGACTCCAAAACTTCTTTATTACGCCTCTAGAGTCAAACTCCATAAAATTTTAGCAACTTCTCTGTAATACTCTTTTATATCAGAGTTTATTTTCCAGCAAAAAACGAGAAATTGTTCCCGATTTGGCGCCCATGCTGTGGAATAGTTTTGGCACAATAGCAGCTCTGTTACAAGAGATCCTGATCATTTATCCTGCAATTAATCCTCCTACACTTTCAGCTCACGAATCGAACAGGTAAGATATCATACTTAATAGGCAAAAAAAAATCGAATTTTCAAATTGCTGCAAAAACGTAAGCTAGGATTGTGACGTCAGAATCCCAAAAATGCGATGATGCCAAATTTCTTAATAATATTGGGTCTGTTCGCCCCAAAATTACAAACCAGTTTTCTGTCTACAACCAATGAAGTTCGCTATGACTGGTTTGTGATTTCTGTGTGAACAGACCTATTTTTGGCTGAGTTCGGCCTTGCACTCCACAGAGCGGAACAGTATGAACGTGGATATCGTGACGTCATACGCGGTCACAAGCCCAACTCAAAAGAGAACACTCTGAGAGCTAGAACAAACGGGATCTTATTGTTTCGAGCTTAGAGTTAACAGAGTTTGAAAATTTCGAACTCAGGCATCATTCCAAAACATGGTTGAGTCGAATTAAAAAGTATTGTACTACCAAGCGAAAACTTAGTACATCTTTCAATTCAATTTCCATCTTTGTCTATCTCATGTGGATTTGTTAAGTGGAAAGTTGTAATTTGTGTTTAATATGTCATTGGTTTGTATTCTATTGACAAGGAAGCGTTCAGATTATGTTGAGGCTTTGTATCCTTAACCGAATTTTCGCGACAAACTGTTTTCATGATTTTATTAATACAATTGCTTTTATGAGAAACTCATAACGTCATATTGAACGTAATTCGCTGGAAGCATAGACACAGCTTCTAGCCAGCGTTCAAACTCATGACGTCACAAGAAGAACTATGGTTCGTTTTTGGAAGAACTACATTCATCGCGAAAATTCGGTTCTTGTCTTTTATGTCTTTTATCAACAGTTGAAGGCAAAGATATCTTTTAATTTACTAAAAATTAAATTGGTTATTTCACTTCTCACTACCTATATAGAACCTATTTGCATCCTTTAGGCTGAAGACACAATGACAAATACAAAATACAAGAGACAGATACAAAATACCAAAAAATTGAAATTTTGTATTGTGGCATGGGAAGTAAATTGTATCCTGTCCACATTTATTCTGGGTTATAGGGTTATAGCATTGATAACATTGTCATTGTGTCTTCAGTCTCACTATGCCATAAAAAAATAAAGGACAGGGATGATTGGTGAACTTTTATTACCTAGACAATGAACCTATACTGTATTTTTTCCCAAGATAGATTTTGACACTGTCAACTTTGAAACATAAAGAATGCCGCTCCAACCGGCATTTTGCGACCAATCAGGGCCAAGCGTTATTGTTTATGTTTCGAAGTTTTCAATGTCAAAATGCATCTTGGGAAAAAATAGACTGTTTGGCTCCATGTTGCCAAATCTTTCTTGAAGTCTGTATCTCTAGGAACCATTAGCAATAAAGATATGTTCATTGTGTTAATGTGTTGTTGTTGTGATCGTTCATTTAGCTATTATAACTAATTATAACTAAACTGATTTTCAAGGAGTTTGCCACCACCTATGTATGCTATCCAGGTTTCCATTAATGACATCTCTCATGCTCCACATCTGAAGATGGAAAATAACATACTTCATCATCAGCAATTAAATGTATCTCAATTCCCTCAACAACTTCAGCAATGTCATTAATATAAACCAGAAACATTAATGGCACTAAAACACTTCCTTGTTGAACACCTATTTGGGTCTCTATTAGTTCTGATTCAACCTGATTTACCCTGACTTTCTGCCTTCTCCCAGTTAGATTGGTTTCAAGCAATTCCAGTGTCCCATCCTAAATGCCTACCTTTTTCAGCTTTAAAAAAAGCTTCCTTCTATCCACAGCACACACTGCCTGATTCCTGTCACCATTGTGTATATTTTAAATCAGATTCTTCCTTCCTTCAGCTTCTAATTGACAACAGGAACCGATCATGCTCATATATTTTTCAGAGTATGCAATGCGCTGGCTCTTCTCCAATGTGTGGCGTCGCACCCGGAAACAAGATCTCAATTCCTTCTAGCCCACATTCCCTTGTTCTTGTACCCGTTCCTGCACACAGTTTCAAAAACAAGACCTTTCGAGTATTTACGTTTGACCAGTTTGGGCGTGATTGGCGCCTTAGTTAAGACTGACGAGCAAGAAGTGATCACGTTCCTTTTGACCACAGAAATTATACCTTTATGTTTACGAATTATGGAAACTGGGTCTGAGCTGAGCAAAACCGTCGCCACTTTTATATTGCAGAAAATTTTACTTGACGATAGTGGACTGTCTTATATTTGTCAGACTTATGATCGTTTTAGCCATGTGGCTATGATTTTGGTAAGTTTTTAAGGAACTACATATAGGCAAATTAATTGGACATTTCTATTAGGGTAAAATGGTTATATCTTTGGCAAAGGAACCATCTGCTAGACTTTTAAAACATGTTGTTAGATGCTATTTGCGATTATCTGATAATCCAAGGTAAGAATTTGAGGAGGATATTAACAAATATTATTGATAACTTTCTTAGGGCAAGAGAAGCTTTAAGACAATGCCTACCAGATCAATTGCGTGACACTACCTTCACAGCTTGTCTGCAAGAGGACAAGTCAACAAAACACTGGTTGCAACAATTATTGAAAAATCTGGAATCCACTGCCAACACCGATCCAAGACAAGTGGGTATATCGCCTTTAGCAGCGCAATAAATGGGGGACAATTGAATGTGTTTTGTAATATTGACAGTGAAATATTTTTTTGGAGGACAAACTATTTGATGTTTGTGGTTTGGTTTTTTGATTAGAGATGTACCTATACTAGTAAATAGCTGAGCAATTTACCAGTGACTTCGAAGGAATTTAATTTCGATTAATTTACAGTTTTATTGACAATACATTTTTTTTTCAGAGCCTTCTGATTAATTTTTTTTTCAATTTTAAGAGGAAATGGGAATTGTATAACAGTGATTATTATTTATTCTTAGAATTTTTTTGTCTGTATCCTTATTTTGTATATTTCCATGTGTTTGTTTATAATAGTATTTAATATATTCAGATAGTTTTGTTTCAACATCTAATTAACTTTTTGAAATTTCGCCAAGCTTATACCTATGTGATGCAGTAGATAAGTAAATTTAGTTTTTTAAGATGTTGAGTTCTCAATTGATTGATGATAATATGTGATCCTATTTAACAGATAATATAGTATATATTTGAAAAAGCTTTGTTTTAATTGCTACCAGAGTTTTGGTTTGAAACCAAGAAAGCCAGTTTCCTCTAGACATGTTTATTTCAGAAGAGACAGAGTAGCAGTTATTATTGTCCAGATTTAATAAGGAAAGAAGAATTCAATATTTTCAAAGAGGTGGAAAAGATGACTGTGATCAAAGGATCCTGAACATTTTTTTAATAGAATTATGGAAATATTTTTATTTTGGCACTTTTAGCTTGATTCATATTATCAGCGATTTGCTGGATTTTAAAGTGAGAAGAAAGACAAAAGAGCTGACTGGTATCACAGCGGACAGATCAACATCAATGTGACTCTTAAGTTTGAGTAAATGATATAAACATGATCGATGATAGATTGAACGAACAATTTTTATAAAGAAGTAACAAAAAAAAAGGAGCTTTAGGATGATAAGCAGTGGAACAAGGAAATTGATGACGTTATGATGGGGAAGGAAATATCACTCCAAAAATCAAATAATTTGAATTCCCTTGAGACTAAATAGTTCTAGTTTAAGTACATCAAATTGCCTTGAATCAACTTCTGTGTCAGAGAAAGTTCCTAGTACAAACAAGGAATAATCCAAAGTTATAGTTCTCCTGGAACTACATATTACAATAGAAGAGTACATTTTTCTCTGGATTAAGTTGAGGAAAAAATAGGTAGTCCATTCTCGCGCGAGTTTTGAAAAAATAAAAATTATTCCTGCCGATTCCCAAGGGGTGAACGGACGAAAACGCGGGGTGCCGCCTGTTTAGCGATGGCCGCCGTGGGGATGTAACGCCCGTTTTCTGCGGTGGGGGATTATAAGGGCAGCTGCTCCTGGGTATTAGAAACCCGACGTTGCCGTTGATAGACGAAATTAAGGACAAATCTGAACCATAATTGCCTCTGTTTTAAGAATTAGTAGAGCTCATGACATTTCTCAAACAAATTTGTTTTTTGGTTTTCTTCCTTGCGAAAATGTTGAGGATCGCAAATTGAATGAGTAGTCAGGGCTGTGGTACTGATATTCTCGGCTCGAATGTTCAACAAATATATCGACCGCATTGGTACACAACATTTTTGTTTTTTTCTCAAGAAGATTCTTGTTGGTACCTACTCGCAAAGCGCACCCAATACCCGAGTCCATCAAATAGGTACCTCTTGTCCGTCGAAGTAACTGACAATTATCAAAAAAATTACACATTTTTAATAAGTTTGTTTAGACATTTATAATTTATAGGATATTTGCTGGCTGAGGTACCTACCTAGTTATGAATTTTCAACTCCTGTTGTTTATTTCTGGGTTTATTTTCGTGTCTTTTTCAATTTTCTCATTTATTTACCGATAAGTTTTCCACAAATACCTAGATTTCCGAGAATTTTACTCAGAGTGAGGAAAATGACAGGAAAACCAACCAAAATGTATCATTTCTGACTGAGAACTGATGAACGTTTGCCAAGAAAACGAACATGGAAAGAAACTTTTAGTTCTTTGAAAACAGAGCTGAGCTAAGTCTTACCAACAAATAATGTACTTGGCCGTTTGCACCGACCATTTTGAGGAAGCCTTAGCGATAAGTACCTATTCCTTAAAATGACATTTTTATATGGAGAAATGTCACTTTAGGAATATTTATCGCTAAGTCTTCCTCAAAATGGTCGGTGCAAACGGCCATTAAAGTACTTTACAGGTAAAAAGAAACAGTATAAGTAGCAGTAAGTACATTACATTATTTTCAGTGCAGTATTTAGAGTACCTACGTTCCATATATTCATATGTACTTTACTACTTTTGAAAATTACTTTTTAAGTAGATTAAAATTTTTAGTACATTTTTAGTAAGTATGTAGTAGGTATACTTGAAATAAATTGTAAAATTTAAGTAACTACAAGTATATAACAATACCAGTATACCTACAAGTACTTTTTTAATAATATTGACCATTTTTTTTTTAAAGGGTACCTATATAAGTAGGTATAATCTCCTTATAAAAATATCTACAGTAAAATACTCAAAGTATCAAAATGTACTGAATATTCTACTTTAAGTATAAAACTTTTCATTCTTCGCATATAGGTACGTATAAATTTCTGTTGTATATAATTTGCTTATACTTAAATGTATATTATATACCCTTGGTATCCTTCTCTTATAAATGCGATGTATTACCCTTGAGAAATAAAAAAGCCGTAGTACACGTGCAGTGTTTTACAATATTAATGGAGTGAACAGGCAAAACTACTCCAAAAAAGTATATTCAAACAGGTATACACGGTTTCAGTTTCCTTCCGGGGTGAATACGGCCTTGGCGTGCTTAGGCGACGTTGCCGTCTTCTCTAACGAATTATACCCAGTTTAAAGGTACCTACCTACCCTGGCGGTGTTTATGGGTTTATATAATGAAACAGAAACAGTTCTTTTATGTATAAGAAATTGGGGTAGGGAGCTGTCTTTAGAAATTGGGTCGAGGACCAAAAGTTCCACATAATAATATCGGTGCGAATTTCGAAACTATTATAAGGGTTCATATTGAGTGAAAAAGGCAAATGAGAATGCTGATCCAGGCGCCAAAGCCGCATTCTTTTCGAAAATCGGAAAATCCAGAGATCACTATTATTGGCATTGCATTTAAATTTGGAATTTGACCAATGGGGCCCGCCTTTTTTTATTGGATTTTCAAAATGCCTGATGAATACAATATAAAATGTATGTGAAAATTTAATCTGATCGACCAGTCGTTACTCAATTAGAAAAAAAAATATTGAATTTCCCAATATAACGAGTCTATTCAAAACGCGCGCGTTACGTGACGTCACATGACTCTGACCAATAGTATTATAGTCTCCCAATATGTCGTCAAAACTAGAAATCAACCAATTTTGGGAAGGTTAATGACATTGAAATCTATCAGTTCTGTGTTGATTTTTTGATAAAAATTAAAAGTGTATATCTGTTGCCTATTTTTCAGGGTTTAGGTCGTTATGGAACATTTTCGTTCGTCTCCTATTGGCTGGAGTCTTAATACGTCATCAAGGCGCGAAAACATCAATTTAAAATAATTGCAAAAATTCAATCTCAAATTAAATTGTTATGTTTCAATACATAATTTTAATAATTATCATATTAAACGGTATGTTAGTGTAGTAGAAGTATGCACTTGTCTCACATTAGAAACCTTCATTTTAATTTAGCGGAACGGCCCCATTAACGTCTCAGGGGAAAGGAAGCTCTAAGACCCCAAGGCGGGTTTTAATTTATGTACGCGATATAGTTGCTCCTGAATCGTTCGAAAAATCTTAAGATTATGAGTAGGTACGAACGAAAACACCCTGTAAGCGTACTAGGCGAAAGCGTCTTCGACATTGTCCCTTATTGTTTGGCACGCCACTGATACCTACTTGCTTTTGTTATAATTTTAATCTGAAGACTTTGAGAAGATATCTTTCAGTATGTTTTCTCTTAAACCCTAATTTTTAAAATTTCAAATTTTTCGCTTTGTGTTTGAAAAGAAAATCGAATCTCTATTTTTCAATTGCAAAGTTACTTTCACTTTTTAGCATATTTGGTCTCAAACTTCGTAACCAATAATGTTGGCCGTGTTCGTTTTTGTCGATTTGCTCCGAAATTTGACAGACACGTGACTGAATCAGAGAGTTTCAATTTACAAATCACGTGCCTGTCAAAATGTCGAAGCAAATCGACGAAAAAGATGACAAAAACGAACACGGCTATAGATCTTCAAAAATTTCAGTTTTCTTTCAGTTTATTTTCAGTGGCAATGCCATAGAGTCACACTGTCACACACACCACTTAGCACGCCACTGCTAAGCATGGCCTACTAGAGGTTTTTCCTGTTTAGGTGATTTCTTATTTGTTCTCTCAGTGCAACTCACTCAGTGTGAACTGACACTGCTCCATGCTGATGTTATTATGGAATTTTAATTGAAATATTTCCAAACCAGTCTGGGGTATGACATTTTTCTTTCTAGAAAAGTTTACGCTTTATGATTATAAAGAAAAAGTCAATTTAGAAACTATTATGTATTATTCTCAGCAGGGTTTATAAAGACGATTGCTCATCAGTTAGTAAAGCCACAAGACGAGACAAAAGGACGCTCTCGCATCTCGTCTCGTCTCGAATTTTCGAGAAAAAATCAATGTCTCTCAAACTGTCGACTGAACAGTGGCGGATCCAGCGGGGAGGCACTGGGGGCAAGCGCCCCCCCCCCCCCCGAGAATTTTTTATGTTATGAAAAAATCTCTAGAAAGTGTCTTCCGCACGCATAAAACATATATTCTTTTGAATAGTAACATTTTCTCTCAGGCTTTTAAGATTATGTATTTCAACTGCTGATTGGGTGATTTTGACTGCCTTTCGGTTGTGATTTGATGGCGGCTATTGATTTTGGTGATTGATGCAGTATGCAGTATAGAATTATAAATTTTGATATATTGATATGTATTGGGTTTTTTTTTAGAAGTCTGTGATACTATATTCCTTCGCAATAAGCAGGCACAAGGTAATTTTTTATATTTTCCCACCCCCTTAACTTTTTTGCGCAACTGTGTATAGAAAAAATGTAAATAGGAAAGGTGTATAGCTCGAAAAATAGTTCTCAGAAAACACATAGTTTTGTTTATACAGGGTGTTGCAGTTTGAAAAATATATTTTTTTTAATGGGACATTCTGTATATTATTGAATATTCGGATTCTGAGCAAATTTCATGTGATATGCACTATACCTAAGTTCAACTGTTTTGCAAATATTGACAGATGAAATTTGACTTTTTTGCAACTTTGATGCACTGATGTAAAATCGGTAAAATTACCCATTTAGGTTTTACAGCTTGTAAAAGTTGCAAAAATATAAAATTTTAACTGTCAATATTTCCAAAATCGTTGAACTTAGGTATAGTGTATATCACATGAAATCTGCTCAGAGTTTTACGTAGAATGTGAATATTCAATACTTGATATACAGGGTGTCCCATAAAAAAATGT